GAGAGGTAAGGGTTACTCTTTAAGAATCAGTCAGATATTGAGTGCTTCCTAGAGCGCAGGCAAAAGAGGACGTCACTTGTTTAACTTTCTAAAATTAGCTAGTTTAGTAGGTGTAATTGTCTTGCTGTCCATGGGAAGTGATTCATGACGGTACCTGATCACTTGTTTGGAAGAGAGAGAGAGAGAGAGAGAAAGTAGGTTGGTGAGAGAAAAAATGAGAGAAATAGAATTATTTGGTTGAAGACAAAAGAGTAAAAATAAGTAAATAAAATAAAAGATAATTGACTCAATAGATTATCTTATTATATTCCAGGATTTGTACTGTTCATTTATTGTCTTTGAATATCGGCTATTATAAACTGTGTATGGGTCGCTAAATTTCATAATTTTTCACAATTCATTCCATCGATATTGTAGTCTGCTAACATTGTATACTCAGATATGGTGTGATTTTTGGGGTCGATGCAGGTCAGATGTGCATTGGAGTTGACGAGCCGTTAATTTGGGAGCAGATCGCACTCAGAATGTTTTTCTTTAGCACGTCCTTTGTGGGCCTAAATTTTGCAATTAACTTTCTGATGTTCCTTTGGACCATAAGTTAAAATCTAAACTTGATTTTTTTTTTTATATACTACAGCTGTTTATGATTAATAGACCTTAGCATGCTGAGTGGAATCACCAAATTCCTATATTTCAAAATTGTGATACACTCATGTGGGCTTTTAAATTATTTTTGTGGTTTATAAGTTTCCATGGCTGAGTGATCTCGAGATTTGCAAGTTACAAATTTCAGTTTAGTATATGTTATCGTAAGCCTTATTGTTAAGGACCAAATTAGTTGATAAAACGTGCTTTATTTCTTGTAATATGATTTTATGTGCCATGTGAGACCTGAATATGAAAATCTGTTTATAAATTGCAAAATTTTCAAGGAACAGGTGGTTTTTCTTAGATTGTATTGAAAGTAAAGGTTAATTGCTTTTCAGGTTAAAAGTGGTTCGATGTGTGCAAAGTTTAGTGTATGACAATTAAACATCACCTCCAAAAGCCAAACTCATTGTCTTTGGAGTTGCAATCAATCACACTACTAAATTATTGCAATTTGTTGACAGATAGGTTTGAAAAGTAATATGTATATACATTTTAGTCTGAATGTTATTTATGTAGGTTGCTGTAGTTTAATCAGAGACCTAATGAACTAGTATTTTTATCAGCTTAATAATTAGTTTGGTTTTAATCACATTATTTCTCAAGTCTTTAACATCAAATTGAGTTACCAAAACTAACTTCTTAGTAAGATTTCCATTATGAAAAGAACATGTTCACTCTAAGTTTAACTATAGTTATAGGTTAATTATTTATGATGAAAAACGTGTACCCTCATTAGTAGATTGTGTTTTTAAACATATTTGATCTGTATTTGTAATTTTATGTTAAATTTATCTGTTTTGGTATTTTAAAAACCGAAAGTGGTACATAGACAATCTCTTTTTCTACCTCCAGTCATAAGGGTGAATTATAAAAAAAAAAAAACATAAATGGTAGAATGAACGAATAAAAAAATGATTAATTATATGTGGTTGTAAAACTAATTACTCAGTAAAGACAAAGAAAGTCCAAGAGGGCAACATGGGTAAACGAATTTATATTAAGAAAAAGCAAATTTGCACTCAATTCAAAAAATATATTAAAAGATTAATTTATTTATATGGATACTGAAATATCATTATTCTAAATATAACAAAGATATAATACATACAATATACATATTTAAAAATATGTAAAAAATAATAAATATCTTATAAACCTAAATTAAAATTAAAATTTTTATATTACTAAAATAAATAAAAAAATATAAATTAATATTGTGAAAATAAATGTTCTATTATGTAATATAAGTATAATACTATTAGTCTTATTTTTTAAATAATTCAGAAATAATATATTTGATTTATCTTATCAAGCTCTAATTAAAAAAAAAAGTGAATGATAAAATAGTTGGGCCTATTGGGCTGAAGTAATTATGAAAAATAAAATATTACAATAATAGAGGGATGAATATATTTAGTAAAAGGGTTATGGTGTTTGCTGTTGCGAGAGAAAAGGTAGATGAGATTTTTTATATTAATTGGATGCAGCAAAATCTACCCTAGTTAGGCAGTTTCATGAATTGTTAAGCCGAGTTACCGAACTTTCAAACGTGAAAGATATTTATCGACGAGTACCCCAAACAAGAAACAAGGATCAATGAAACGTGACTCAGAATGAAGACCATTTTTATTGGTCTCTATTAGTCAATGCCAAATATTAAACCCCTTTTGACTCTTTTTTACTTTATGTGTCACGGCATTGGCCCTACGTCTGTTTGTATAAAATTCCTAATGTCTATTTTAACCGATGCAAATCTTTTCCCAGAAATGCAACTCACGTTCTAGACGCGTGTCTTTACGTCGCGCACTTTCTCATCCATGTATTTAAGCACGTTTAAGCACAATTCCTGCTAAAGATATTTATAGGTAATGTTGAATCTAGTTTTATCAATTTTATTTTAGATTTATCTTATTCTTTAATAAATTCAATAAATCTAATTAAAACTGACTTATATTTAATTAAATCCATGCGTATCTAACAAATCAAAAATATTTTATAATTTTTCACAATGTATTTTTATACAATTTTAAAATATTTATATTGTATAATTTATTTCGATCAAGTAATATATTTTAAAAATTTAAATCAAAACTTAAAAATTAAAGAAAAATAAATTAATATAGAGGTAACAAAACATGACATTTTTTTATTAAAAAGTTCATTAATCAATTTATGGGTTACACTTCTTTTATGATATTTGTAATTGGAGTTTGATATTATATAAAAAAGTAATCCATCCACAAAATTTGATTATTACAAGTAAAAAATATTTTGCTTTTATATAAACTTCAGATAGTAGTAATGTGATTTTATTGGCAAAACTGGTATTCATGTGATCACTTATAAGAAGAAAATAAATTAAAAATAACTTATACATAGTTTTAAATATTAAAATTTTAATAAAATGATATAATAAAAACTTTTTAAATTAAATTATGTTTAAGTTAATTTGAATTTTTGAAGAACTTTATTTTATTTATATTTTTTCTACAAATCTTTAAAAAATGTCCAAAGATGTCTTTATTGGATAAAATTAGTAAAATAATGAAAACTATGCTAAAAAAATTTACTTATTATTCGTTAAATTTTACAAACTTTATGAAAATTTTTAAATAAAAATAAAATCCACTTAATTTATTATTTTCAATGAATTTTAATATATAATACAAAATACATGAACTTTATTTATAACATTAGAATAGATTATGTAATTTGACTAAATTTTTAGAGTAATATATTACATTTATCAATTGGAAACATAAAAAGGTAATAATAATTTTTATAAAATTCTGTATGTTTTATCTTGGTTGTTACATTCACCAAGGAGAAAATAAGTATTTTTTTAATTAAAATTAATTTAAATGTGATTTTCCAAATATACTAATACACAAAACATATGAAACTGGTATTTTGAGATTCAAGAAATATGACTTTTAGGCATTAGCCAAATGTCATTATTGTTGAAAAGAAAACAAAATGCCATTTCTTTTTTAGATTTTGACTAGAAAAATTGGATTTTCTTAAATTCTAAAACCATATTTCTATTAACTAATTAGTCATACCATGTAATGAAATTATCATAAAATTCTTTTCAAAGACATTACCAAATCTAATTTGATTGTAATATTATTTTTTCCTTGTTTGTCCTCTGTATCAATCATTGAAATACTATTTGTGGCATACAAAGGTTTCATATATTCTAAGTCTTTCATCAGTTTGAAACTTTTCTATCATTTTCAGCAAACTTTCTCTACAACATGAATTAAGTTTGATTGTCGCATCTTATTAATCAAGAATATTGTAGAATGACAACAGGAAGGAACAATGAAATTATTATTTCAGTTATGTCGTATCTTTTATTTTATTTTTTTCATTTCATTAATAGAAAAAAAATACTTATTCTATCCTAAAAGAATAAAAAAAAGAGCAAGATTTTTTTTCATAAATATATAAAATAAGAAGAGAATTAATGATGTATAATTAATAAATAATTTATTTTTCCTGGAGTAAAAAGATGACTTTTATTTAAAATTTATTAAATTATTAAAATAATAATTCAATTATTACTTACAAAGTTCGTTTTAAAATAAATTGTGTAGTATTCAGACAAATTACCTCTGAAAATTTGTCTTAATGTAGACATAACATTAAACAGAATTTAATATATATGTATAGTTTTTTTCTTTTTTGGTTTTTATTCTATTAACATTGCTTTGTAGTTAAACATAAAAAATGATCACTATCAATGAATTAAAATATAACTAAATTTCAATTAATGTAATCTTACTTAGCATTATAGTTAAAAAATAAAATGATATTTGACACCAACGTTGAGGAAACTAGATGATAGAAAAAAGTAGTTTAGGAACTATAATTTGTATTCTGTGCAATTAAAAAAATTAAATGAATTTAATAATACTCTCAATCAATATAAAATTAAACTGAGATTTAAGAAAAAAAAGGAAATTAGGAATCATTTAAGACAACTTTGAAATAATTATTAAAAAAGTCAAAAAAATTAAATGTAGACAATAATTTGCAACTGACTACTTAGAGGTATTATTTAATTTGAAGGAAAAAAAAAAAAGTTTCAAAATTTGCATGTTACATTTCTGTTAAATAGAGTGCAGAGTGCAGACAATGTATGTGTAATCACCATCAGTGCAGTGTAGCACACCAGAAGTAGATTGCGCGTAGGGACCGTAGTTGGAGAATCTAAGGTCCCTACGAACACACTTTTTTTTTTTTTTAAAACAAACTTTAAGAAAATAAGTCTCATCTAGTCATCTCTTTCGTTTACTCACCCATCTCTTTCTTCTTCTTCTTCTCCTTTCTCTCTGATTTCAGTTATGGATTCCAATCATTCCATGTCCCCAAGACAGCAAGAGAATCACAAAGCATGGCAGGGGCTGCAATCTCCGAAACCCGTGGCTAGATCCGAACCCTCCAGCCCGTACCCGACAACGTTCGTCCAAGCAGATACGTCGTCGTTCAAGCAAGTAGTTCAAATGCTGACAGGGTCCTCGGAGACAGCGAAACAAGCGTCCTCGAAACCCGCGGCGAACCCGACCCACAGCATCCCGCCCATGAAATCCGTTCCCAACAAGAAGCAACAGTTCAAGCTGTACGAACGGAGAACCAACTCCCTCAAGAACAAACTCAACCTCAACATCAATCCCCTCACCTCGTTTTTCTCGCCTCGTAAACCCGACATCCTCTCCCCCAGCATCCTCGACTTCCCCGCACTTGTCCTCAGCCCCGTCACGCCCCTCATACCCGACCCGTTTGACCGATCCAACGCGCCCCCTTCCCTGGACTCTGAAGCCGAAGATAAAGCCATCAAAGAGAAGGGTTTCTTCTTGCACCCTTCGCCTGCTTCTACTCCCAGAGACGCTGAACCTCGCTTGCTCCCTCTCTTCCCCACCACCTCTCCCAGAGCTTCAGGTCCTTCTTCTTCTTCTACCGCTGCTTCTTGAATCTTTTTTTTTTTTTCTTTATTATTGTTCCGTTTCGGATTTTGTGTAAGATTCTTATATAATTTATGTTTTATTATTACCATTCATGCCGGTTAGAGGGATCCGTTTCAAAATTTGTAATGGTTATCGAGAGAAGGGAATAATCTTGCTTCAATTGTATGTATAAATTATGCTGTTTTTCCCTAATCTGCCCTGTTTCTCCTTCGTTTGCAAGACAAGGTCGTTAATTTCTGCCTGGAAAAAAGTTCAATTCTGAGAATGTGAATTTTGATTTACTTTAACCCAATTAAAATGTTGTTACTTGAAGTAATCAACGATTCATGTGGGATGTATGTATTACATCTCTTCTCCTGCATCCTCTTATCTTTTTTTGCTGTATTTTTCAAATCGTTCAATTATTGCTGTCACAGTTAAACTTTAATGCTTCTTAAAGGTGAGTAAAACAGTAATTAATAAAATTAATTTTAAATTATTGAATCGAATTGAAACCTGTGTCTGAGTTAATTTTAGCCGCATAAAAGGTGTAAACTCAATTGGTTTAGTGTTTCGAGATGTCTGTGTTCAATTATTTTATTAGTTTAGGGAGACCCACTTGGGTACTGCGAGTTTTGTTTGTTTATAAGTTCTTAGGTTGTCCCTTGATTGTGGATATTGTATTATTTTTTTTTTTCTTTGAATGGACACAAATTTTATATGAAGAAAGGGCATTAATTTTGTTTAGTCAAACAAGGTCTGACACTTAGTTTGAACGAGAGAAGGGAAATTGGTGGCATTTATAATCAGAAATGACATTCATAATTAGCAAAATTAATAATACAGTCTGCAGTAAGTACAGTCTTTATAGAGATGGTAGGGACTGTAGGGAAGAAACTGGTATGATAGAGAGAAGTGTTGGGTTGAAAATGTAATTGCAAAGGCAGCTTCGGGTTAGCTGTCATAGAAAGCGTGGAAGAATGGGGAAGGAATCTTGACCCGTGTGATGATGTGTTTGTGAACGAGGGAAAGATCCCAAGAGATGTGATGAAGATAGGCATTGTATGTGCTACTTGTGTTGTAAGCATCCATCAAGTGGTTTTCATATACTATGTGCCTCTGTGCCCCCAAACACCACATACCAACACCATCAACCTATATCCATGGCGTGGGTTTCAACTTTCAACTGAAAAAAAATAAAAAAAAAACACCCTTGTTGAGTCTTTGATTAATGTTTTTTCTAATCGTTCCTGGTTGGTGTGGGAAAATCTTTTGAATTAGAAATTAACCACCGTACAAAGTGATGTGTGTGGTTGTACATAGATTCAGAAACTCGCATTAGTTATTGTACTAATAAGAAGTCAAACTGGCTTGATGATAATTAGATGAGAGCAATAATAAATATGGATTTGTGGAGAGAGTGGAGAAGAAAGTACAGTTTTGAGGAATTACTTATTTATTTGGTTATTGCAGTGTTGAAAGAAGGGTAGGGACCCCATAACCCCATTAGTTTGAATGTAAGGCATTTTAAAAGCAATGATGCGAAGAGAGTGGGTGTTTCTGGGATTGAAATGGGAGCAGAATTGAAGTGTATGGGGAGATGGGAAAGTGAGGAAAGGGGAAGTAGTGGGAGTTGTGATGATGAAAGGGAAGAAAAGATGGAAAGAGGTAGAAAAGAGGGTGTTGTTGGTTTGTGTAGGCTATATTGGAAGGCACGGTTGGTGGTGCATTAATTGAGAGAGTTTGAAACTTAACATGTGCAATGCTACCAAGCCCTTGTTGCCTTCTGTTTACATTTTCCAAAGGTCATCTTCCGTTTCCTTATGCCAATGATTTTGAGGCAAAAAATATAAAACATCTTGCACGTGGCATGATTTGATTTGACGTATTATTCATAGTCATCCTTCTGACCCTGACAAAAATTGATGCATGACATCCTTGACTGTATATCCCCTACCTTTTAATTCATACAACTCCACCCTTTGGTCCACAACCCTTTTTTCTTAGTCCCTCTTGTCGTTAATACTAGGATTATAACTACTACATATTTAATGATGTTTACTTTAATTTTTATCTAATCTAATTAAAATTAGGTTAAGTGAGTTTTTTTAATTACCGACCCATTTCAATTATAATTGGATTAGTAATCGGGTTAATTTTTATTTTACTTTTTAAGAAAAATTCATTTAAAAATAGTAATCAAAAAATGATTTTTTTTAAATATTTATAAGGTACTTGTAACACTTGTACCACGTAAATATATCACAGGATAAAATATAAAAAAAAATATAGTAGAATTATTATACAAATATTATTTTTATGTAATTGGGTTGAATTTAACGGATTTAAATTTATGAAACCTTATGCCTCTGCTCAATCTTCAAAATGTAATTGCTGTTGAGGTGAGTGGAACCCGTTTAGACCTCTGCTTCATATAATATAAGACACGTTTTATAATAAAATGATAGTCATCTTTAAAGTTAAAATCTTTGCATAACTTTTTTTGTCTTAATTGGTAGCTTATGCATTTTTATTTTAGATAGTCAATTTTTTAGACAATTAAATTTCTTATCTTAAATTTTGTTTAATAATAATTTTGTTGTAATCATAGTTTCTTTTAGAAATTAATGTGTTTTTTTTTCAGAAAAAAATACATTTATCTTGATAGACAGACAGATACAATATATTATTTTCAGAACAGATATAAAAATTTGACCTTAAACTACACATTTCAGTCATGATGTCATGAGGTAGACTTATGTATTGTGACTATGAAAATAGTTTAAACAGAGAAATGGGTGAATTATATGATCTGAACATGAGAGGGTGTTTTGTATTTATTATATTTATTGCCTTAGGGGTGTGATGCACAGGTAGGAATGACTTGTACATTTTATTTTTCTTTACTGTTATTTGTTTCTAGGTTGGTTTAAGAATTTTGTTTTTTTGTTCTATATAGCCTATGTTGACCTAAATTATAGTACTTTTGTATCTTTACTTAAATATATTCTCTTTGTTTATTATTATTTTTGGATACTTCATGAAGGTGTTGCACACTACCAAGAAAATGATTAAAAACCAAAAGTAAAAAGAAATATAGCTAGTGTGAATGTTTATTTTAGTTAAAAGAAACATTGGAATAAATACTTAGTTTTAGAATGAAAGCATAGAATAAGTGAATTGTTGCTTTGGTAATTGTAGTAGATGTTTCCATCGTTTTATTATGTAATCTTAGTTTGAATTTTACGTCAGAACAAATCCATCATGTTTTACTAAAATTACTCTCTCCTCTGTCTATTAAAATGTACCTGCAGATATCAGATACATTATATAACAGTGAGATAGTTAGAAGTGGTTACCACAAGTTAAGAGTCACATGGCAAGATCCAAAACAGGTCCATAACAATTTTGTGTTTCTTGGTTTTGTTTTTCTTCAAGTTCATGACCCAACAACATGCATACTTCATTCTCCTTTTGCTTTTCACTGCGAAAGGTTAGTTTCTTTTTCCAAGTTTTCGATCACAAAATGATCTAAGGTGGCCCAATAGATCTCAACCGATTTCAATTGATTTTTTTAAAGAAATTTGCTACTGTTGGTGGTGAAATGCAGTAGGGCACGACTAAAAGGTAGTGGCACCAACAACAAAGACAATAAGGATTACAATGTTTATTTTTAGAATACTTAATTTTAGATCACTATAAAGTATGATTAGATGATTCTCTTAATGATTAGTTATAATACCTTGTTTGGTGCGGATCAAATGTTACACACAACCTTGACCTAGAAGAGTACCTCGACCCTTCACGAGTCATGCAGTTTAAGGATTCTTTTGTCATGTCAAATTACAGCATATTGGACACGTATGATCTAATCATTTCGAGAGCAATGCCAATTAATTTGAGTTAAAGACCCGATTTGCAACACATAACTCTTTTTTTTATCTCTTAAAGTTAGGGTTGACTAAACAAGTCTTTCCCCTATCAATTCATCAACGAACCACAAATAAGGTGATGTAAAACGGGTAACCCGTTTTTAAAAAAGTAAATTCAAACTTGACTTTTTTTTAATATATATAATAGGTTAACCATTGTCTTGTAAAAAGAGATAAATAGTTTGATGGATCATTGAATTGACCCACTAAAATAATTAATAAATAAATGTTTTTTTAATAAAATTATTTATAATTTACATAATTAGAATGTTTTTTTAATAAAATTAAGGCACGTTTAAAAAATCAAATTAATGGTTAACCTGTTTTCATTCTACTTGCCCTATAATTTCTAAGGATTAGACATATGGGCTCACAAGTGGAAAATCTCAACTTAAATATATGGGCTCACAAGTTGAAAATCTCAACTCTTTAAAAAAAAAAAGTCAAACAAATTTGGTCTCACCAATTTAATTTTCAGTCCTACTTTAATTCTTTTCACACTGTGTTTTCTCCCTTTATTTTTTATTTTTTTTAATAAACTATGAATCTAATCCCCTAAATATTAGCCTCTTTCATAGTTTGGTAAAAAAAAAAATCCCTAAATTTAAAACTTAAGAAATGTTTGTTTCCAATGTATAGTTTAGTTTAAAAATAAAATTCCTACAAAATATTTTTTGAAGAATGTTTTAATTTTACTTATATTTCTCATTCTCTTTAATTAACAGTAAGATTATTCGAATTTATCACTTAAAATTCGTTTTATTTATACTTTGGGGACTCGGGTTTATAGCTGAATATGTTTTGGTGACAAGTTAGGCTTTTGTGAATTTTTTTATAGACTGAATAAGAGTAGAATCAAGTTCGAGTTTGAGGAATTTGTGAGTTAGGCATGCTCCCTATCTTGTGTGACTTTATAGATTTTGTAGTGAGAAACAATTACGTGATTACTTCCATTTTGGATTGTAACTTTTTTCCAATATTTTAACTACAAAAATGAAAGAACTACCTTGGTATGCACATGTTAAGGCATATACCATTTTTTTTTTTATGGAGATTCTATTGAGATATAGTTATGTTGATAATAGACATGACAACGAGACGGAATCGAATTTTGCCTTCCTGATCCTCGTTTCTGATTTTTTTTAACTGTCTTTATCTTTGTCCTTTATCTTCATCAAGGTTAAAAATTAAGTTCTCATTCTCATCCTTGTTAAGTTTCAGGTTTTTCGTTTCGTCTTTGTCCCACGTACCCCATCTATATTATTTTAAAAAAATTATATTTATAATAAAATAATTTTATTATTTATATATATTTTTTATACATAAATAAATATTTATAAATATACAATTTATAATTATTATTAATTAAATATAATTTTTAATTTATTATATTTATATTAAAATATGTATGTAAAATAAATATTTAATCATTTTTTTATACAGATTTAGAATATTTATAACATTATTATTATTATTATTATTATTATTATTATTAATATTATAATACTATATTCAAACATTTGAATACTTATAACATTATTATTATTATTTATTCAAATATTTGATTACAAGTTAATTCATTTTTAAGTTATCATTTAAAATTATAAAATATATAGTTTTTAAGAAAATATTTAATAAGTTAATTCTTATTTAATTAGTTTGAAGTAATAAAAATTTAAATTTTTGTAATCCTTTAAAATACAATTATTTTATTAAGATAAAATTTGATACATAACAAATAAGAATAATAAGATCCAAAAAATATAACATAATAAAACTTAATAAATATAAATAATAAATAAAATAATATGAGTTACTACTAAGATTTATGTAAAATATTTGATAAAAGATAAAGAAAAAAAATTGTGTTCATCAAATTGGTTGAAATGATTGAAAAAAATAAATAAATTGATTGGAAATATTAAGAAAATATGAAAAACTAAAAGGTAAGAGAAAGATAATAATATAATAAACTAATTGATATTAAATATTTAAAAATGGGTAGAAGAAAAATAAAAATAGTGAAATATAAAAAAATGACCTTATAAGTAATAGAACAAGAAAAAAAATACTTTTAAAATATTAATATTTTAAATTTAAATATAGAGTCGATGCAGAGATGGGGTCATTCCCGCTCCCACCGAGTCAACTCAAATTTTCTTTATCAAACTCGAAACGAGAAATAGATCAATTTGGATTATTATCCAGACTAAGAGAATTGTCACGGGCAAGATTCAAACCCGATACCTTAGAGTCGGAGGTCGATACTCTAACCACTAAACTACTAAGATTTTTTTATAATAACTTATACATAAATTATATTTATATACAAATAAAAATGTATATCCATGTAAATATATAAATATAAAATATATAAATACAAATACAAATATATTTATATGTTGGATGTGAGGACAGACTTCGATGATGAAAGTGTGTGTCGAGTGAATTTTCAAAATTTGATGTCAAATTTGTGAGCGAGTCTCTTTATATGGATTATAACATAATGACAAAATATAATCTTTATAATTTATTTATATAATGATATAAAATAATTTTTTTCTTTATTTTATATCATTATATAAATTAATTATAAAGATTATATTCTATATTATTATAAATAAATTATAAAGATTATATTCTATCATTAAATTACAAATTCATATAAAAAGACTCGCTCACAAATTTGACATCAAATTTTGAAAACTCACTTGACACACACTTTCACTCTCGAGCGCGCTCTCACATCCAATATATAAATATATAAATATATTTGTATTTGTATTTATATATTTTATATTTATATATTTACATGGATATACATTTTTATTTGTATATAAATATAATTTATTTATAAGTTATTATCGAAAATCCTAGTAGTTTAGTGGTTAGAGTATTAGTCTTTAATTGTAAGGTATTTAATTTGATTCCTGCCAGTAACAATTATCTTAATTTTATAAAAAGACTTTCTACATCGGTTCTCGGATGAACCGATGTATAAAATTTTTACATCGGTTCATCCGGAAGCCGATGTAGAAAGTGTTTTCTACATCGGTTCTTAACTAAACCGATGTTGAAAGTCTTGAATTCACTTTCTATCTTGGTTCTTAAAGAACCGATGTAAAATTTTTACATCGGTTCATCACGAAACCGATGTAGAAATCAATTCTTAACTAAACCGATGTTGAAAGTCTTGAATTCACTTTCTATCTCGGTTCTTAAAGAACCGATGTGGAAAGACCGATATTAAAAGTAATTTGTGATTATAATAAAATTATGTTATATTAGCTCAAAAATATTTTTTATTATTAAGATAAGATGCATGATTTTATATATATTTTTTATTATTAAGATAAGATGCATGATTTTATATATATTTTTTATTATTAAGATAAGATGCATGATTTTATATATATATATATATATATATATATATATATATAAAGGCTTATTTGAAATATAGATAAAATAAAGGACATTCTTTGTTATCTGCATGATGAAATTAGTTGTAGTCAATATTTTTCTTTTGATCTTTTCTAATATTATGCGTAATAATTATTATTGAACTTGACCAGTATGATATATTTATATTTTTCTTTCAATATTTTATTTAAATTCAAGTAATTTGAATATTAGTTTGCTTCGTACCTAGCATTTTAACTGACTCTGAAAATTAAATTATACTCACCGAATATATATAGTATGTTAAAATTAAATAATATTCACTTAAAAGGCATGTTCGTATGCGCGGGTCTATTTATTAGTTTTATTATAAAAAAAATAGTTACTTTTATTACATCATTTATTATTATAAATCATTAAAGTTTCGAGAATGTTTTATCAAAATTAAACAAAAAGTAAGATTTTTCAACACAAAATATAAATATTCTCAGATTGATCAACTAAATATAAAAAAAAACATGATTCTTTTTATTTAATTTTTTACCAAACGCATTTTAAAGTAAGAAAATCATGCGAGTAATGATTAATTGTTAAGAATGTATCAATTTAATCTCTAAGTTAGTATATAGTCTCATATATGTTGATGTGTCTGTGAAGACTAATTTTTGCAGCCACTAAAAATGACCGGACAGGTACACAGTTAACATAACCTAGGATACCCATAAACGGTAGAAAAGAGAGTGAAAAATTGTATTCCATTACCTTAACTCATCACATCATGTGTATGGGAGTGTTAATAATTGATTCTTCAACGTTTCACTTGACCCGTTTATGGCTCATGGCCAGGTTAAGTTACCCTTGGAAGGTTATTGTGATTATATTATACATTATTTTCATCCAAGTTAGGAAATGTGTTGACTTGGGAACAGATTTTATATTTGATCCAGGTGGTGCATCAGGAGCTGGACACTTAATATAAACTTATACCCACCCATTAAATTAGATAGTAAAGAAATATGTCACACTCGATTATTATTATTATTATTAAGTTAGAAAGTTGTTTAAGGCTTCATAACAAATAATCACACTTTCCTCAATCACGGACGAATCTTCCAGAACCGAATAGTATAGTTGAAATTTTGTTTAGCCCAGCTTAAGGTTCAGTACAGTCATTGTCAAGTACAATAAAAATGAGAATTTTGTTTATATAGTACACTATATCTATCACTATAGATAAATAAAAAACACATATAACTTAAAACATAATAATCCTAACAAATTTACTCCTTTATCTTTAGCCTCTTTTAATTATTACTATTGTTAAAAACTTTGGGTGACTTCGTTGGTTCTTCACTCGAATGAATTTGTATAGAAGATTATAAGAAATCCCAATGAAAGAGCGTAGTTGTTTCCAGTTTCTTCAGCAGAGATAATGAGCTCAATTATATAAGCACACACTGTACGATGGAGACGACATAAGTGGGACCTGGAACATGTTATTAAATAATATCAACTTTGAATTTTGCCCAGAAACAAATATCAAATCACCAAACCAAACAACAACTACGTGGGCCCACGCCAACCCTGCGTCTCTATCCATCAAATTTTAAAATATTTTATAATCATCGTTACTAATCTTTAATTAGTTTGTGTCTCTATCCGTCTTAACCAAACTCAGGAGACTGGAAATTGGGTTGGGATGTTAACCAACCCCAATTTGGTGATATGATTGTGCTCATCTCATCATGCGGCGCGTGGATTCTGCTTTGCTTTTTCATACGCAAAATTCTTCCTACACACACCCATCTCTCACATATACGTATGTAAAACCATCCCAGTTGAAGAAGTGTACAAGAAATAGTTACTCACATTTTACTAATATACTTTTTTTCTTTTTTATTTGTAGAGCAACTCGTTTAAACAGAAATAATTTGAAGCAAAATATGTTATAAACTTGGAATGAATGTGCTTAACATTCAGTTTGGTAGTTTTTTTTTGGGAATTATTCGCACAGGTAAAGTAAGACAAATCGTGCAAGTTTTCACTTGACAAAATGTTGCTTCTATCTGAGACCATAATTAAATGTCAAGATAGGTGACATTTATACAAGATCATTGCTGAATTATCAATTAAGATTTTAATCATAATATCTGTTTTTCATTTTATTATATCTTTTACAAAAGATAAGGTACAGATCTTTTACATAAAAAACACCTATTCGCAAAGAAATTTAAATAACTCAAAAGTGGGAAATTGAAAAAAAGAAAGAAAAAGAACATGGTTGAACTTAAAAACAATTATTTAAAGACTTAAACTTATCATTATAATAATACAGATGTGTTTTGTTTTTGTTTTTTATTTTTTGATTTGTCTTGGTAGTTATTTCGTTTATACAGTTATTGATTTTATAACATGTTAGTAAAGTTCATGTTATTAAAAGTGTCATATTTGTTTATGACATTACTAGAAACTAAACGGTGACATATTTATAAAAATTAAAACAAAAAGTTATTTATTTTTCAAGATTAAAAAAATAAACAAAAACATTTATAGGCACTCAATAAAAAAATATAACATATTTAAAAAACAAAAAATGACATATTTACGAAACATTAAAATAAAAATTTTATGTATTTATAAAAATTAAGTATTATATTAAAAAATTGAACACATTAGACATATTTGTGTTTATTTAAATAATTCGTTTCGGAAATTTTATATTAATTATTTTAGTATCAAGATAATTTACACATTTTTTCATCTTATGATAATAATTAATTAAGTGTAATTTTGTATACAATATTATTTTACAATTATCAATTATTAATTATTAAATATATAAATATCAAAATAAGCTGATAGAGCAATAAAAAAAACTCATAAAACATATTAAGTTAGATAACAAAAATTATTATCTAAACTAAAATATGTAATTTTTTGTGTGCGTATAAATAATAGAAAGGAAAAGCATATTCTATAATATCTAAAATATATGCAAACAAATTTTTCAACCCCCATAACTTAAAAGTTGTGATGTTAAACTATACAGACCCAAGTTTTCTACTCTTTCATTGTTTTCTGAAAAATAAACAAGTAACATCATTTTATTCAGTGATTACTTACACAGCCATCTTCTTAAATAAAATAATATTCATCTTTTTTAAATCCTCATAAATGGGATATTTTTTAATTTTATCTATAAATATTCACATTTATTTTAATCTTTATAAATATATTATTTTTTATTTTATTTTCCTATCTAATAGCGTTTTATGTTAACATGATACTTTTAATTATTTTACAATTTTATTAGTATATAATAATGATATTGTCATTCTCATATTACAAAACAAAATTAACAACTAAAACCAAACCAAATAGGTTTTTATTAGTAAATAATTGACTGGTTTATTCACGGTTTTTGAAATTAGTTTTCTACTTTTTAATTTTTAAAAATAAAAAAGTATATAGTAACTGATTTATTACTACAGTTTTTTAAAACTATTTTTATTTTCTAGTTTAAAAATTTTAAAATAATAAATTTTTTATTATAATTTCTATTGTAAAATTATTAAAACTATTTTTAAATTTTTTCCTTGATTTTTGTATGCTTTTTAAAAATATTTTTAAAAATAGAATTATTAAATAACTTTTTTTAATTTAGTTTCAAAAAAATTTCCTAAAAAATAATATCTTAAATTATTTTTTAAAATTGTAAAAATAAAACTAAATTAAATAAACACGTACTTTATTTTATTAGAAAAAAATTGAAACAACAATCAAAACAATAATCTCAAACGATTTTTGTGATGATTTTTTTTAATGTTTTTAAAGATTGACTTATTAAATAACTTTTTTTTAAATTTATTTTCAAAAATAGTTCTTCAAAAGAATATATAAAATTTCTTTCTAAATTATAAATAAAACCAAAATTAAATAAGCGCATTTTTTTTAATTAGTAAAACATTGAAACAAAACCTTCACAAATAACATAATATTTTGAACATGAAAATAATAATATTACCTATGAGATGAGATATGCTATTCTTAAACGATTGAATAATAGTATTCATCGTACGTTTAATTTTACTTAAATTTTGTAGTCCTTGATTAAAAAACTATATTCTCATATATTTATAAATTTTATATCATTTAAGAATTAATATATATATATATATATATATATATAAATTTCCTCTATTTTAAAAATAAAACCATAACTATAAAATTTAAGAGTAATAAATACCTTTTACATAAAATAAATACCTTTGTATGATAATCAAGAATGTTATTTTCAGGTTTTATCTGTACAAAAAAAAACTGTAAGAAACACTATAAATGGGAGAACTTCTTTAAAAGATTTTAATTTCCTACTATAATCAGGTTTTTAAAATATATAATATCATATATAATTAAAAATACACCTTTTAAGTAAATATTACGAAGTAAAAAAAATTATCACATATATGCATAATTAAAAATATATACTATAAACATTTCTAATTACATATTTATTTTTAAAATTGTGTGTACAACTCCCATAGTACATTAAAAATATTTCATAACGAATAAAAAAGAATGTGCTAAAAATACTATATATATATATATTGTTAACAATTTTTAACTACATGACCTTATTTCAAGTTTGAAAATAAAAATCTAGTTATAGTTGTGGGCCTCCCACCCAATTAATTAATTAATCGATTTTCATCCAATCACATAAGGACATTGTTCAGTTTATGAGAGGATTTGGAAATTGAATTGAATGCATGACCTCCCACCAACCCATCAGCACAGCCACTGGATCATGCACACTTGTGCAGTCAAACCATTCTCACAACTCCCCCTGACAATGAAAGTACTAATCTCACAATAAAAAATATAAAATCTTATTTAAAATTCATTAAATCAATCTGTTAATAAAAACATTCATGTTAAACTGTTAAGAAATAAACTATTCATGTGGGATTTAGGAAATTAAAATTTCATAAGTAATTATATTGTTTAAACGTACAAGGCTTATTGGACCGTAGTTTTTAGCGTTTTTATGTGACGTTGTTTGTCGCTTTTAGATATACATCCGAATTGTGATGTTATAGTTGGAAACTTCTTTGTCACTTGGTTTTAGGTTTGGTAGAACGTTTGTGTCAGTGAAGATACTGAGATTTTAGTTAAAGTATGGATAATTCATTGTCTCGCATTACTTTTATAGTTGTCACTCTTAATGAATTAAAAAACTACCACTTGATATAATATATAATTAAATATTTGTTTGAAATTTTTGCTAAAATTATTCCTAACAATCAATATACTCCTATAGTGCAGGGCCATTGAATTCATGTTCTAGTTAAACTCTTGCTATTTTTCTGAAAACACTTTATATAAGAAAGTGAGATGTGTTTTATTTACGTTATTGACCTTGCACAATTGATCATGTATACCGTGAATCACTACAAGTCATTGCGCCTGTAGTCACAGATGATTTGTCGCGGTTCACAAAGTGATCCTTCATATTTTAGTCACAAAACATAGATGATGATGATGATAAAACACTTTATTTTATTCGTTTTACGTATTTTTTTACGGAGAAGAAAATTATATAAAAAATCCTGAATATGGTTAAGATTGTTGTCTTCTATTCAGTCTCCTCATCATAATCCCACCTTTTACTTTGTCTGTTTCACAACTGAAACCCCTGCAAGTGGTCCAACTCTTCTTGCTTCTTCCCTTCTCCCCTTACATCTTCCTCTTTCTCAAAGTCTATCCAGTTCTTGCTTTCAATGATTTGGACTCGCTTTCCCTTTCACGTCCTGAAGCTACCTTACTGCAGTTACAATTGTTCACTCGTGAGTTTCTTCTTCATTTTGTAATCTTTTTGTTTTCTCTGAATTCTTATCTTTCAGTTTCATAGTTTCTTATCACCTTAAAAAGATAACAAAATCTGTTTTTTTTTTTTCTCCCTTTAGATTTCATTTGTGTATGCTGTGTCTTTCTTCTTTCATGTGGGTTTTCTTTCTTTGCTTATTTTTTGGGTTATTTATGGTTGTGGTTTCAGTTTAATTTGATCAGTTCAGTTCTGATATGTGAGACTCCAATATCTCTTCTGTTCGCCCTTCTTTGCCCCTTATGTTGCGCTTTGATGTGTTGTACGGATACTGGGGTGGTAGAAATACTGCTATGCTAATCCTAATAAAAAAAAAAAAACAAATTCATCTTGAGCTATTTGGTATTCTGTATATTTTCTTTTCTCAAACATGGTTATATCCACGACGATATGATGATGATGACGATGTTTCTCAAATAAGGTCACTGTCGTTCCTTCTCTGAAGAAGTGGTCTGCTAGATCACAACACAACCTGAGAGTTAGATATTGTATCTAGGGATGCGTGATTTCCCTAGGCTCTTGGTATCGTGTGCATAGCTGTCTGTTATTCTTTTTGTCGGATTGGTATCGCTTAATATTTGGGGTGGAAAATTCAAGGGCTAGACCCTTTTCCTTTTGCATTTCCTTATTTTTTTCACTTTTTTTCTTATTGCGGAACCTTGAATTTTTCTTTCTCACTTTTAAAGGGATGCAAAACTGACCTATCTCTTAAGACTCCTGTCGTTCTACCCATTTTTTCAGTCATTGAAAAATTGTGTCTGCTTGGTGTTGAAATGAGAGGAGCTTGAGGAAACGAGATATTAATTGAGAAGTGCAAAACCCATTCTTCGGTTAAAAGGGCACTCAAATAAGATAAAGCATAGATATTTCTTCTAATTACTGGTTTAGTGAAATCAAGTGCGCTTTGTTTTCAAAATATAAAGAACTTATCCTCTACTAAAATTAGAATTTTTATAAAAATCCCATGACAGTTTTGACTTCTACGTTAGCTTTGAAATTAAATTTCATAGGGCGATTCTGGTGATGGTATCCTTATATCTAGAGTATAAACTTTCGACCATGTTGAATTTCAATATTAAGATTTTTACACTCATATTTTGCTGTTCGTGTTTAAAATTTCCCCTGTCCGTATACCAAGAATGGCACGACCGACTGATAGGTCTGGTTTGTGCTATAAGCAGATGCATCACCTTTGAAGGAAGTCCTATACTTTGAACCATGACAAGCAATCTTTCTCTTTCTCCCGGAATTCATAAAGAAGAAAAAGTTTTCTCAGAGGTGACTTTCTAAAACTGGACTTCTTTGTTAAACTTTAGGCTTGGGAAATATGATTTAGTTGATATCCTTTAACTTGTGAGCAGATTGGGAATTCTGAAAAGCAGTTGTGGGCATTGATCCATTCTAAAGGCCTTTTGCACTCTGATGCTCAAGACCTGTACCGAAAGGTCCGGTCTAGTTATGAGATAAAAATCTTGAGCAATCACATGCTTTCAGAACTTCAGGATGTTGAATATTCTTTGTGGAAGCTGCACTACAAGCATATTGACGAATTTCGCAAAATGATAAAGAAAAGCTCTGGTAACGTGGAGAGCAAAACATCTGGAATGCCTCAAAATTATGTTGTGCATGGAGACAACGACAATCATTTAAAGTTATTTAAGATATTTCTGACAGAAGCTATTGAGTTTTACCAAACTCTGATTGTCAAACTTAGAAAACATTATGGAGTCCCGGTGGAGGCTTTGTTTTATAAAAAGGGTTGGAATTCTGCTTCTGTCGAACCAGATGTCATGCAGAAATGCCAGTATTTATGTCATCGTTGCTTAGTTTGTATGGGGGATCTCTCAAGGTATAAGCAACAATGTGAAAACCCTGACATTCAAAATCATAATTGGTCGGTTGCTGCTACACATTATTTGGAAGCAACAAGGATTTGGCCAGACAGTGGTAACCCACAAAATCAGGTAACTGTTTCTTATCTATTGTAGCGTTGCATAAGAAACTTTTATCTTCTATTTATTTGTCATTTTTATCAAATGGTGGTAATCTTGTTCATTTGCAGTTGGCTGTATTGGCAACGTATATTGGTGATGAATTTCTTGCTCTCTACCACTGTATAAGAAGTTTAGCAGTTAAAGAACCTTTTCCTGACGCCTGGAACAACCTTATCTTGTTGTTTGAAAAGGTAATAAGATATTTAGGCTCTTTCTAATACACTGCAATTTATTTTATCTGTATGTTTAATGTTTCTAAGCATCTTATACTTCATTTCCTCAAGTGTCTCTATTGATCTTGCAGAACAGATCATCTCCTCTGGAATATGTTTCCAGCAAAGGTTGTGTAGATTTCTTGAAACCTATGTGCAGAATTGGTGAAGAGACCAAGGTGCAAGGGAAAGATAGCTCAATCTGCAACAAGTTTGAAGGCAAAAATAATAATTTTTCAAAGTTATGGTCTTTTACTGTTAGAACAATAAGTTTCTTCTTCATATCCTCAAGGTATATCTTGGATTCATTTTATTTTGTTTTAAAGTTTTCTTGGCATGTTGTATTACCTTTTTACTGTTTCGTTTCCCTCTTTTAGTCAATGAGTCGTGCATATTTTCCACATCCTTGACTAGAATTTCTTCTTGAACACGTCTGCTGAATTCACAGTTAATAACTAATTTATTGTGGACGTTTTATATTCTGAACATCGTATTAGAGGATTTCAATCTTAAAACGAATATACACCGATGATAAGTTTTGTAATACACTGATTATAGCTGCCTTCATGCAACATATAGATAAAAGGGTGAAAATAAAATAAAAATACTTTCATAGTCGGCTGTACAAAATATCTAGAAACCTAGATGCTCTTCTGAATTATGAGTTGGTTCAGAGGTTTAATGTAGATTAATGTGTACATTTAGTTCCTTTTATGTGTTCTGATGTTGTTTACCGTTATCTTCCGAAGCAGTTTCGAGGAATTCTCTATTGCATTGGCTTCAACAATTGTAGAGTTGGATAAAATGATGGAGCTAGAAGACATAGAACTAAAGCCCATGATGGAATCCTATAGTCAAATGGATTTAGTCAGAAGAGGTCCTTTCCGAGCCATACAAGCAGTTTCTATTCTCATATTCTCCCTAACAAATCTACTTGGAAAAAGTGAATCTGAAGACAAAAATGATAGGCAGTTGATGCAACTGGCATTAGCTGCTGCATTCAGCTTGATGGGACGTTTCATTGAAAGATGCCTAAAGGCTAGATCTTTGAATCATTGCCCCTTGTTGCCATCAGTGCTTGTCTTTGTGGAGTGGTGTTCAAGCATACATGACATATGTGCAACTGATCAAAAGAGTATAAGAGCTATTTCTTATTTTTTTGATGTGTTTGTTAAACTTCTTAATCAGCTAAAGGATGATAGAAAGGAAACCAAAAAACATCATGATAGATCTCCTCTGTGGGAGGATTATGAGTTGAGGGGCTTTATACCTATTTCTTATTTACATCTCTCATTGGATTTCTGTGGTAACTGGGAACACATAGACAACTTTGAAAGTGGAATTGAATTGCGCACTGAGCGCATCAGAGAAGCAGCAGTAAAGATGGCTAGCAGATCAAATAATTGGCAGAAGTGGATCACATGTGATAGATTAGGAAATATATTTTATGTGGCTAGATCAGATGAAGATCATGACAAGAAAGAAACACGAAAAATGGAGTCCAATAGCAATATTACAGAACTTAAAGAGCCTAATCAGCAATCTGACAAAGGCACTGGAGAGCATGGTGAATGGATGACAGAGGATAATCCAAGTAGCTCCAGCACCACCATTAGAAAATCTTATGTAGTGGAAGAGGAAGAAGTTATTCTCTTCAGGCCTCTGACAAGGTATAATTCAGCACCATCACACCCCACTCTCTCCACTGTTGACCAGATGTCACCAAAATACAAGGACAACCAAAGCGTTCAGTCTGATGATTGTTTGCGCCGTGCTAGTTCTCTGCTTATGGCACAAAACCCAGCTCAAACTCACAGTGATCCATGGGAATTCCATGACAGCATTTTGGATTTAAAGAGTGACAGCTCATTCAAACAGCAAGAAACGTCAACAAAGGAATCAGATGCACACACTTTCTCTGAAGCCCTAATCTCTGCAGGCCCTCCTTCTCTCAATGCATGGGTCCTTGGTAGAGGAAGCTTGAGCAACAACAAAAGTAATGGGACAAATGGCCTTAGTGAGCACAGGTTGCAGCCAATTGAGGAAATAGCCTCTTCATCTTTGGCCAGTCTTTCCATCAATAAATCTGAAAATTCAGTCACAAGTTCAGTGGATGAGTCTTCAAACTATTCCCTTTCTGCTACATATTCCCTTCCAGTGCCTTCTGCTCCATTACTCCCTGATAATGCTGCATGGTTTACGAATGCACAGTCTAGTTTATCTCCTCCATTATTTCCAGACAATTCAGGTTGGAGTTCTACTTACGGACCACATGGATATGATCCTAGATTTCCTGTTCTTTCTAATGGATACCCACCACCTGGAAGAATGACTTCTTCAGAATGGCTGCGTTGGTATAGAGAGAATTACAAACCTGAAAGGACCAACAATTACATGCAACCTACTCATTTAAATACTCCTGGTCCTGAAAATCATGTAAACTTCCTCTATCATGATACTTACAGCTTTGATCAATTAAATAGATGGAGCAACAGCAACAGCAACCCTTTGTCTTCTAACCAGTACACTTACATGGAGCCCCCAGGGCCCCCTCCATTGCAGCCAGGTTTTTTATCTGCTTTTGGTGAGCACAAAGGTAGTGTCTACAACAATTTTCAAAGACCAAGTCCATATGGGTGTGGTGCATTGACAGACCTGAGGAATGAGCCACAGTCTCTGCTAGAGTGTCTGAAGGAGAAGGAATGGCGACTCCAGCTAGATCCTAATGTCAGAGGGCCTACATTCATGGGAAATTAGAAATTCTGTCCAAGGTTCCAGTCACCATTTCATAGTTGAAAAAGTTTTTGTGCAGTTTGTTTCCTTACCAAGCACGTGCATTATCAATCATTCATAGAAATGTTTCGGTCATTTCCTGAACGAATTGAGGAATCCCAAAGAAATTGAATGAAGAATCCAACGTTCAAGTTTTTATCTCATGGTTCACACTTCTTTTCTTTATCATCTTTTCAAGGATATGCATGTAAAATATGTAGAGTTAGAAGAGGAATTTCTCATTCTTGGTAGTGGACACATGAATTCTGAAAACAAGTTTACTAGCCATGTTTGCTGATATATATGAGAGTACCTACGGTGAGATGTAAATTGTAACGACATGTATGATATTATGATGACAAATTTATGGTTTAGTATGTATATCTAAAGCTTAGGAAAGCCAGGTAAAAGTTGGTTATCATTTAAAATTTTAACCAATGTTGTCTCCAGTAACAATTTTTTTAAACGGGGTCCAATTATTGTGTTGTAAGTCCAACATAGTGAGCTCCATTTTTAGCAAATGCCAGAAAAATAAAAGTCAGGAGGGGTGAGAAGGAAAGCACAAACTTGGAGCGTCTATGTTTGTTTTGAACATAAGAATCTCATACTTGTCCCTATCCTCACCTCAACTCACCTTTAGCCCATGGTGTCAATGTACATACCATCTCTGTGATGACAAAACTCTTTGTATGAGTTTATATACCTGTTCTGCATCTTTTTAGGCTTTTATTTAATCCCTGATTTTCATTCGAGTTTGTAACTCGGTTGAGGTCACAGGTTTCCATATTTTATTTTTGTACTAGATCTTGTTCTAGTATTTTGTTTCTTTCAATCAAATTGTCACCAATAAAAAATTATATGGAGAATTAGATCTCCTAACAGGCTGAGAGTCTGTCCAATCAACATCTAAATAACGTATAACTCTAATGTGATTAATATGTTCATATAACTTTTTATTGGAAAATCTTTAATATATTTTAATATACGAATGATAACATTTCAATGATTTATACGGAAAATTAAAAAATTGACTTATTACACTGATTGTAAAAGAAATGTTAGGAAGAATAACAGTAAAATAGTTTAATTTCTCAACTAATCTTTTATACTATATAGGATATGAGATTGATTTCTTCTTATTAGACAGGAGATTGGTGTTGAGATCCAAAAGAGTGTATAAGCAAATTTTGAATTCATTGACTTAGTTTTTTCTAAAATATTCAATGCATATTTTCTTTGACAAATATCAATTCCATTATTGGATTGTGTTATCTCAATCCTTAAGAAATATTTGAGTTTGTTAAGGTCTTTGATTTGAAAGTGGTGATAAAAATGTTGTTTTATATGTGAGACATCATGATGATCGTTGTTTGTAAATACGACGTCATCAACATATACTATAAATACATCAAGTATTTAAGTGTAGTAAAATATCAAGTGGTATGCTTCACTATGATCAAATTGTTGAACAATAGTGTGAAATTTGTCAAACTAAGTCCTAGGAGACTTCTTGCGGCCATAAAAGGATTTTGTAAAGATGACATACTAGTCGAGAAGATTCCTCTTGAACTAACAAAACCTAAAGGTTACTTCATATAAATTTTTTCCTACAACTTACCATTAAGAAAAAAGACAAAGTTGAAGAGCAGTCATGGTTATGAATAAGTGAATAAAGACCATCTTTGCAACTAGAGAAGATATTTAGCACAGGTGAATAGTGGATTCACCCGGGAGGCAAAGTTTTAGATACCACTGTTAGGTTTTTTTCGATAGGGACTAACAATAGAAAGATTCTCACAAATGAGACATGAGTTAATCATATAAGAGAATATGATACCACCTTCAACCTAAAACCTTAAGACATTAAATTATGAGTTTTTCTCACTTATAAGTTATTTAACTTTTTCATTTCTACTCAATGTGCGATTTTAATTCACACTTGGATTCTTAATAATTTCTTCCTCAAGTGTGATTCTTTTCCACATCAGATCACCTCCCCTCGAACGAAGTATTTTTTTAACTATGAATATCTAGTAGTATTTTTTAAGCACATAAGATTATTTCTTCACAAATAAAAGAAGAAAGAAAAGAAAATACATAAATGATATGAGCCTATTACATTTAACGAGTATAAATTGAGATTTGTGATTAAGTTATATTGTATTATAATCTTAATTCAACTTATTATCTTATATTATTTAAATTTTTTTTAATAGTTATACATTAATAATAAAAAAATAGTATTATTTTTTTATAACATAAATTATTATATATGACATTATTAATTTTGAAATATATTCTAAATTGATTTACATCATATATTTATTTTACTTTATCATATAATATATACATGATAAGAATATTAATAGAAGTGAACTTGTTATAAATATGATTTATCTAATATATTTATTGAGTTTTTAATTAAGTTGAGAGGAAGTATGATGATTAAAAAAATTAACCCATGTGAATCCATTCATACATATCCTTATAACTATCGAATAAGATATATTTTATCTTAATCATTTTAATTTAAACCTTAAAATTATAATTACATGTTTTTTAATAAGTTTACCCACTTAGATAAATTAATCAAACTTACAATTTTTTCTGATTAAAACTATAATAATTATTAGTAGAAACAAATATGCAATGTTTATAATTTTTATTATAATATCTTATTTTAATGAATTAAAATTTAATACACATATTAGTTTTAATATTTTAAATAAAATATATGTATTATTATAAAAAAATAATTTATTAAATAATGTTAAGGAGAGAAGACTTTTTAATTATTTTAAGTGAAACCGATGGTTACTTAGTAATTACAAATTTATATTTTTATAAAATAATTAATTATTTTGTTTCATAAAAGAAAACAATGTAATATTAATTATTGAAAAAAATGTTTTAAATAAAAATTAAAATACAAATTGAAATGAAATCCACGAAACAACTACTCGGAAAAAGAAATATCACGATAGAAAAAAAAAATACTGACCTAAATTAAATTAGCTTAGTTTTTATTCAAATAGTTTAACTTGTGCTCTAAATATACTTAAATTCAACCACTCTTTAAGTTTATAATTTATAATTGACCTATTTAATTTTTTTTATTAAAACAGACATATGTATAATAATTTATATATCAAATAATTATATCAATAAATTAAATTAATTTTATTAATATAATTTTAATTTAAAAATTTTAATTAATTTTTTTATCTTTAAAATAAATCATAATAAAATATTGTAATATATACATATAAGTTAAATTAATTTAATAATATAATTTTAATTTTAAAAAATATATTATATTTTAATTTAAATAAATTTTGTATTATTTTTAAAATAAATCATAATAAAATATTGTTATATAATATATATATATATATATATATATATATATATATATATATATATATAACAATATTTTATTATAGGTGTGTGGACTTGGATGAATATAGACCCATATCTCTAATGGACAGACTGTATAAGATAATAATAAAGGTGTTAGCAGGTCATTTGAAATGTGTGCTAAAAGGGTAATAAGCGTTTCTCAATCTGTTTTCCTAGAAGGAAGATGTCTCCCGGATAGCGTTGTGGTAGTAAACAACATTATACATGAGTACAAGAGAAAAAAGAAGAAATGTTTGGTACTCAAGATAGACTATGAAAAAGTCTACGTTTATGTGAATTGGGAATTTCTCCTTTATATGTTAAAGAAACTTGGGTTCTGCAGGAAATGGGTGAGATAGATTAAAAGTTGTTTAAAATTTACTTCCATATCAGTACTGGTGAGTGATAGCCCAACAAAAGAGTTTCTCCCGCAAAAAGGATTAAGACAGGGAGATTCTTTGGCCCCGTTCCTTTTTTTAGTGGTAGTGGAAGGGTTAGTTGGGGTGGTAAGGCAAACAGTAGCAAAAGGGAGGCTACAAGGAGCCAGGGTGGAGGAAAAGGAGTTTCAAGTTAGTCTTCTACAACTTGCAGACGACACTTTGTTCTTAAGCGATGCAAATCCTAATAGCATTACGGTATTTAAAGCGATATTGAGATGCTTCCAGTTAGCATCAGGATTGAAGGTCAATATGAGAAAGACAAAATTAGGAGGAATAGGGATGACGTTTGTGTTACTGGAAAGTTATGCACGAGAATTAAGATGTAAGACAAAGATATTGTCATTTAGATATCTGGGGTTGAAAGTTGGAGGAAACCACAAAAGGTACAAGTTTTGGGATGACGTTTTATGTAAAGTAAAGAAAAGACTCTCTAGGTGGAGAGGTCGAATGCTTTCCTTTGCAGGGAGGGTATATTTGGTGAAATCGGTTCTTTCTACGGTACCATTATTTTATGTATCGATGTTAGAGTGATAAAAGAGGTAACAAAGCTTCAAACGAAGTTTGTGTGGGGCTGGGGCAAAGAAGAGAAAAAGATAACGTGGGTAAAATGGAAAAGATTATGGGTAGCAGTGGTATATGAAATTTGATCTCAAAGGAACAAATGTATTTTTAAAAATGATAAATTTGATGCGAAAGTAGGATTTAGTAAAGCAAGTGCAAAATTCATTGCTTGGTGCGCTAGAGACTGGGATGGAGCGAGTCTAGCAAATTCCAATTGGTTCTATGAATTGGTAAGGTGTACGAGGTTAATTGCCCTATAGCTTTTCTTTTGTCTGTGCTGGTTGGTATATGTTTTAACAAGTTAAAGTATGAAATTCTACAACAAAGACGAGAATCCCTGTAAGAAGACGGAGGGCGGGAGTATCTGAGAGTTTTAAGGCCTGTTTATTAGCCTTGATGTAATATATGTTAATGTTAGGATTATATCCTAAGTTAGTTTCTTTTGGTACCGCTGAGGTTATTGAACTTGTGTTCTTTGATTTTTGTGATTTGCCTAGCTTTGTGACCTAACATGTTGTTTTTATTTTCTTTCATCTAGCTTCTTTCAGATATATTTAAGTTGAAGTACTCCTCTTGTACTTCTATTAATTTTATTCTTTGTTGCTTATAAAAAAAAATATAGATATAAAATAAAACATAGTTTTTCCAAGTCACTTGTTATAATAGATCGGAATAGATAGACTTATTTATCACGTGTGATATATTTACATGAAGTTAATTAGATTTTATGGTAATTCTCAATTATTGGATTATGATGAGTTTCATGTATTTTGTATAATTAATGGTAAGGCAACTACGTAACTAGTTTGTCTTAAAATTATATTTATATAAATATCGATGGTTTTAGATTAACCTAATTATATTTTTGATATATTTATGTGTAGACAATTCAAATTAATTTGATTAAATGTTAGTTTTAATGAATAAGGTGAGTAATACAATGACAACTCATGTTTAACGTTTTATTTATTTTATATTTAAAAACGAAGTTATTTTGAATATATGAGTCAATCAGATTTGACAGAACTTTTATAAATAGTCCGTTAAATTAAGATAGACTAGATTAGATTAAACACTTTACCATTTTTATATACTTACTTGTAAACTTAATCTAAATCAATCAGATTCAACCATAACTTACATGGATCCCACCTAATTTTTATATTAATTAGTGATAATATAATAATACTTCATATTTAATAAAAAACATAAATTATTTTAAATATACTGGTCAATCTGATTCGATATGATTTATATAAGTGATCCGTTAAATTAAGATAAACCGGACTAGATGAACCTGTTTATCACCTCAATGTGGACCTAAACAAATTCAAAGTTAATTCTTAATAGAATAACATACACGTTTTCTACATTCATTGGTGGAACCAATAATATCTCAGCATTCACATCTTTTTCTATCCTTTAAATTTACTATTTATTTATAAACTTCTCTTACAAATTAACTTGTTTCAATATCCTTTTCACTTATTCTCTCTCCCTCCTCTCTTTATCTTGTTTAATAGCTTAGTTCTCCCTTTTTTTTTTAATCGTTCATCAAATTAGCTCCAAGTTTAAATTGAATAATTGAGAGAGCTTAGCTATTTACTATCATCATGGTTCCTCCCCCTACCGATAATTATTGGGATGCTGAGATAATGTGGGTCTATTATTCTTTCTCTTTTTCTGAATTCTTGTTCTTTAGTTTACATATGACTTTATTACATATTTGGGTTTTGTAGTCTTCAAATGTATTTGCATGATTATATGATCAAAAGGGGAATGCACAACACAGCTGAAATTTTCAAGAAGGAAGCGCAAGTTCCCAATCAACCTGTTCGTATGTTACATAAGACTTTTGCCTCTTTTATTCGTACACATACATATAAAAAATTGCTCTTTTAACCTAATTTGTTATTTTGTTTTTATATGTTGAAATCTTTAGGAGGTATAAATTATTCAAAATAAAATACCATAAAAGGTTCACTTAATTGATAACACTAGACAAGTCTTCGAGTTTATTCTTTTTTTTTTTCATCAAGTTATTTGAAATATTATTCTTGCATAAGCTTGATGTGTCTAGTTCTGGATTTGGGTTATTTTATGTTATTTATTTTAAATATTTTTATTTTAAAACCAATATAGAAATAAAATTTAATATAGAACATTTTATTCAACATAAACATTAATTAAAGTTGTTTCAATTCTAGAACTTGAAATCAAATATGTGTTTATCTACTTACATTAGTTGGTATTTGAATGTGATTTTGGATATTCAAACATAATGAAGAAACTTTGTAAGAGCAAAAAAAAATTCTCAATTGTTATTGATATATACAAATTGATTTTATGTAATATTAATTTTTACTTTTATTATATTTTACATCCTCTAAATTTTTTAACACTCCCAAAATATTAAGTCAAGTTCAATCATTGATCCATCCAAACATGCACAAATGGTCCATTTGTTGAGAAGATGACAACTGATATATATATATATATATATATATATATATATATATATATATATATATATATATATATATATATATATATATATATATATATATATATATATATATATGATGCACATTTTGAATAATTACCTAACATATTGACTTAATATTTTTATACTATGCTTAATTATCATTCTAAATCGTGTTGAAATTAATTGAATAGACATTAACTATTTAGATTCAGTTATTACTTCTCCAGATGGATTCCTTCATGAATGGTGGTCTATTTTCTATGACGTATTTACCTCTAGGCAAGAGAAGAACCAAGATTTTGGGTCAACGTCCTCTAGTAAGGTGATAAGAACTAATTATATGATGTTGTTGTCTTATTTTCTTTTGTTTTATGTGTTGTCAAAATTGTAAAGAATAATGTTAAATTTCAGGTCCCAACTATGACACATAATGCAAGAAATAATGTTCCTCTTAGAATCCCTGAGATATCAACCAATGACAAGAGGATTTCACAACATATCAACTCTCGCTTTCACAACATGATGTATGATTCAAAATTATGTGACCAGTTTCATTGATCTTATGAAAAATTACCTGACACTCTTGTCAGGAAATAGTTCATAGTAATGCAAAGATATGTTTTTTTTTAGTGTTTCATGTTTTATTTGTTTATTTCATACTTGTGCAAATCTTTATTCCTCTCAAGCATAAATTCTGCAGTATTACCTTTCACTGTGATATGCTGTGATATGAAAATGTTTGCATAAGGCTCTTGTGGTGTAGTATCACACTACAACTTAGTTTATATATGCATAGTTAAAATGCAAAAACTTTAGTAAAAAAGTTGTTAGATTGAATGAAATACATTCTTGATTGTTGGTATGAAAGGAAACAATTTTCTCTGCTTCTCACTACATTTCTCTTTTATTGTTTTCTATTTTGTTAGTTATCATCCACCACATCATGTAGGTCGTCAGGCCCAAAAGCAAGTCTTCAAGGTATAATCCACTTCACCTATATATATAGTTTATGAAAATCACAAACTTAATAAATCTACTTTGTTTATATTTTCAGAATAATGGAATTGGGATGCATACTGGGAGAGATTCCCCTAAGGACCCATTTGATGTGATGCAAAAATTAAAGTTTCCTTTATATGGACATCATGAGAAAGGTATATCTTGAACTCATTCTTAATTTTCTTACATTTTTCCTTTACTCTGCAATATGAGAAGTCCTGTTTTATTAATTATACCTTAGTTTATTTATTTATTTAATTATTCTAAGTTGTGCATTCTTATATAATATTAAAACCACGACTATTATCTTTAACTCTATTATTCTTATTTTGTTTAAAAAATATTCAAATATAACATTTCACTTTTTACTTCATTTTTTTTAGTTTCATGATATTTTAAAGAGAAACTATTGTCCATAACTTACTGCATCCACATTTATATTTATTCTTTTAATTTCGATTTCAAGTGTTTTTTTATAATATGTTTATTTATCAAATGTATTTTGAGGAAGATTGAGCTATAAATGTATTATGTTACATGTGTACATATCATCTTTCATTTTCATTCATGTCAAAGGTCTCTTTTTGTGTTGTTGGGAAAATGGTGTACAAAGTGAGTGATTGAAATTAATGGGTTTTTTACCTTGTTTCCGTATATATGTAAATATTTAAATGTTATTGAATTAATAATTTCATGATTTATTTATTAGAAATCAATGAAGGTCTCAATCGAATATCATTGGATGGATGGCCCTTAAATGTAAGTGAATAATATTTTTTAATGATGATTTATTACATTAGAATTTTTTAAGTTATCTATGCATATTTTTGGGTTATCCACGTTTTGTCTAACAAACTAGTATTATGATAGATGATAAACCAAATTATCACAACTGAGCGTCAGCACCAACAAAATCAACAAATTCAAATGCAGTCTTGTAATGTTGAGGCATGTTTTCCTATAATTCATAATCTCAAAATTTTGTTTTTTACCTTATTGATGACAAAAAAATGTTTATGGTGCAAATATATATTTAAATATTTTGTATTTATTCAGAGAGGAAAAAGAAAGGCAATAGAATTCATAAAATCAGGAGAAAATGGACAGGTAGATTAATATTCTCTAACCTTCATTGAAATTTATAAAACTCTTTCATTTTTACCCAATTTTGTTAAGTTGTTGCAATTTATTTTCAATTATATTCGTAATTTTATTATCTTTAATTTTTTGATTTTTTTCATTTGATGAAATGCAAACAATAGAACGATGAAGATACAAGTGATGAAAACTCAAAGGATGAAAATGTGGAGTCATATCTATCTTTAGAAAATGAATATGTTGATCTTGAAATTGAACTTTTCAGTAACTTGAAACGAACTTCGACAACATGTACAAATGAAAAGAAAGGTAATATATTTCCAAGAATATAGTATTTTTTTTTAATGTAATCCTCGTTCTATATAATTGATTGTATTGTTGTATTTATTGATACAGATCATATATATTAATGTACGACCATATAAATATTTCTAACTTTTGTGTTATCTTATAATAATATTCTAGTAAAAATTTATTATTACATCATAATTCATGATAGATTTATATAGTTTGAGTGTTCATTTTTTTGTAAGATCGAAATCAACTCTTGCATTTGTTAATTTAATGATACCAGCTTTTGTGTAATGTCCTAAAACCTTGATAGTAGCTTATGCACTTTTTTAAATTGTGTCTCTAATTATCATCTCAAGATATTTTACCACATTCTATGTTACAATTTTTTTTTCTTAGCCCTTTGGAGTATACATAGGTGTTAAACTAAATTTAAGTTTGTGCTTGTGTGTGTAGCATTATTTTATCAATATGAAAAAATTGTCTTAAAGATTTTTATAACATCTTGTTGCTATCTCAAACTTGACTACAACAAAATACTTTGATTATGATTATATTACAATATCAATACGATATAACACGGACATTACACAAGATAAACATGGAAAGGACAAAAACAAAATTGAGTAAAAATATACCTTAATGAAATCAATATCAAAAGATATTAAGCAATTATTTTTATTAAATATTTACTTTAATCTCTAATATAAAAATTTCCTATCATTATGGTAGGTTTTTCATTCAAAGAGGTTGGTTGCCTCCGTTCAAGCAAAAATAAGGTTTTGTCCAACCATTTTTCATCGATGGAAATATTTTGGCAAGCGTTGGACATGATAAAAAGGTAATAAGATGCAATAGGTTTTTAATTGATAATTTTATTTATCCATTCAACAATTTATATTGTGTATTTTATGATGACAGGTTTTCCTCCGGAACATGGAAACTCTTGAATGTGTGACTACTACGTAAACACATTCACTTCTTATAACAGATGTTCGATTTAGGTCAGGTTCAACTATTTTTGCAACTTCTTCCTTCGATAGATCTGTGAAACTATGGGATGCAGGAATGGTAAGTTGTTACTTAATAAGTTTAATATTAGTTTAGGGTTTAGGGTATAAATCATCTTTGTCTCACCTCACTTTTTGATTTCAACATTTATTCCATTTTTCTCCTTTATATATATTTAGTAATCAATTTAATATTGGATTATCTCTAATTTTTATTTCATGATAATATAGCCATCCAAATCCTCGCTTAAACTTCCTGGGCATGCTCGAGCAAGTAATGTCATTGGATTTTCACCCAAGAAAAGTGGAGCTTCTTTGCTCATGTGATAGCAATGATGTAATTCAACTATGGAATGTCAACCAATCTATTTGCATGCGTGTCACTAAGGTTACTTTTATGTCTACTATTTTCTTTTGGAAATATATTTTGTTGTATGTTTAAGTGTCACCATCGATAATTTCTACTAAATCATCTTCTTGTTATTTGTCTAAGTAGTAGAACTTAGTCAAATTGTACGATGAATATTTTTATTAATAAATTATGTGAAATCTTCTTACTAACATTCTTTATTGTTTTGATAGTTTTATTCTCAAATCACTAACTTTGTTGCGTGTTCATAATATGAACAAGCATGGAGCTGAAGAACACATATTAGTAACATATTGTTATGCTTTTAGTTATATGTATATGTTCATTCATGCAAAAAACTAACAAGCAATGTTATGAAAATGATGTATTGTAGGGAGGTACCAAACAGGTCAGGTTCCAACCTTATTCTGGAGATTTATTGACTACTGCTACAGAAAATAATATAAAAATAGTTGATGTGGAGACAAATAGTCTTCTACACAGTCTAGAGGTAACCTTTAAGATTAATGCATGCTTGTAATGTACTATAAACTTTAACTTAATGAGTTGAACTTCAAGTTTTGGTGCATATATAATCACTAAATTTAATTTCTTTGTAGGGTCATACAAAAGATGTCATCTCCATTTGTTGGAATAAGAATGGAAACTATATTGCATCTGTTAGTGAAGATTGTGCACGTGTCTGGTCATTGGATGGAAAATGCATAAGTGAATTACATTCAGATGGCAACAAGTTCCAATCATGCATATTTCATCCAGCATATTCTAACCTTTTAATTATTGGTGGTTATCAGGTAATCTTTTTTATCCAACATCCCTTGGTATAGTCCTAAATATTAAGGATTTCTTTCCCCATTTATATTGATTATAATCTTATTTAAGCTAAAACTAAGTAAACTTTGTATATGACCATTATCTTCTTGAACAATACCTGAATAATTTTCAAGTGATTGATTAATAGGATTCCTTTGAAATTGAGTAATGATTTATAATTAGGTATTTGCATATATTAAATAGTTATAAATCCATGATGTCTTTGTCTAACAAACTTGAATTATGTTTATTTGTCATGTTAAATAACTTTTTCCATACACAATTTATATTGATGAAACAATTTTTTACAATTTACTGCAGACAATGGAGTTGTGGAGTCCTACTGAGAGCAGTAAAACATGGATTGTTCCAGCTCACAATGGATTAATAACTGGACTAGCAGATTCTTCTAAAAATGAATTGGTTGCCTCAGCAAGCCATGATCAATGCGTGAAGCTATGGAAATGAGAATTTAGAAGCATATGTACTTTGGTGTTACTTTTGGGAGACTTTTGCATTACAATATTTTCTTTCCTGCAACATATCTGAATTAAATAGATGTTATATGGGTAAAAAGTATCCATAGCATAAAACTTTACAGAGGTTCTTGTTTGAACCAACCTCATAATATGCGTTTGTTATAAACTGTTATGGTGTTGTTTTCCATTAAAAAAAAATGACATTTTAAGAAGCTTTGTTGTTGCATTTGAATGATGCTCAAGTAGTTTATATTTTTTGTAAGAGTAAAATGTTTTTCTAGCACTTGAATGTATGACAAAGTATTTTAAAAGGTTCAAACTCGTCATTAATCTTACATGATTTCAACTTTTTATAAAACATTGTGTTTTGAACATACAAGCAAGTTGTTAAGGGAGTTTAGTGCATTGCAAATCCATTAATATGGTCTTGATTTGTTAATTTGGTTTATTACAATTATTACACTTAGGTTTAAAAAAAAACTAGTGAGAAGTATCAATGTTGAAGGTTAACCATATGGTTTTGTTTCTAAATATGTTGTGGATCATCAATTTTGTCTTTATACATAAAAAGTATTAAATTAATTCTTATGTGCAAATATAATCAATTAGTCTCTCTGGTCCTATGCATATAATGAATTCTTAATTTGCTCCTTAATATGTCCCAAATTATAATAAATGTGTTGCATCTATATCAACTAAATGAAGAATGTGTAAGAAAAATTAAAAATGACAAAAATAAAGTTGGTAACACTATTAGAAAACTAGTTTTTTTTTTGTCAATTTTCTTAAAAAATTGTTTAAATTTATTAAAAACTTATTTCTTGCAATTTTTACAAAAACTTTGCAAAAATATTCCCATAAAATTTTTAGTAGTGTAATATTTACATTTATGGAGACTAATTTAATAAATTTAACGTATTGTATCCAATTGAGAATTTGTGACATGTATAAATATAAGGACTAACTTGTATTTCGAAATATACATTGCCCAATGAAAGTTATGATCAATGAATGTCATGGTACTATAGATGCTAAAATAAATGTTGAAATACTCATATTTGATGAAAAAAATACAATTACCACAAAATTCCAAATTCCTATTTAGGTACAAAGTTTGTTTATATATTTAAAATATATTTATTATTACAATTTTATTTTATTATTCAAAAGACAATTCTTAGTGGAACTAGATGGATCTTTGACTATGAGAAATAGCTTAAAAAAATATTTGAATTAAAAAAAAGTTGATATTGTTAAGAGTTGTTGGAGAATATAATTAAGAATAGAGATGTGATAAAGAGGAGGATTAAAAAAATTCAAAATAATATTTTTAAATTAAAATAATTATAAATTTAATCAAAATTCTATATTAGTAGTGTGATTACGGTTTAAAAATCGAATGATTTAATTGAAATTTGATCTAAAAATTGATTTATTATTTTTAAATAATCAGATTTTAATTAAATTGGCACAAAATCAATAAAACTAAAAATTATATTATATTTTTTAATTAAATAAATTTTAGTAAAAAATAAATCTAAAGATCAAAATTTTTTATTTTTTAGATATAATTTTTTTAAAAGATATAATATTTTCCAATTATTATCTTTATTTATTTTATATTAATTATATCAACTTTAAATAATAATTATTTTAATATATTTTTATCTTATTTTAATTATTATCTATTTTTTATATTTTAATTATTATTAATAAAATTATTATATATTTATTATATTATAAAAATATTATTTTTATTAAATTTAATTGAAGTAAGATTGAATATTTAAATCTTTATCTTATATTTTTGTTGATTCAGTATCCGAGTTAGTTTTACAAATATTGAGTGCAACAAAGAGAAATATTTAAAACAATGTTTTACCTTACCTAATAAAATTACAATATTAAATATTAAATAGTAAACAAATATACTTTGCAAAAACAATTCAGAGACAAAATTTATAAAATAGAAAAAAAAAAGGACTTTAACGAAATTTATAACAAATGCGAGGTGCATATAACAAACCCAAATATTAGATTTCGGGCTATGGGCGGTAAGGCCCAATTATTTAATAAAAAACAAAAAAAAACCGAAGTCACCGCTCGGTAATTCAAAAACCCTAATCTCGCTTATCTTTTCCCGAAGTCGCTGCGACGCTAACAGAGAGAGTGGGAACCAAATTTCAAGATGAAGGTTACCTCTGAAACCCTAATTTACTTGCTGCACTGAGTTCTTGATTTTGGGACTGAATGTTTACGAACACAACTTCTTTTGCAGTTTAACGTTGCAAATCCCACCACCGGTTGTCAGAAGAAGCTGGAGATCGATGACGACCAGAAGCTGTAAATTTATTCTTCAACGTTTTAATTTTTCATTACTTGCGAAGTTAAGAAAAAGATGATAAATTACTGAGTTTTAATATATTTTCCGTTTGTTACTGTAATTACCATCATTTTTCTACGATAAAACGCTGTCCGGAAACTGTAAATTTGATTTATATGCTATTCAGTACTAGTTATATGAAGAGACTGTGTTCTTTATTGGTCTATGTAACTTGTAATTGAAATATCTTATAAATTTTTTAATGAATGTGAGTGGGAATCTGTGTTGTTAGATTTGGATTGATTTTGAGTCTTTTAAGGCGTGATTTCATGTTATGCTAATTTGATATTTATTTGCAGACGAGCATTTTGGGACAAGAGGATCTCACAAGAGGTTCTTGGTGATGCTTTGGGCGAGGTATTGTTTTAGGCTGCAATCCTTCCGTAGACAGCTGAAATTTCGTGATAAACATTATCAGGGATTGACCTATTCTCCTTTTTTTTTTTTTTGCAACTTACAGGAATTCAAAGGCTATGTCTTCAAAATCACTGGAGGTTGTGACAAGCAAGGGTTTCCAATGAAGCAGGGAGTGTTGACCCCTGGCCGTGTTCGCCTCTTGCTGCACAGAGGTTTGACTACTCGGAAACTCTCTTGTTTGGTTGATTATAAATATATAGTAATTATCACTGAAGCATTTTTACAATCAGTTTCTATATGTGGCCTTGAATATTTGGTAAATGATTCCTCTGGGTGATACTTCCTTGTTTAATAACTTGTGTTGTTTGATTCTTTTTCAAGTAAGACTATATTACATTTGTTTAAGATACTGTTATCTTTACAACCTTTATTCGTGATCTGATGTTAAGCTTTTGAGCAGGAACTCCTTGTTTCCGTGGTTACGGAAGGCGCAATGGAGAGCGCAGGAGGAAGTCTGTCCGTGGGTGCATTGTAAGCCCAGACCTGTCTGTTCTGAACTTGGTAATTGTAAAGAAGGGTGAAAATGATTTACCAGGCCTGACAGATGTTGAAAAGCCAAGGATGAGGGGTCCAAAGAGAGCTTCCAAAATTCGCAAACTGTTCAACCTGTCTAAGGAGGATGATGTGAGGAAGTATGTCAATACATATAGGAGAACATTTACAACTAAAGCTGGTAATGTGTCTTCTCTCTGCAACTGTTCTACATAGTTTTATCTTGTCCTAGCGAAAAAATTTATAAGTTTGACTCATTAATGACCTGTAATCTCTACCGCTTCCATTTCTCTAATCTAAGTTTGATTTTATCAAATTTGTTTGTTTGAAGGTGACTTACAATAACAGAGGTATTCCGGTTTATGGAATTACTTATGGAATTGTACCTGTATGTAGTTTGTATGTTTTTTTTACTACTAGAATTTATCTAAATTATCCATTCACAGAGCTGTGTAGCAAAAGAGGACTTTTGATAGAAATCTGTTTTCTTCACGTTATTATTTTTGGAAAATATTAAAAACCATAGCACATGTGCTTGAGATGTAAACTCTTATGAGCTATCAATTCTCATTCATTCTTCCAGTTGCGTATTTTGGAAGATTTTTTTTGGACAGAGGGCCCATTTCTGTAGGAGAGATTATTTTTGGACATAACTTGTGGATATACGAGTTGTGATTGTAACTGTTTTGGATATTTTTGTTGCAGGGAAAAAGGTGAGCAAGGCTCCAAAAATCCAACGACTGGTCACTCCCCTGACCCTCCAAAGAAAGAGAGCAAGGATCGCAGATAAGAAGAAGAGAATTGCCAAGGCAAAATCAGAGGCAGCAGAGTACCAGAAACTTCTTGCCTCCAGATTGAAGGAGCAGAGAGAACGCCGGAGTGAGAGCTTGGCTAAGAGACGATCAAAACTTTCCAGTGCTACTAAACAAGCTGCCACAGCATAAGCCTTTTTCAGACAGATGAAGTTTAACCTTCGCTCTAGTTTTTGATATCATTTCATAATCTCTTTTTGGTATTTTGCTATTCAAATACTTTCCTTTTTTTTTTGAAAAAAAATTATGCTTTGTTCTTTTTTTTGTCGTTGGAATTAGTGACCTTTTGAAGGTGATATTTATAGACTGACATATTTTTCCTTCCCGCCGCATGCTTGTTTTCGAAGGTGATATTTTAGACTGACATATTTTTCCTTCCCGCGCATACTTGTTTATGCCTAAATGAAACCACACAACTCATCATGAAGAGGTTGCAAAATGACACAAAGGTTTCAAAGTCTTTCTCTTAAACAATCGACTCTAGCTGCGTCTAACCTTCTGCTAACCCTCCTAACCATATCCCAAGCATGAACTTTTTAGCCTATTGGATCCCCACATTGACTCGCTTTCTCTTCTTACTTTTTGGTGATCTTGTCGAGCAAGCGTTTTTGACACGTTCTAAACCTTTACTAGCAAACCCTATCATGTTAGTTTTTTACAATAGCAAGTCTTGGAGATTCTGTTAATTTTTTAGAGCTAAGTTGTGGACATCCGCTCTAAAGAGGGAAAGATGGTGAAGAACCAATTTTATTGTAGATTAAACTTAGGTTTAATAGTTTTTAAAAATATTTTAATTTCTTCTCAATATTATTTTATTGTTAGTTTGTTTTTTTAATTTTATTTTTAACTGAATTAATATAGTTTTTATCAATTTCATTATCTTTAGGGTTCAACGGAGGAGAGTATATATATATTGATGAAGTTATCTTTGATCTGATACTAATATTTGATATAAAATTGAAAAAAAATGAAAAACAAAAACTTATAGCCTTTATATTATTTTTTAAATCCGATTGAATTCCATATACTCGGAAGTTCGCTAGATTCACATTTATGGACGGTGTATTTCAATGACTTTCTCAAGAGTTTTATTCATATTGATATTTGAATTAATTAAAGAAAATATGTAATTCCTTCCTGGGTTTTAGTAGACAATAGCTTTTTCATTTTTTCTGTATTTACTATATTTCGTTAATTATTTATATAGGTTAAACGACCAACCTTGTTTAATCGAAATTAAATCAACTTGCCCCACATTGTATTTTGTAAGCCGAGGTTGGAGCAGGTTGCTCAACTTTGCCAATGCTACATAAATAAAAGTCGGCATATGAATTAACATACTCTCTAAAGTACGTGGGAGGTCAGCATTTAAACATGGTTCTCATTCAATAGAGACCCATTTGTTGTTGGGTCATGTCCCTTTTCATGCGTTCATCCCATAAAATTGTTATAAGGCAGCACTTCTTACTGGTTACATGAAAAACTTTTCGGTGTGAAAAATACTACTCTCTGTAAAAGCTCATTCCAAGGTGACTAAGAATAAGAATTTTTTTGTTTATGATTAAAGATTAAAGATGTTTCTGAGCTGTTTGACATGTTGTTGGCCACTTCTAGTGTTTGAATGTAATTAATATCTTTTGAAGTGTAGAAGTGAATTGATGGACATGTTAATAGATCAAACAAGAGTGAGAGAATTATTTCCTCTGTTGTGGCCCAAGAGTAATTAATATTTATTATTAGAAGATTATAACTTTGTTTTTGTCAAGATTAATACTATGCCTTTGAGTGTGATACTAAATTTATGTAAACATAAAATCGGCCAGTAGCTTCTATCCCCATTGTAAACGGTGGTGCTACTTCGGTCAACAAAAGATTGGCTTATTGGACTTTACTCGCTGAACATCTTATTTTCTTCACGACACTTTTCTACCCCAGGAACTGAAAACGTGGCAAGTTGCCAAGAAAACGTGGCAGGAAGAAACACACATGCCAACCCTCTGGTTTGCCACCTTTTTCGTCTATCATGCCGGTCTCCGAAAACTGTGTCAAACCATTCAAGTTTTAAGCCGATCAAATTATCGTAAAAATGAAACCCAAGTGATCAGTCGCAAACTTTTAGAGGAAAACAAAGGAAAGAAAGATATGGCAGCCATGTTCATAACCAGAAGTGCCCTCTTTCGCTTCTCAAAGTCTCTCCCTCACGCCCCTCCACTCTCCCTCAAACCCTCCAGGGTCACCTTCGCCACCTCTCCCAACTCTTCAGAGGTTAAGTCCATCACAATCACACTATTTTCTTTCAACTGATATTTATGGTGTAAATTTTACTTTGATAGTAATACAGTTAAAATAGTACATATAACCAAGGTGTAATTTTAGTTTTTAGGACTGATGTACATATAAACCTGTATCTTAATATGTTAATATGATGTTGTTTATATTATTTTAGTTGTTGATGGATCTATTAGGTCATTCATTATTATCAGCTCACTTGATTTGTGAAAAATAATTAATTTGATACTTTTATGGTCTTAAATAATCTTTTAACATATAATTAAGTTGAATTAACATTTTCTTTAAACTTGTTTACCCTATTACATGGGTACGAACTAGTTTGAATTCCTGAAGCATGTAGTCAGTGGGGTACTTAGTTCATTTGAACACAAATTTTACGTTTATATTTATTTGTTTTGCAGAGGAGAAATGCAGCAGAAGGAACGAGAGACGGAAGAAGCGATTGGACATATGAGTCTGCAGAGGCAAAACGTGAGGCAGATGAAATGTCAAAGAGGGCGAAAGAAACGGCGAGTGAAGCCGTGGACATGGCCAAGGATCAGGCGCGAGAAGCCAAGGACAGAACCAAAGAATACGCACAAGACGCGAAGGAGAAGACGAAGGATGCAGCGGGGTCACTGAGGGATAGTGCGGCGAGCGCGAAAGAGAGGGCGAAAGAATATGCGTACGAGACGAAAGAGAGTGCAAAGGACGCGGCAGGAACAGTGGCGGAGAAGGGTAAGGAGGGGGTGGAGAGAACGAAGGAGAAGACGGAGGAGGTGGCGGCGTCGACCGGAGAGACTCTGAAGAACGTGGGGGAGAAGGCGAAGCAGGGCGTGCAAGGGGTGTGGAACGCCGCGAAGGACACCACACACAAAATCAAGGAAACCTTGGTTGGGACGGATGATGACGATGATAATGATGGTCGTGGTCGTGGTGTTCTCAAGGATGATGATTATGATGATGATGATGTTGCAGAGTTGAAGAAAAGACATGGGAAGAGTTATGGTGAGAAGGGTTATTAGAGAATGGATGTCTTATTTTAGCATTTTCAATTATTTACTGTTCTAGTGCTACTTTTCAACGTTCTCATAAGTTGAGGGTGTGGGAAATAAAACACGTCTAAAAATACTTTTCCAACCTTCATTGGTTATATTTGGTCTTAGTCTACATTTTTCAGTTATTTTAGAATTGAAAATAAAATGAAAGAACAGAAATCAAATTAATCATTTTAATTTAAAAGTGGTGTTTGAATAAGTAGAGAACTAACCTCAATTCATGCTTTTATAGTATTTTTCATCCGAGATATTGATTTTGTTTATAATATGCAAAAAGAAAAAAAAAATCTAAATATCAAACAAAGAAAACTCCAAAACCACACTTTGGGGGAGAAAAATAGCAAAAAATATGGTGAAAATAGCAGAAGCCATTGCAAGGTGATCAAATTGCAAAACTGGGCTCAGGCCCAAAATGTCACAAACCTTGGACTTCTCTTTAGGCCCTTGCACTGGTTGACTAATACATTACCTAGAAAAAATTACTACTAATGTCATTTGAAGGTAAGAGGGAAATTATTTCCGTAAGCAAATAATGAGGTTACAATAAATAGGAATTACACCGTTTTACTAGGACTCATCCTTCTAAAAGTAAATAATTAATTTGATAAAAATTAAATTGTATAAAATAACAATTTTCAAATAAGTTCAGAATTACTTTTAACTACTATATATCAGTCACAGCCACACTCAATAATCAATTTTTCATTGATAAATTAATTAAAAAAATCATGTTTTTCAACTTAACCCTCTTTTTCTTACCAATTAACCTCTTGGTACTGGTCTTTACTTGCTTCTACCCCCTCTCTCTCTCTCTCTCTCTCTCTCTCTCTCTCTCTCTCGTGGTTATTAACTTTATCTATCATCTTTATTTCTTCATTTTTTAATTAATTACCACTTGTTTGTTATTTTTCTCTTTCACTGGGACTCACAATTCAAACGTTCAGTTTTAACCGACCCATTTTTCAAAATAAAAACAAAATTAAATGAATCATGAAAAAGCAAAAGTGGTGATGCTTTTAATAAAAGCACAAAAGTCAAAAGCGAGAACTTGACTTCTCAACATCATACTTTTACAGTAATTTTTTTTTTTAAATAGAATGCCCCAAGATGTGGTAAAATCACAATCCCACACAATTTATTGAGCACAATATGTTATCGTTTTGGGTCAATATATATTTAGTGCACATATATTTTTTACTAAAAAAATGACTATATCTTCAAAGGCCCATTAAAGTTGCAGTTGAGCATCAGACCCTGTAGTTACCAGCACCTGCCAACTTATTGGGCCAAATTATAACTCCATGGCCCTTCATCTGAAGGACATCATACTGCAAAAACTTGGGAAGAACAGAAAACAAATATTGTATAAAATTCAAATTTTAGTTCAGAATCATTTTAACTGCACTCATCATCATCACAATTAATGGTCAATTTTCATTTTTATATATTAATAAAAAAAACAAATTATTTATTGATTTTTAATATCCCATTCACTGCATAGAAAGTGAAGTGGTAGGGTGAAGGAGCAGTTGTAACCCCTCTATCATGCAACGTCACCACCATCTCCCTTCATGGCATCATCATGTGCCCCATGGCATTTGCATAGTTTAGTTCAGATTAGACTCGTCAGAACTGGACCATGAAGGTGAGTGAAATCATAAATTAATTAATTAATTTGAAGGTGACAAGTAACATCTCATGACACCACACCATCCCCTGCATAAGACACATTCTTGCATAAAAAATAAAACACACAACTTATAATTGTCCAAGACATGGTCCCTGTGTAGTTTGCCCTAACACTTTTTCACTTGGACCATGTAAAAATCACTACCAAATGAACAGCTATTTTTTATTTTATTTGGAAGAAAATTCTAAGGTAAGAAATGCTGAAAAACCGAACCTGGTGCAAGGAACGAAAACTTCGGGACTTTACCTAATAATCATTTCAACTTATTTTAAATTAAACCACTTTTTGCTGCAAAATGTTTGATTTCTAAAAACCTTAACTATAAAATTCAGAAAAAAAATAACAGTAAAATATAAAATAAAAATAATCTCAAGGTTAAAAATATAGTTGATTCATTCATTAAACTTGTTCAGATTGAAGTAAATAATTAAAAAAAAAAACTGAACTTATTATAATTTTTACTGTTTTTTCATATTACTCATCTTATAATTATCAGTTTTTTTTCTTATATTTATTAACTCATGTTGATACGGAAGAATATCACAACCCTATAACTTTGAATTGAGAGAACGCAGAAAAGAGACCTACTGAAAATGTTGTAGGAACATGCTCCTCGTAAATACTCATATTACCTTTGTCAAAGGCATGCGTGCGAAGCACGAAATTACGGGTGTCAAATAAATTTAACTTTATTTTAATATACTTCTTTCAAATTTAAATTCTTTTTTATTTAAATTAAATATAAAATGATTTTCTTTTAGATTTTAAAATTTTAAAATCAACATTTATTCTAAACAGTTGTTTTGTTGAGATAATATTTTGTAGATTTAACTAAAATATTTTTTAGTCAATACTCAAAGTTTTTATTTTTATTAAGTGAATTGCTTAATTAGATATCAGTTATCGTCATATTAACAATAAATTTTATTTATTATATAAATTATTATTCATTTTTTAAAGACTTGTATTAAATAAAATAAGAAAATATGAGTAAATACATTGTCTAATTATTATATATAATTGTATAAATTCTAAATTTAATAATTATTTTAAAAATTATTTTAAATATGTAATGACATTAAGTTTAAAAAATAAAAATCAAAATATGATTTAAATAAATAAATCTAAATATTAAATTTCAATTTATTTAATTCAATGTAAATTTTGTTCTAATGCTTATTATATTATTTATTTTCATCTCCGTTTTTATCATAAATATAGATTATTATATATTATCTAAAAATTTAAATAAAAAATTACTATATCTACCCAAACTTATTATGTTTTTTATTTACAAAATATGTTATAGTCAATGACATGTTTAAAACAATTATTAAGCATGATGGGCTTGCGCGTGTGATTTAAATGAGAAAACTATATATGATTTCTTCTTTAGATAAAAAGAAAAATAATTCTTTTTTGTTGATAAACATGGAACTTTATTTTTATTGTCTTAATCTTCAGCCAAACATTGTATGGAAAAATGATAAGTGTTAACCTTTTCTGAAATATTATTTTAAATAAATAATTTTGTATAAATACAAGAAATATTGATTAACAACATCTATACTTTTTCTTTCTAATTTTTAATAAATCTTAACAAAAAAGATTGTACGAATAGATGTGTTACAAAATTATTTTTATACTAAATATTACAATTTTTAAAAATAAAACCTAAAAAATCGTTATATAACAACCTCAAATATATAGAATAAAATTACTTTCAATAAAGTAATTTATTGACTAGTTACATATTAAAAATTTAAAAATTAATTCCTATATAAACTAAATTTAATTTATGAAAGGGTTGATTTTTTATTTCCTAAAACATTAAAAAAAATAGCAAATTTACTCTTATTATTAAAAAATAATTAAGTTATTTTATAAATTGATTATATAAGTTTTATTTAAATAATATTTGATTTATTATATCAAATTACATATTAAATTCAAGACAATGGTACAACGTAAACATTTTTTTCTATTAAGACAAAAGATTTAATATATTATGAGTATATATATATATATTACAATAAAAAAAATTATCTATTGTCTTCCAATTTATCATTGGTATTTATATCCAGTATGAATATAATATTCCAATTAAAAAGTAATGGAAGACTAAAAGCTGTAGCAGTGGGGTGCAAATGCAATGAAAGGAAAGAGGGAGAAGAGAGAGTTCTTCAGTTCTGACATAGCCAACAATTCGTCAACCAGTCACTCCAATTTACCTCTTTCTTCTTCTTCTTCTTCTTCTTCTTCCACTTCTTCTTCTTCTTACTCTTTTCTTCCCTCTACAGTCGCCTCACCTTCACCCCTCACCCCTCTTCCTGCTCCTTACTCTACGCCATACTTCTTCTACTATCATCCTTATTGCTTCACTTCTTAGGTACTCCTACTCCTACTTCTTTTTCTCTCTCATCGCTCCTCACTTTTCTCATCGATACAGAAACATTGCCTCTGTGAATTTCAAGTCTCAGCCTCTCAGCTGGTGTTTTATGTTTGTGTTTGTTCCCTCACCCTTCTTTCCTTTTAGGTGCGCCCAATCATACTTCAAAAATCTCAGTTCATTTATCAAGGGTGAGTCACTACATCCCATTTCTCTTTCTAATCACCAAATATTTTGCCCCTAAACCCCTTTGAGACCCTTCCGTATTGAACTTGGTCCACCGCGTCAATTCAGAAATCGCCCAATTTTGCACACCAAGTTTCTACCTTTTCCTCATCTTTTTCCATAAACTCAACACTTCAAAACATGGTAATTTCTTGTCTTTCAAGATAGTCAGAATCCACCAAGATTGCACAGGATCGATCCTATTGAATTAATACCATTTACACACTCATTAAATATTCTCGTAAGTTTTTAATGGAAATTTGAGTTGAGATACACGATTTTTTATTTTTATTTTTGTTTAATTGTGGGTTGGTGGAACTCATGCACATGGTAACTTGCCATAGTTCTTGTCATTCTAGATTCTCAGATGCATTTCGCAGACACGTACAGCTCAAATACAACCCCTCAAATCTGAAACCCCCACACACTTTTCACTCGTACTTTCCCGTATTAACTGCATGCTTCTCCAAGCCGCCACCAACCACTGCTATAGTTTCTAGAATATAAATACAAAGCAACAAATCCCAAAAACACACAAAAGAGATGGAGCACGGAGGTGGAGAAGGAGGTGAGATGAACAAACTACCTCAGAGTTCAAGAATGAAGGAGATGCAACAAGGGGAGGCACAACCTCAGGTTCAGGCCCCTCAACAACCCCAAAAGTGTCCTCGATGCGACTCTCTCAACACCAAATTTTGCTATTACAACAACTACAGCTTGTCACAGCCTCGTTACTTTTGTAAAACATGCAGAAGGTACTGGACTCAAGGTGGAACCTTAAGGAACGTTCCCGTTGGGGGTGGTTGCCGCAAGGGTAAGCGCGCCAAGAATTCCAATCCATCACCATCGGACAATTCATCTTCCCGGTCGCTGCAGCAACAACAACAATCACAAGACGTGGTGGTTCAAAACCAACCACCACCTTTGACAACGGTGGTGAGGGCTAAAGACCCTTCTTCAATTGTGGCTTCACCTTTCTACCAAAGTGGTGGGTACTTGTCTTCTTTGGCTGCTATGCATTCGCTCAATCCGTCATCACACCCTTTTGGTCAGTCTCTTAATAGTGACGCCTTGCGTTCTTCCAATTTGGGCCTTCTATCTGGTTTCAATATTCAGCGGCCAATTGGACCAATAGGGACAATTCGTCCACCGCAATTGTATCAAGTGGGGAGTGGTCAAAGGGAAGTGGTGTCTATCTATGATCAAGGTTTGGTTAATCCATCATCCAGCATGGCTAATACTAGTACTAATAGCAGTGGTGTTTCTCATCATAATTGGCCTCACACCTTCATCAATAATAATACTAATGCTAGTAGTAGAGCCTCTGATGCTTCTTTGTGGAGCACCATCAGTACCACTATTGGTGGTAACTCTGAGAGGACAAGTCCTGGTGCTGGTACTGTTTCTGGGTCGTCTTTGGTCCAAAATCAATGGTCTGATATTCCAGGGTATGGCCCTCCACCGTGATTTCATTCACCTGTTGCACCCTTAGAATCCTGAAAGCTAAGGCATAGTTCTGAGCAATTGATTTGTCTTTTTACCAGCTTCATCTGTTTATGTCTTTTTTTAGGTATATGATCTTGTAGCATAGGTTTATAGCAGGTGTATTGGTCTTGGTTGATTGTGCAAACATTGGAACCTAGGGAATTTTGTGTTGTTGGTGTAGTTGATGTAAACGGTGGATCAGTGACAGTAGCATTTTATTTCTTCCTTTCATACATAGTTGAATAGAGAGAATTTCTGGGTTGGGTCAGGTTGTTTCCAAAGTTTTACAATTACATACAATTATCAGGTGAAGTTTTAGTATTTTTGTTGCGATGGATTATCCTCTGCCTTTTTAATTCATTGTCATGCTCAAAGCAAAGTATGTTTTGTTAGTTTAAGCCAAAGTCTAAAAGGAATGTAAAAATTCCAAATTAACGAGGCAACTTTGCTAAATACATGCACAAAGGGAATGATGTGTTTGGTGAAAAAGTTGATGGAACGGTTCCATATTGGGCATGTGGGTGACTGAAGATCCAAATTCTCTTTCGCTTTAAAGAGTCCCGTTTGTTTTATTTGCAACTATGCTTTGTGCGCTTTGCTGTTACGCTTTAACTTCGTCCTGGCTTGCTAGTATCAGATTCGTTGATTGATCATTAAAAAATTCACAATATATATAACTGTTTTTATTTTAGTCATTTTATTTTGTAAAAATTCGTTTTAAAAACATACTTTGAATTTTAGAAAGTAACCTTATAGTGTCTAATACGTGTGTTAAGAAAAGCATTTTGTCCATACCATGTGTTAGGGTATGTCAGTCAATCTTACTTACTCCTCCTACCCAATAATGCATGCAAACTGTTACTTGTCCCTGTATTTGGACGTTGTCAAGTGCAAATCAAGAGGCGCATGTTACCTGCATGGTTTTCCTGATTATCTGATCATTAACTAACCCACTGTCCACATGGGTGTTTCTCTCTCATTTTCGCCCTTTTCTTTTGGCAGGACTATACATGGTTCATGTTAGTTTAACTGTTCCATGTTATAAATAAGAAAATCATAAATCAATCCAAAAGAAAATTCATATATAACTGGGATGAAGTTGCACGTGAAAATAAAATCATGAGCCTGGGAATAGCAATGGCAATAGCACTAGTTAGTACTGTTGTAAGGTGAACTGGTGTTGTGGAAAAGTGGCCTCGGAACGAAGTGACCAAAATGTGTACGAAATAGCGGGGTTGGTGGGGTGTGTGAGTCGTGGCTTTCGATTAAAGCATATCTTTGGTCTGCCATAAGGAGATCTCTAAGCAGAGAGAATATAAAAGCAGCGAAACATCTCGAGATAACTCCCCACTCTGCCGCATCGTTTGTCACACGAATGTGCAACTTCTGACACCAGACAATGCATCAGCAATCACTACGTCAAATTCCAAAATGTAGCATTTCTTGCTAAGCATTTCATTAGGGCTCGCAAGGTACCATCATATTAGTGAAACAAGATCACCCTCTTTCCAATTTATCTACATTTAGTTCTAAATTTGTTAGGTATCTACAATTTTTTTATTTAAAAATTATGTTAGTAGTAATTTCTATATATTTTTTTTACTAATGTAGCGTGATTATTTTGAATTATAATGCAATCCCCAAATCTGTAGTCAGAAGGGTTTGAGTGGATTAAACACAATGTCGAAAGGCGTCCGAAACGAGGGTGACGTGCGAGTTCATGGCCCCCAAATTTTATATATATTATAAAAATATTTAAAAATTAAATAAAATTATCTTATACAGAAAATTTATTATATTTTTATAACAAATTATTATTAATTATTATAAATACTATTTTTTATTTTTTCATACTATTTTTATTTATTTTTCTTTCATTATTTTCTTTTTATATTTTTTTCTCTTTCACTTTTTCACTTGTTTCGTTTTAACTTCAAAAATTCATTTTTTTACTTCTATATTTATATTTTGTTATCAATATTTCACTTGAATATTTATCTCTTTCACAATTGCATCTTACAATTGTAAGTTTTTTTTCATATTATTTTAAATAAATAACTTTTTTATTATTGTATTATTTGTTATCAATTAATTAATTCTTTTAATATTTTATAATATTTAATTTTAATATTAAAACATTAAAAAAATTGAATTTTAGAGATAGTTATGAAATAAAACTATATATTATTTTTTAGAGAAAAAGATTGATGTATAATAAAATAAAATTTTAACTTACAAAATTTAAAATTAATGAATAATATTAAAAATATTTTTAGTAATTTACAACATTTTGATAAATTTGATAATATAAAGTATCATGCTACATAATTAAAACATATTAATCTTATATATTTATTTTATTTTATGTGAATATTAAATATCTATGAATAATTTTTATTTTTAAAAATTTTATATAATATATATTATAATTAATTTTAATATATATATGTATATATATATATATATATGGATTATTCAATCTCACATTCTATACAAATATTTTTATATTATAATATAATTTAATATTTTAATTAAGTCAATAATAATATGATTATGTATTAGATTATTATTATTATTATTATTATTATTATTATTATTATTAATAATAGTAGTAGTAGGTCACTATCACTAGAATACAATCAAGATGTTTCAACCTATTTGAAAATTAGAAAAGAAAAAGAAAGATTGTGCTAAAATCCATCATATTTTAGTAGTTGGTAAGTAGTTTGAATTTCTTTAGAAAGAGACAAAATTAAATCTTAATTTGTAAATCAAAGAGAAAATTATTAACTATTAAATAATTTTGATAGGTTTTATGTTGGGCTTATCCAATTTATTTGGTAACTATCTACTGATAAATAGATTCAAATAGTGTAATTTATTTTATTTATTTAGATAAAATTAAATAAAAAATGTAAGTTGTGTTTTGAAATACAACTTTATAACGAAGAAGTTGTATATGAAAAAAATATTGTCATTGAAGTTGTACACCAACTTTTTTTTTATACAATAAATATATATATATATATATATATATATATATATATATATATATATATATATACGATTTTTGTTTAATTTTGTTAAACTTTTTATTTTGAAATTGTTAATTTATCGATGACTTTATTTTATATATTTTAAAATTATTATTTTTTAAATATTAAAGAATTTATTTAATATTAAAATTTAATAAAATAATTAATTAATAGTTATTTAAACATCTAAAATATTAAATAATTTTTAAATATATTAAATTGTTAAAACAAAATATATGAATGTGAATAGATTAACGAGAAAAATATGCATATATTATAAAAAAGAATTTACAATTTCATTGACTATATAATTTGTGGGACATCTATGATGTTACAAACTTGACATCTATTAGACATCAAATTCATAATTTCTTGAATATAATTTTGAATTATTTAATATATTTAAAAATTATTTAATATTATTAATGTATATTTATTTTAATAAATATTAAAATCAAAATTTTACTAAATAAAAAAATTAAATATATAAACTAAAATCATCAATCAAATAACTACTTCAGTAAAAAAAGTAATTAAAATTATTAACTAATGGATGATTTTAATATTTAAAAAAAATTCAAATCATATATTTAAGCATAATTTAAAAAAAAAAACACCACTTACAATTTTTTTTTAATTTACTTAAAATGAAAAGCAAATTACACCTGTATGAGAAATTGACACAGTATTTCACACTTAATACCATCACATCTCTTCTTGCAATAAAATATTTTTTTCATCCTAGTAGATTGTTATCTCATGTAATTTTTTACTAACTTAATTATGATAATTTTTACAACAATGACAATTGGTCATTGTACATAAACAAAAAATATTGGAGTAATATGATAGTACAATTTTAACTCTCGTACGTATGGGTTCACTTCAAATAATATCTAAACATGTTAACCATACTTTTGTTTTAGACAACTTATAAGTAAAATATTTATCAAAATTACTAATTATATGTTTTTTTCTTTTTTGCATGACCGGAAATATTCATAGTTAATTTTATTGTATTAGCTTCTGTATGATATTAATTTTTTCAACAAAAGAATAAGTTTCGAAAAGGAGAAAAATGTTAAAAAGTAAAAAGTTAAAAAGACTAGAATAAATAGTCATGAGATCATACGATATCCAAACACAAATTATTATAATTTGAGTACGATTCATTATTGCCCATTACATTTTTACAAGCAAAAAGTTGTAAATGGTAAAAAAATATATCTTCTTATCAAATATAATTTATATTATAATATGACTAATAATTTATTTTATTACAAATTATTATAATATGAATAATAATTTATTTTATTTTTTAAAATAACTCTAAATCTAATTTAATCTCACAAAACTAAGTTATAGGTAAAAATTATTTTTATTTTTATATTATAATTTTCTATTTATTATTCTTAAAAAAATCTTTAGATGTTTTTTAGATTAAACTAAAATATTTAATATTAGTTGAATTTTTAATAGATGGGTTTCATTTTTATAACATAGGTTTTATTGATTTAGTTATCTCAAAGTAACAAATTTTGATTATATTAAAACAAATAAATTATTATACTGATTCATTAGCGAGCTAGATTTTTATTATTTTAGAAAACTCTCATTAATACGTAGATAAACTTCAATATTGAAATTACTCATAAATTTATAAGTTATTTTTTAAGCAACTAGTAAAAAACACCTGCATTTGAGATGCTAAATATTTTTTAATTTTTTGTATAATTAGTTTAATTTAAAATTTAATCTTATAATTTTTCTAAAAAAAAAACAATTTAATAAAATAATTTAAAATTTAATCTTTATAAAAATTTAAGACCTCTTATAATTTATTATCATTTCAAGTTAAAATACTATACTAAATTAATATTTAATTATATTAAATTATTTTCAAAATTATCAATTAAAAAAATATAAAAATATGGGTATTTATAAAAATGATCTAGTAAAAGGAGATTTATAAAAATTTAGCACGGATTGTTTACAGTCACAAGATAAAAATTTCATTACATTTCGTATAAAAACTAGTACTTTGGATGTCCTTATGAAACAAGTGGAATTGATGTAAATTCAGCCTTTGAGATAAAAAAAAATTGATATATATATATAATTTATAACAATTTAAAAAATCTAAAATATATTTGATAATAATATATAGAGAAAAATGTGTTATGATAATACTAATAATTAGATTAAAAATAATCTTTAATCATTAAATTATAAAACAGATAATGAAAAAAAAATCTATAACTATTATGTTAAAATAAGTGTATATTTGCAGATAATTTAATAAAAAAGATGTTATTTGTGAAGGCTTAGAATGGAAGTGAGGTAGAAAATGATGAGAAGGTGGGGAACCTGTCCACCTGGTGTTGCTGCTTCAACTCTACAAATGGTGGTGTGGCATAGCAGTGTTTGCTTAAAGCTGTTAGTGACACATGCATGGAGGAACAATCCAGTGTCTGGCTTTATTACCACAATCTCATCCATCATGATTTTGATGTGCGTGTATGTGTGGGACTATCTTTTCCTCGTTTCCTCGTGCTCTTTCAGACCATCATGTATCATTAGCAGCATGGCATGAGCAAGTGGTGGTGGACCCCTCACCCTTCATCTACACCTCTCCTAACCCTATTGGCTCACTCACAGATTATAACATTCATCAATACTGGTTTAGTTTTCCAGATTAAACACCTTTTTCTCTTTCTCTTGCTTTCTTTCATGACTCTATCTGTGTTCAGATCACCCTATTATATATAAATGCTAATTTTGGCTTGGATGGAATCAAAATATTCACAATAACTTGCTATTTTCTTTGTTATATTATTTCCTTGTTACACACTTTTCGATTGTACCATGATTTTAAAAGTTGGCTACAGTATCATATATCCTAAGTTACCTCTATGTATAAATTGTCTGTTAAATTTCATTGAAAATTATTAAAATAGTAAGGATATGAGACTTTGAAATTTTAAACTTTTTAGTAAATTTTAATATAAATTTATACTTGCAAAAACAAACTAAATGCTCTCATGGTATAGATTTACTAATATTATCTTCAAAATATTTTTTAATAACTCCTGTTATTCTAAATATCTTTACAACTGGAAAATATTGAAAACAACTTTAAACTAGCTGTTTGTTTTAAAAAAATGTTTTCTTTTTCTTTGGAAATAGTTTTCATTCTCAAATTGTAAAGTTGTTAGGTTTGACTTTATGATTTTTTTTTAAAAGAAAATATAAATATTAACTATTTTTGATAAAAATGCATGAAACATTTTTTTATTAACTTTATTAATCATGTTAATATATATTTATTAGTAAATAATTTACTGTATGATTTATTGTCATTATTTGATTGAAAGAAAATTATCTATAAAATCTATTATTTGAATGTTAAAATTCAGAATGTGAGATTTTATCAAATATAAGAGTGACATTTCTCACCAATTAAAACAACAAAACCTTCTTTAGATGTTTTGAAAATTTTAAAATAATTATGAATTTACCCCATCTATTTCCCCAACAATTATTTGATATTTTTCAAGTTAAATATCTAATTAATCCGACTAAAATTGATTATAGTTATTATAAATAACATTTAATAAAAAATGAAATATGTTAAAAAAATCCATTCAAACTCGTGGTTACTATATTATGGTCGCATTTAACACACTTCAATGAATTTTGAAGCCTTTAACAGGACAAGGAGAATCTTTCTTATTGCTAATTATGGAAATTTTTTATCACCCTTTCTCCTTTTTTTTATCACTTTTGAATTTTTAGCATAAAACAAAATTACTTTTGCGAAAATTCAAATGATTTCAATGATTTACTTCTAGAAGGTTTTTTATATTCATAATATATCTTTATTTAATCGAGATGGTTTCATAATGTCCTTACAAATTTAAAATACTTGTTACTTTAATTAATATGATTAATTTTAGTCTTATTTTATAATTATTGATGAAAAATATTTAACCCTATTGTCATTAAACCAAATTTTGGAAAATCTCTTTACATTGTACTCAACATTTTTCTTTTATTATAGTTAAATGAAACTATATTAACCAAAGGTAATATTCTATATGTGTGGTCATTATAAAACTACAAGAGCAAATGTACAAAATCTGCCTGTGCAATTTAAACAAAAATAGCAAAGAGGATATGAACAACAAACACAAACATGTTTTGGTATATCAAATAAAGTTTCACAATGTTTAATAATTGAGTTTAATAGTGGTAGATACATTATTCTTCTTTAAACACATGGATATTATTTTTAAAAATTTTGGGTGCAACGTGAGTTAAAATAAATAGTATTTCAAACATAGTAATGTCTATGACTAAATATGAAGATGCATCCGAATAAATTCTAGACAATAAAGTCCTTGTTTAGCTGATACGTGTCAATTTAATGTAGAGAATTTTTAACATCCTAACATGTACTATAATAACAATTACTCAACGAAAAATATGAAATATTTTATTTATCAGTATTTTGTGCACCAAATTTTTATTAAAATATGTTTTACGATCTCATTTTATACTATATATTTAAATTAACTGATATGTACAAAGCACGATCATACTCCACACAACTGTAAATTAACAATAGTAAGCATTGACTTATAAAAGTGAAAGCATCAAAAAGTCCAAAACAGAGGAAAAAAAAAAAGTAAGTGGTAATGGAATTTATTCGATTCCTTTCTTTAGCACGAAGAAGAAGGCACATTATTCTCTAACACGCATTTCAACCTAGTTTTGACTTGGTTCCACCAAAACATTTTTAAAATATTTCCCTTGTTTTAGATTTTTTTTTTTTTAGTTTCGTGTGCCTAAAGTTTTGAGAGAAATTGAAGCCTTGATACTCACATGTATATTTTGTTGGGTTGGATAGAAAAAGGGTGTGGTTGTGAGGTGTGACGAAATGCGTGCACTCATGTCTGGTCTGTGATCAGTTGTCGTGTTTTTACTTGGCTTCCGTCGAGAATGATTTTGGTGGAAGGTCTCTTGGTCTAAAATAATATTTAACCAAAATGTTGTTAATGAATTTGGTGGGGTGGAAAATATTATTATTTTAGACTCTCGTTTTCATTGCTAATAAGATAAAATATATTATTAGTCTTGTATTATTATGTTAGATTGTGTTCGTTGAAAACAATGGAAAGAAGTTCTTGGCGTCTAAAATAAGTCAACGCAGAGGGAAATCAAGAGAAGTATTTTTATAAACATACTAAGTTCATTTATTTATAACTGTTGTTTAAGATTTTTATAAAAAATAATTAAGAAATACAATAAATTTTAAAATATGATTATTGTTGTTGGATTTAATTAAAATAATTTTTTATGGTAGAGTCAAACACATATACCTAATTTTATCTTATTTAAATTTTAATATTTTTTATTTTTATTAAAAGTTTCAGTAAATAATACTTTGAAGAAACAAAAATTCAAATATGATTAACAGAATTACATCATATTAGTTAATTTTGTTTAAAAATAAATAATTTTTTTTAAACAATTCGACAATTAAAAGATATAAACAGACGAGTATGTTTTATATTAATATAAAAAATTAACTTATATTTTATTTACTAACGCACAATTATACGATAAATTTGTTGGTTTTAATTATTTTAAAATTCATAAAATAATGATTTATGATTTAGTGAAAATATAAAAATATTTTATAGGTGGTGTCTGTTGAACCTGTTGAACTTTTTTTAAATAGATATTTGGGGTTAAATAGTTTTTTACTTTGTCTTAAAAAATTAGCTAGTCCACCTCATTTCACTGTTTATATCGTCCTATAAATAAATTTAATAAAAAATAGAAATTTTAGTAATGATAAAAAAGTTGAAAAAGTATATACATAATTATATTTAAATATATGTGAATATTCTCATCTTATTTTCGTCTCTTACCAAAATATTACTGTTAGTATTTTTGACATTTTTTAATACTCTTTTTAGTTTTTATCATGATTTATAGTTAGTTGAAAGAGAAAAATAGAAAATAATAATTAAACATATTTTAAATTATGATATATAAATAATTTTTTAAGCACAACATTTAAATAATGTATATTAAATAAAATATTTATACTTTTTTATTTTTAAATATATTACTATCAATAATTTTCCGAAATAATAATGATTTTTTGTTTGCAAAATAAAGAAGGATTGGTAGTATAAACTACATTTGATATATTATGAGCAATTTAATTGCATACATGGAGGAAAAATATTTTTTTTTACATATGATTTTTAATATACTATATAGTTATAATAATTTCAAAAATTACAAAGTTTATTTAATAATTATATATATATATATATATATTCTGTCGAAAAGACTAATATTGTATTAAAAATAAATTATATTATAGTTATTCAAAATTGTAATATAAAAATTTATATATAAAAAATAAATTATAAACGTATGGGTAATTTATAATTTTTTTAATAAACGTACAACGTAAACTGTAAATTATATAAATAAATAAGAAGATAATAGTTACCTTATTTATATTAAATAATACAATATTATTGAATTTAAGTTAGCACTTAAAAATAAGCCTATCATATTCATTTAAAATATTTTGATCATCTTTATTATTTGAATTAATATTTTCTGTTTTCAATATTAAACTAGTCATTGATAAAAAAAAAAAAACTAACAAATATTTTAAAAATATAAAGCATTCAAAAACAACAAAAAATCTTATAAGGAAAAAAATGATATTTTCAATAACTAAAGACATATTTAAACTAAAAAATATATTAATTTTTTAAATAAATTCATAATTTCTAAATGAGTAAAAACTCGGTAATGGAATTTACTTTTAATCCATCAATTACATCACCTTCAATTATTAATATACGAAAAGCTTCCAAACTAGACATTTTTTTTATTCTCTTTATAAAAAGAATATTTTCAACGAAATGATTAGTACATATGTCTCATATGCCATATGATTAGTACAAATGTAAATACATATTGAAATCTCACATAAGCAAATGTCTAATTTAGCATATATAATTAAGAGAACTCTATGTTATAAACTATTTTGGGAGAATAAAGATTAAGTTATTTCGTTATATTATACTTCAAGAGTCTATTTATAGACTCAAACATACTTAATTTCGACCTCTAACTAAATAACAAGTCTTATTTTTTTTTTAATGTAAATTATTATGATATATGATTTCTAAAATCTATTTATAGACCTTAAGTATATTTAATTCTAACATCCCACTAGACAATGAATGTTGTTTATGAAAACATTTGGATAATAGATCTTGCATGTAGTTAGATAGTGAGTTTTATTTTACAATATATTTAGATAATAAATTTTGTATTTCAAAATATTTAAAACAGGCATATCCTGCAACCCTTTGACCACTACACAAATGTTTGGAAGCCCATTCAGGCCTGGAATAGGCTATAGCTCTTAAAACTCTAAAGCCCATACAGAGATAAAGAGAAAACTGATTGTACAATTTGTTGCGTCAAATTTTTGTGCTTAGTTGGAAAATTACTACTATAGTATTTCAATTATTGTGAGTTAGGTAGGTGTAAATTGTAGACTATTAGACTTGAGTTTAAGTGTGAGTTTACTAACCACATATAAGCGTCTTCAGTGTATGTGGATGAAGCTTCACATTCTTCTAGTCATAAATATTTCAACACCCTTGCAAAGTCCTGTAGAATATATATCTGAACATATATTTTTATTTTATACATTAAAACACAGAGAAAGGTATATATTTTAAAAAAGTTTAATATTGGAAATCTGCCAAAAACACACAAATATGTTTTATTGAAAGAATATTTATTATATGTGAATATATAATAAATATTTATTTTGTTGAAATAGTTTACTTTTACTTTATTAACATAAACTCTTAATAAAAAAATGATTAATTCTAGATTGAAAAAAAAAAAAAAACGTGCTGTATTTTGTTGCATTATACGAAGAAGAAGAAGAAAGGGTATCGAAATTGTTGTTATGTATCTCTTGAATTGAATAGTATTGACGAAATGTTCCCTCTCAGCATAGGACAGCATAAGTCCAAACCCTGGTTAAGTTCCTATGGTGTGCAAGAGATTAGCTAGATTCCCTAGGCCATCTTACAAATACGTACCATTTCAGCATGCTTATTTGTTTTCAGAGTGAAGCATGTCGGTGCTTATTGTTTTCAATGAGAAGTATCTGAAAATATACATGGATAAATCAAAACATGCATGGACCAAAGTTTATCAGAAGAACCAATAGATAGAACAAGGTTGAATACATACAAGCACCAAACCACCCACATACATTAAATCATTAATCACCTAAAACCAAGTAAATAACCCCCTTCTCTTCTATACCATTATACCAAATGTACCCAATATATTGCCGTTCTCCCTATTCAAAACAAAAATCATCACAAAGTACCAAAATTGAAACCAATATTAGTTCCTTTCTTCAAGGACAGCATCACCCAGTAAATCCCCTACCCCACCTAGCTAAAGCAGCTAATACATTACAAAATAAGAAAAAGAAAAGAAATGTCATTGCATATATACAAAACAAAATGAAAGACCAACTTGCATTGCTCAACTATGGAGAACACTGCTCGACGAGGTGACAGCAACTGTGAGATGATGAGAGAAGTGGATCCGAGGTTCCTCTCAGAGCAATATTTGCAATTCTTTTCCCAACCTTGACATATAAAACTAACAGGCTGAAGAGTATTATATGTATTTGCAGGATGCAGCTGACATGATCGCTCCGATCCAAAATCCTCTCACCTTTAGCTTTCCCATTTTCTTACAAGTATCACTTTTCCTCCTTGTTCAATAAATTTTTTATGTAATTAAGCAAAACAAACCCATTTTTCCCCAAAAGAAGAAAAAAGAAAAGAAAAGAAAAAGTAGCAGTAACAAGACAGAAGGGGGAGACAAACTTGAAAAAACATGCTTCTTCATTCGATTGGGTTGTATTTTCTAGATCAGAGAAGTGACTGAAGAACCAATATTAGCAGCTTGATCGTTCCAAACACCCCAAGCTGTTGTGGAATTATTCCAATAAAGCGAAGGGTCGTACAAGCCCACATGCTGGATCTGGTTTTGACAAGCACCATTCCACTCCAACTTGTTGTTTTGTCCCAATTCTACTTTCACATCTTTTAAAGCCCCCGTTCCTGCCTCGCTGTTATCACTAGCCATCTGTAAGTGCTCTAGTGGGGTTAAGCCTAAGCCATGCTGGAAAGTGTTGCTATCAACACCATCTTTCATTCCACTACCGATGAACTTCTGTTGAAGCAAAGTAGAGCTCAACAGAGAAGACATAGCTGGAGTAGTGGATGTAGAATTTGAAGAAGAACCAAAAATGGAATTATAACTTGAAAGAAGCGCGTTATTTGAACCAAACCCGTTTCTAAAACCGTTATTCTCACTAGCTTCATTGGACACAACCCCGGATGAAAAACCTAATCCAAGGGCATTATTCAGCTGAAGATCAAACCCGGAACTGGAGATTCTAGAACCAAACCTAGGGAACAGTGGAAGATTTACATCGCTGGAGCTACTTGGCAACCCATAAAACAAAGGGTTGATGTGATTCGAGGTTGAAGCAGTATCGATCTGGGGTTGCGAAGCAGCAGTGAGAGCAGAAGAAGAATTAGAAGAAGAAGCAGTGTCAATGGCAGCAGAAGAAGTGTTTGTCATTGGACGCTTGACACGCTTGTTTTTTCTGCACCCTCCACCAACAGGAACGTTCCTGAGGGTTCCACCTCTTGTCCAATAGCGCTTGCAGGCTTTGCAGAAGTGTCGTGGCTGAGACAAACTGTAGTTGTTGTAGTAGCAGAACTTCGTGTTAGATGAGTCACAACGAGGGCACTTGAGGGCTTGTTGCAGCTGCTGCTGCACAAGCTCTTGATCTGGTTTTTCCATTACCTTACTATTGTTGAAGACCTTATGATCATCCACCTGATAACATATTAATTACTAGAGGGTAAGAAAAATTTATAAAATAAAATATGAAGGGAAAGAAAAGGGAGATCCGGTTTAAGGTGGCGTTCTAGGGTATGTTGATAACAACACAGTGTGATATTCTCTTCCAAAAGCAAAGCTACAAAATTGCACTGGTCATGTATTAATTGCCTAATAAGTGTTTGTGTGTGTGAGAAGAAGAGAGAGAAATGAACCTGTGGCCATTGGTTGGTCGTTGGAGGGATGACTACCATTTTCTCACAGTTACCCGACATTTTGCTGGTTCGAAGGAATCCTTGAAAAACAAAGAGTAAACAGACAAAGAACAGATATGTGAGACTCGCTTCAAGGTTTCAAATAGTAATGTATTGAGAGTTTTAGAAGGGACTGAGACACTAAAATTTGAAGTTGTCGACCAGCATATAGCAGCAAGAACTTAATTATTTATATACTGTAGATAATATATATTAATTAAATTAACCATTGTTATAAAAATAATCCAGGTTCTTTTTTATTATAAATCACCGCATGCAGCGCATTATTAATATTAAACATTATATACTTTAATAATTGTTTCATTTTTAATTTTCAATCGTGGCCCTAAAGGATAATGCTCAAAATTAATATTAGAATTTTATTAATTACTTTGATGTAAAAAGAAAATTTGTGTACTTGCACGTCACGAACTAGTTTCACCTGATTAGTTTGATTTATATTAGAATACACTTTAGATTATTGTTGCAGTTGAATATATATTTACATTTCAATTTTTATTCCTTATCAATCGTATATATCACTTTTTATTTTTTTTCCCCCTACGTATCTCTCTTCTCATGGTGTGTCATCTAGCATGAAAAACCATTTTTGAACTAGCAATTAGAATATACAAATAGAAGTAATATATATATATATATATATATATATATATATATATATATATATATATATATGTGTGTGTGTGTGTGTGTGTGTGTGTGTGGAATCAATCATGTGAAAAAAATAAAAAAATTGTAAGATACTGAAGGCAAAAATATTCTGAATATAAAAATAAGATTAATAAGAGAATGTGAAAAGGAAATTCAAAATTCAACAGAAAAGTAACAAATAATTGATCTCATCTTATGTTAGTTTGACTCTTTTGAGTCTGAGTTTTATGTGAATTTTTTCTTCTTCTGAAAAACCTAATTATAATTACCCTTCTGTAAACTTTATCAACTTGTATAAGATTGAAAGCCAAAAGTTGAAAGATAATACACTAGTTTAATTTTAATTATAGATAATTTTTGAATGAACTGACAAAAGTAAAATGATATAAAAGGATATGTTTATTTGTTCTAAATATTTCGTGTAGAAAAGAAAAATTTTAATTCGCGCACTTTGAATTCTTTTCCTTTTATAAGGATAAAATATGTTAATAAAAATTAAAATAACAAATGTTATAACTAAAATAAATAATCCAATATAAACAATATTTGAAAATAAATTAATAATTAAAATAATTTATCTTTATATTTATTACTCTTATTTTTGTAATTGGAATAATAAATATTTGGACACTGTATTTTGAAAAAAAAATCTTAATAATGTATGCTCTTGTAGTTGCATCTTTGATTAATATTCCATCAAGAGTCAATATGAGGGCTTGGTGTATGTGTTAACACTCGTATATTTAATCAAACTATTAAATTAAATAATGCAAATTGTATAGTAACAATTAAAATAATAATTAAATATTAAAATTAAAAGACAGCAATTAAGTATTTAATATTTTTTACATTTTGTTCCATGATCTTGAAATAAATTATAAATCCTAAATCCTAATATTTGAGTATAAAATGACAATGTAGAGAGGTTTCTGAGTGTAGAAGTGATATGAAAAATTAATTTTAAAAAAAGTATAAAAGTGAAAAATATTGAAGGTAAATTGGTAAAAAAAAATTATTGAAAACAAATTTATATACTATTCAAATAAATTAATTTAAAATACCTCGCCAAATACACTCTTACAAAAATCAAAGAGAGATATAAATGCAGAAAAAATGGGAATTAATAATCTGGAGTGATTAAATAATGGCATGAGATAAATACAAGGGAAAGCGTTATTATCAAATGCAATCACGGTTTAAGGAAATAAAGTAATATTTATCATAATATATTAATACTTTTTTTGGTAATTAAAAATATTTAAAATGTGTCTGAGAGTTACAGAGACCAAGAGTAGAATGTGGTTCCGCGCATCACTACCAAACATTCCCTCGTTGTTGTACATTGCAGAGAGAATCTGATGAATAGGTACGAAGAAGGAATCCCTACGAGGGAAAAAAAAATCTCACTTCCATTCCACTGTGCTCTAATTATTAATTACTGCAGTAACTTTAATTTAAAAATACACCAATCAGATTTTCAACGTGTTAATGTATTAGTTTGAATTAATGGGATGATTAATAAAATATGCAGACATCGGTGATATTAAAAAAAAAAAAAAAAAAACTATGTATTTGCATTATCATGAACTAAAAGGTTCCAAATGAAAGGGACAAAAAGGCATCACGTTAAAGAACATAGGAAGGCCACGCTTTGCTTTGAACAACCTCTTGCTAAGATCCTTCTTTCTTCCTCCCACATGATTCGACCACGGCATTTTCTGGTTTCTCAATGTTGAATAAAAACTTATTTCACAAGAATGATTAGAAAATTAATGGGCTATACTTAAATGATTAAATTTGTTTAAAATGTGAAATGTTTCTTAGTTTTTTTATACATAAAAAGTATGAATTATTAAATATTTGAAAGAAGGGTAGGAAAACCGTTAATGGGGTTGTCAGAGAGAGTGAGGAGATGGAGGGTTGAGGTGCAGAATCATGTGGTGGCAGCTCAACTTCTAAGGAAAAGGAATTAAAGCGAGATAAAGCAAAGCAGAGATGGGGAACATTTGGATTTTGTAGTCTCCCAAGGGATCTTCTAATCTCACAACTTCACATCGTCATTCTTCACTACCTCACCTCTATTTTATTCAACCTTCATTTTTTTTTATAATTAAAATATCACCACCCAAGTTATAATGGCAATCTTTACTATAACTGTTATGAACTATCAACTGAATTTGGAATATTGTCAATGACTATTATTTATTCACTGATTGAGATCAGTCATGGTATACTAGTGTCTATTATTGTGTCAGAAGAAACAAACTTACACGGCTTAATCAATGTTTATCCATTACGGGTATATATCTTAATTTTAGTATGCTTAATTACCATCTTTAAAAAAATTCAGTTTTTCTTAATATTGAAAGTATGGTTTGATTTGTACCAGGTGTTTTCAACAAGATTTTAAGTATTTAGCTACCACTTTTTTTTAAATAATAAAATAAAGTTGAAGAGCAAAGAGACATGTTACTATCAGGCAGCCAACAATTTTTAAAAACTACTTATTTGTTGTCTCGACTGAGTTTGACATAAAACTAACCTTTAAAAATCCAATTTTTGAATGAAAAATTCCTTTTATTTTCATTAGAAAAGGCAACCTGTTTCATCCATTGTGCCCCTTCAAGCAAGAGTTAGATCCATGATAGAATCCTTAATTACCCTACCCTTATAAGAGCCTAATTTTCTGGAGTGGAACATTCCCAATATCTCAAACTTCAAAGGGTGATATGAAGGAGTAGGTTATTTGAACAACTAGAAGTGAAATTAAAATTTAAAAAATGTATTGCTAAGTCTATGTAGATCAGAAGAGAAAATGGAAAGAGAGTTGTAAAAAAATTGTTATTATTCGTGTAAGTTATAGGGTGACAGAGTAGAGGATGCAGATGCACTCTGGTAGAGAATTAGAGAAGGAGGTGGAAGTGGGACCTAGCTACCCACACCCACTACTCAGTGGGGACCCCATCGAAGAGATTCCAATTTGACAAGCAAGCATGAAAGAAACCCAACGCGCACGTTAAAGGCAACCCTCTAATTCTGCAAACTGATAGAGAGAGAAAGAACATAGTAAAAAGCTTAGGGGGACCAAACCCAACCCATCAAAACCTGACACCAATGCACCCTAAACAACGTGCAGACAAAGATCTCACTCTCCTCCGTTTCAGATTCATTTTATTATTATTGCTTCTCACTCATTTCTCCTTCCAATTTTTTCCATGTCTGCATGTCGACTTACCCTTCTGCCCTCCCTCTCTTTTGTCCTTTTCCTTCCAACACTCGCCAGTAGTGTCATATGTAATAGGCACGCTTTTGTCCCAGGGTGCCCCAATAATTCTTTTTCGTTTCTTCATTATCTCTCTGCACAATGTTTACTCTAAAATGGATAAAAATGAATGGATTTTGTTCTAGTCACATATTACTGTGCAACTCACTCATCATGCAATGCAATGTTTATACCTCCTGTACTTTGTGCTCTGTCCATGATGTCTGTCTTCTAATCCAAAAGCAGAAACTGTTTCTGTAGATTGTACAAAGTTTACGAACAAAGAAACGTGTTATAAAACCAGTGATTTAATACATAATGTTATTAAAAGTGTTGAATGGATAATTTAATCAGACAACCATGTTAGGTCACTAGTGGGAAACACATGCTAATGATGTTACGGTTCCTGGTGGCTGAACATGGCAAAATTTTGATGTCAATTTAAAAGTTGAGGATTCTGATGTGTGAGTTTCCCTCGACGGTAACTCAACTACTTGACAACCCGTTAGGTTCTGAATCAAGGGAATAATTCATAAACCATATGATTGCTTTGTACATCTTTAAATGTTGGAGCTTCGCAGAAAAAATGGATGCCATGAAGATAGTGCATGACTTTAGGATGAAAAAACCAGCATTTTGCCATGCACGTCATCACGCCCAGAGCCAACTCCAATGAGCCACATTTAAACAAAAAGTCTTAAGATGCAATAGTGTTAAAATATCAACACTATCCACTTTGATATTTTAATCAATAACAGAAAACAAAAGTTTGAAAATTAACCAGTTAACTGTTTGCATCCATTGTTTTTTCTTCTCCTTTTTAATCTTGTTTTATATCTTGTATTTAGGTTATCCCCAGTTCTGAATGACTAATCCTTTAAAATACTAGTTAAGAAGTACTATTGAACTCTCTTAATACATGTTTTTTCATATACACGCTACATGTAGGATCTTTGAGTAATATTTTAGTAGAATATTTTAAATATGTGTATTTGTAACAGTACTTTCTGATCTCCATCATAATATGGCGCAAAATCTTGTTACTTTTTTTTTTCAAAGAAATATGCATATCACACTTTCTACATTAATTACTTTTTTTTTTACATTAATTATTAAATTAATATGTATTTCACTGATATAAAAAGTGAATTTTTTTATATAGAATAAAATTAATTAATGTAGAAATTTCAACTAATAAAGGTAGGAAACTCATTTTTTTATTCTTTCCTGTAAATAGAAACATAGTTCGAACTAAAATTTACAAAATTATACATTAAAGAAATATCAACATATGGACAATAAAAAATAAAAAAAAGCACGACAAACATTGGACGAATATTATCATATTTCAATCTTACATTTCTTCTTATAATACTATAATTTTACAAAAATTTTTAACAAGAAATATGCGCATGCATATATAAAAAGAAAACATAATGGTGTAAAGATATTGTATCGAGTTCAACTAGGTGACAAGAGGAAACACCAACAATAAAAGAGGTAACGACAACAATATTTTGAATCCTAGAGGGAAAAAGATGAATTAATGATTACAGTTCTAATCCGAGGAAAAGAAGATGAAGTACCAAGAAGAAGAAAATTTTGAGCAAGGAGATAACAACAATATTGATGTTTTGAAAGAAAATAAGATAAATAAAAATCAGAACAAATCATTTTGAATTGTAAGGGGAAATTTCTATTTTTTTGGTGACGAGAAAGAAGATAAGATATTTCAACTTTTGGTTGGAAGTGTGAAAGAAATAAGACAATTAAAAAAAAAAAACTATACTGCATACGTTACTTTTATAATTAATGAATAATATGATGTAAATATTACGATATTATTATCATATTTTTTTAAATATCAAATTTTCCTTTACCTATATAAATTTAGCATTCTAAGGTGGTTTTGATGGCAATTTGTGTTAATGTGGTTCCTGCTTTTTGTATTGTTAAGTGCTTATAAATCAAGGTGTGGCAATATAAAATGAGCCACTTGATTCTAGTCCCCTAAACCCTAAATTATCAGACAATAGTGATAAGTCACAGGAAATTGGACCACAGGCATGCATCAAATATAGAAAATTCCAGTATACGGTTTTTTGATACAGATTCTATCACAAATATCAAGTCACGTTTGGCTTGGACTGTTCCTTATGAAAGTTTCAACCACCTTCAATCCCGTGGTGTTTAAGAATGTTGGCGAGGGATTATTTTATAGTATTATTACACTGTCATGTCCTACACTACTATTTTAATCTTTGCCTGGGAATCCATTCGTTTGAATATTCTTCCACTTTGACAATATTAAGAGACTAATTGGTATTATTGAAAGTATGAAAAAATAGTAAAAAAATAGAAAGGATAATGATCGCAAGCAACCTGTCAACAGGTATTATTATATGATTAATGACTATCTAAATGATCACACCTTCGTAATTATGTGTTTACTCACATTCCCTTCATTTGTATCCTTCTTCTTGTCTGTTACGCACAGTTGCTGCAAGGCATCATATATATGGCGAGAAAGTAATTTTCAGTGTCATAAATTCAGTACCAAAGGGCCCTGAGTATGATTTTCACTAGTTAGGTCCACAAACCTTACACTACAACGTTTCCTTGAAAAGTCTAACATATAATCCTTTCTAAACCAGTAGCTAATCACCTTCTAGGATAGATATGCAGTCATTTGGTAATTCAAAATGCATACTATTATTTTTAAAGAAAATAAAATATAAAAGCTTTAAAGTGTAAGCCATAATAATTATTTTTTAACACTATTTTGGTAAGGTCATAAAATGTTAAGTTGTTTAGAAGTGAAGGTTAGTTTAAATATATTTTTCTCTTTTAATTGATTGAGATAAGACGTTTTTTAACTTATTATTGAGATATTATTTAAAGATAAAATCGTAATGAGTTAAAGTTTTAAAATAAATCGGAACAAAAACTATCATCTCAAATGTTCCTTGACACTTCAACTTTCTCACCAAATTATCCCAAAACAAGATGACAGTGGTCAGGAGGCCAAGATCACGAGCCCCACGTCTTCTTCTTCTTTTCCAGAGAACATGATTTCCTATCTCCCATGAAAAATATCTATTTTATTTTGATTATAATTTACCTGATTTTAGTCTCTAAACTTAGTAGTTTGGACTTTAGCTCTTGTAATGTCATCCCGTTTAAGCTTTAGTCCTTCTGCCACCGACAATAAGCCACATATGTACTCCAGAACAGAAAAACATCGAAACTGATGTTGAATAGAGTATAAGGACCGATATCTAAATGAAATAAGACTATAAGAATCCAATTTAGCTAAGCTTGCAGAACATAGAGACAAATAAAAATCGAGCTAAAGCATAAAAACAAAGAAAATGTTTATTTCAAAAATATAATAATGAACCACGAAGAGTGCGCTTAGATTATGTGAATCTGCTGAGAACTACAGGGGTACTAAAAGCCAAACTTTGTGACTACTAATAACTACAGGGACAAGATGATAAGATTGTTATAAGTAATTAACGAAAATATATGATATTCTAGTTCTTTTGGTATCTTAGGGTAAATCAAATTTTATAGCTATCAGATACTTTCCCTAGTACAAATACGAGGGTAAAAGCCATAATTAACTAGGGGAGTTTAGTTCAGTTAGTTTAAGACAGTGAATTATTGTAAATTATTTGGTATCTGTGCATAATTTCTTTGAATATAAAAATACATATTTACATGAGTGTAATCATCTTTGCAATGCACAATTTGGAGCTATTATGCAATCATATCTGCACAAAGGCTCAAAATTGGTTTACAGAAAGGAAAAATAACTTGTGCAGTTAAGTTAATGATATATGACATGAACCAAGTTGAGTTACTATGATTGGTTTCGTACCCCATAAGAAAATCCACATCCTGGATTCACATGTTCCCTACTTTCCATTTAACATTATGCAAACACATTGCATCCTCTTTATGATTCCCATAATAATTATATCCGTAGTTAGAAATGCGCTGGACCAGTGATTTGAATTGTACAATCTCCCATCAGACCACTTCCATCCTGTGTTTAAGCTTAGGATCGGCCAAATGGTGAGTGAGATTTGAAATAAATTTTGATATTATTTTTGTTTTTTAACAAATGAAAGAATTATATCTTAGAATTTTTTTACCACCATTTATGAACATTTTGCTCTATAAACTGTAAGAACTATTTTTTGTTGGTAAACCTAAAACTTGAGCTTTATAAGTAGCCTGCTCGAACCTGTCTAAGTTTTCTGACAAACTTTGAATTCATTAATTTTTTTTTTCTTCTAAGAAAACCTGCAGTTTAGATATATAATTTGCAATTTGCTAATATGTGGGAACAAGTATTTGGTTTTTTTGAGTTAGCTTTTATTTGAGTTAAATGCAAATTCAAATTTTGAGATGGTAGAGATCTCACTCCAAACAAAGACCACTAAAAATAGCACTGAAGTGAGAAGATAATAGAATTTTTGTTCTTCGAAAAGGCATAGAAAAAACTAAAAATAACACTAGAGGAAATTATAAAAGAGGAATTTCAAAGCGAATGATATTCCTAAAAGAATTGGTTTTTTTAACCTGGTTTAAATAGTATAATCCCACGCAGCAGAACTGATGTCGTAGGATACTTTTATTGGAGAATAATCTTGAGTTAGTATTCTAAAAATTTTTAACAGTTTATTAAAAATTGGCAAGTATACTAACTTTACAAGCAATAATATGAATTTTTTAAGTTAAATATCGAATAGTAATCAAGTTATAAAATGTTTGTTTATTAATTTTTGTAAAATTAAATATTTTATCTTAAATAAAAGATATTATAAGATCAAAGGATAAATTTAAAGATAAGTGTTAAGAGATGAAAATAACTAAAACTAATCTATTCATGTTATTATAGTTCAAATTAATTAGATGTTCTGTCTAATATATTGTTTATAAATATTTTTTTAATATTAATCAAATCTCAGTTAAACAAGTTAAAGATGATCCAACTTATAATACAATCATTATTCATAAAAAAATTAATATAACTTACATGAACTTTGATAAATTTAAATGAAAATGTTTATATGTTTTTGGTTCCTTACATCTAATTCTAATAAGGAAATTTAATTACTCATGTTTCATCAGAGAATTGCAGAGATGTTTTCAACCATAAATCTAGGATATTTTCTGTCAAAGAAAATATGTAGAACCTTTTCTTAAATATCTAGCGCTGAAATTTTCCTGTTTTTTAGGCAATAAAGAGTCAAATAAATGTTAGAATTAGAATATTTGATTTTCTCATTTTTAGGAATCTGTTATATTAATTAGTTCTGATATTTTTACCATCTTATTTTGTTTATTAAGGTATAAATTTAAATTCCACAACTAAATAAAAAATGCATTCTACAAATTAAATATTCCTTCTTCTTTTTCTGTATCCCTCATTATATTTTAAAAAAAACTTATTGGATCTTTATTTATAAAAAATTTATTTACCCAAATAAAATATACTAAATAACAAGCTTTCTTATCCTTGCTAGTGTAGACAAACACTTTATTTAGCATACTTAGTCGCTCACTTTGCTAGTTTAACAGAACATTTCTAACGTAAGAGAACTTATCTTTTTGTTTGCTTCAAGTGACTAATCAAACTCATTTAAACAAGATTGACTAAATTCCCATTCCCTTTAAATAAGCAAAAAATTAAGTCATACTTAATAGAGGATATTTTTTATATCCTCTCTTCATGATGTATTTATTTAAGATGAGAAAATCTACGTTTTATGTACTTAATCAAATCTTTATTTTCTTGTCAAAATTTTAATGTTTCATTCCATACTTCCAACAAATAATCAAAATTGTTCCATTTATTAATAAAAATAAAAACTATAAAAAAACATTTTTAAATCACAACAGAGCTTCAATAGAGGACACAAATTCTTGTATACATATTAGTTGCATGTTTGCAACAGACACCAATGATACGTCAAAGTTAAGTTCCAATGAAGAACGGTGGTCCACTGCATGAGGCTGTTCTTACCTTCCCTATTGACGAGACATGCCTAATTTTCTACCTCAATAATTCAATAAATTTTTCCATCTCAAGGGTTTGATCAAATAAAATCTCCAAAATACTCCTCATCACCAATTATTGATCAGAACTCCACCATCTGTCTAAATATTCAAGTGTTTCTGTTTTACATATCAACTAAAGGAAAATCATTTTAACTTTGTTGTCCTTGGCATCTCTGCATATATATTTCAACATCTGACACTGCTTCAACCAATTAATTCAGTTCTATTTGTTTCTTCGGCAGTAATCTATTAACAGAAATGAATAATTTGAATAAGATTTGGTATCATTAGAGGACAACATTACGCGTTACATTACATATGTAGATATAAGGTACCACTTCCTTTTCGTCTTGCAATTAATTATTTGTTTATTTCCTTTCTGTCCCAGAGAATCATAATGTAGGACTATGATTAATATCTTACAAAAAGCGTCCATAGAGGAATGATTAAACACGATCAATCTCACCACCTTTCACTCCTACTGTGTAATCGTTACAGCTATTCCTCACTACCACTGCTACTGTTTCACCACCAATTTTTCTTCTTACTTGATTATTCATTAATCGAATTTATTGGAAAATTATATATATGAATTCAAGATTTCAATTCATTTATAAACTATTCTGTTTTTATATATATTTATAGATTTGTACTAATTATTATAACTGTGGAAGATTGGAAAACAAGTTGAGCTTATGAGTCTGCTAATTAGTTTTGACTATTCTATGATGTGAGTGAATATGAAGGTATTCCCCATAGCATATAGAATTGGTGGTTTCTGGTATGGGAGAGTTTTGGGATGGAGTTCTCAATCATCCACCAACTTCTTCATTTAATAAGTAGACAATTTGACAATTGTCCCATCATGATAATGATAGTGAAATGTTGTATATATCTCTTCTCTCCTTCTGTTCAGGAAAACATGGTTATTCAAATAAATTCCCACTTGATACAGGTAGGCTTCCACAATTTGAAAAATGGGGTGACAACAAAAGTCACATTTGTGCACCAAATAAAATAAGCAATATGGTGGAAGAGGTTTGCGAGCTCTAGGGACCAATTTTCTATGCTTGGATTTTAAGAAATGAGAGAATGTTGGTCAAATAATATACTCGTGTATATAAAATGCTGCATGATTATTGTGAATCAAATATACAACGTCATTTAATCTACACAAAGCCATTAATCAAGCCGTGTTAAGCTATCTATTTGAAACACCATAATACTACATTATTGCTAGTGGGGTAAAGCTAGTTTACAATTTTTTTTTTTTATTCTCAGGAATAACTTATATCGAATTGTTGTTTATCTTTAAATATAGAATCACTTCATTCTTCTCATTCTTTCTACAATGACACTATTCTCTTATCCATTTTTAATTATTATTCGATCATGTAATTTAAATAGAAAAATTTACATTGAGTTTAGATGTACTTCAATCACGGAAATAAATGTACTAAGAGTTAATAATCAAATTGTTTGTTTTAATGAAATTTAAAATTTTTAAACAAGGTTCAATGTTCGAATTTTATACGTTAAAGGAACTAATTGAGGGGAGCGTTTGCACTAAAAATATTAATCATATTTCTCAATAATCCATCAAACCAATAACATTATTATTTGTTTATATAAATTCAAGATTATATTAACTTCTTTTAATTAATTATATCTTTTAATATTTAAATAATGTACATTGTAGGGATGAGGATGACGAGAGAAAAGATAAAAATAAAAGATTGTTTAACTATTTTATTAGAACTAAAAAATATATATTATATCTTTTACTTTTGAAAACAACTTACAATATAGATTAAAATAAAAAGGATGAGGAGTAATAAATAAATCATAAATTAAAATGCATACAAACAAGTGGTAATTTTCTTTAGAATTAGGTTTAGTGTAATAGATCACTTCATGAAATGGATTACATTAGATAAAAAAAAGCTCACTTAATTTTGATTTAATTTTTTTAAATCATATCTAAATGGACTTATTTCAATTAATAGATTTATGGACTTATGTCAATTAATAGATTTATGGGATGATATGTTTTATAAAACAATATTATATATGAAATAAAAATTAATTTTATTAATATAATTTAAAATTAGAACTATATTTTTTTATTTTATATATAATTTTTAAGTTTTTTTAAAATTAATTATTTTTATATAGATATTTTATAATTTTTTAATCGTATAAAAATATAGAATTATGTACACAGAAAATTAATATATTTTAAAATATAAATTGAACCATTAATTATTTTTACTTGATGGGCCATGCTGCTCAAGCGGGCTACCCATATTTGACAGTCCTAGCTTTCTCTCCATCACAGCTGTTTTGTGGGGAGTTAGTGGTTTAAGATAAAGTAATTGGGTTGCATTGCCATCTTTTCATAAAAAGTTGGGCCTTCACAATGCCGCACCCTTAATTTTATCTAACCTTTTTACTTGGATTGGGCCGAATTCAACTCACTTTAATACTGCTATAAATTACATATCTATGAAATAAAACTATAAATTTGAATAATTTACGTTTTAGTAAAAAGGTATTAATGAGCTATGTTAACTTTATTGTATATTCAAACTATATACTGTATTTTTTTTTCTTTCTTTCGTAAAATATTTGTTTAGTTATACATATTTCAATTCTACTATTCTAAAATGAATGTAAATTCCCGGTTTTTAACGTTACATTAGTTTGAAAATAGCTTAATTTTCACACTTTGACGACAAGTTTATACTCATAATGCTAAATCCATTTTAAATTTTATTTTTTTTAGTCCAAACCAATTCTAAAAGTTAATTTATATGCATTTTCTTTGAATATTGAATATTTCAATGTAAGTTTTGTAATCCAATAAGTCTAGCCAGAATAATCAATAATATAGACTCTAAAACTATTATAGATAAGGATTTCACCAAATTTAGTTACACCATTTTTACCATACATCATTAGTCAATATGAACCTTTCAACGATAGGATTTGTTAAAAAAAAAAAAAGTTAATTTGTTATATTTATAATTGTAGAAAATCAATACTATTGATTGTTTCAATATGTTATAAACAAAATGAAAATATCTTGAATCAAAGAACATGGGAGAACATGAACATGATGCCTAAAATGGTTTAGTGAATGTCACTAGTTGCTGACTTTACGTAAATTAGTTGAATCAAACCACAGTCATTGTCAAGTAACGAGAATTTTTAAAGTTGTTGGAGAAAATTTAGTTGGAAATGTTGCATTTTTTATGTTTGATATAAACGTTTTAAAAACATTTCCATAAACTTAACATTCTTCATAACCATATTTACTCATTTAGTCATCATCCATATGCAAGAAATTCATGCGATCCATTCGTTATAAAACATTAAAATCAAAATCCATCATTTTAATTTTTTTTTTATGATTAATTACCCATCTATTATTTTCAAAGTGTAAATAAATATTTGTAGCAATATTTGCAGACTAAATTCAATCTAATCAATTTTTTCATAATTAATCTATCTTAAATTTACCTTTATATATATATATATATATATATATATATATATATAAATTTAGTTAATTTTGATTTTGCAAAACTTTATTTTTCATTAATGAGTTATATATTTATCCTTGAAAAATTGTTGATAGATGAATTAAATTGAATTTTTATAGATGAATGAAATTGGACAAATTTCAATAAATCAAAACAATTACCTAATTTTTTGTAATCTAAAATAAAATTTATTCCATTTATGATAAATAGAGTGAGACAGAAATAGGTTAGAATATATACTTGAACTATTATTGGGTTTAAAATTAAATATTGATATATTTTAGAACTTTAATATATATATATATATATATATATATATATATTAAATCATTAATTATATTTGATTCAAACAATATAAATAAAATAAATAAATTGCAAATAAGGAGTATAAAATTTGAAATGTGAGAAGGAAAGACAACGAACTTTTAACTTACATCTAATGAGCTACTCGGGAGGGATAAGATTCTATAAACTTGTAGTTTTCACTCTTTTTAGATGTAAGATGCTAAAAATTGGAATAAAATCATATGGAGGATTGATAAAGTGTCTTTAAGATATGAATTTCACTCATGTGAGTAAATAAATCAAGTGAGAAAGTGAAAAATTAATTTATTATTAACTTAAAACATCTCAACATACTCTAATTGAAATAATTGATTAAAATATTATAATTTTTTTTCATTTTGCATAAAAATATATATTTTTTTTACCAGAGGATAAGTAAAAAATTAAGAAAAAGTATACTAAATGGTATTAATGAAATCTAAACACGAGAAAAAAAAGGGTATAATAGGCATGAGGTTTGAGTGGTCCATCACATGTAGCTTTTGAATCCATGCTAACTTTGGTGGCGAACATATTCTTTGTCAAAGTTTTTCGGAATTCGATTCCCCATTACACCCTTAATATTTCCATGCAAATGCATGAACTATAACCAAACCCTTCCATTAATATCTCATGCATTCAATTTATTTATATCTTTATTATAGTATCTGGTTCTTATTGTGTTAATGTATATTGTTTCATAAATGTTTTTTAAATAAATAACCATGTCGGTAACTTTGACTTTTTTAATTATCTAAAAAAATGTGGACCCGTACCAATGTTCTAAAAAATATATCAATTGTGTTTAATTTTTTAAATAAAAAAATGTCGGTAAGTTTGATATAAAATAACACTTATATTTGTATGTATTTTTGAGAGTCTTGACCAAATAACTGTGAAACCCTTTTGTACAGTGACGAACATACAGGGAACAATGTTAAAACTTTCCACTTTCGGAACTGAACTCATTTTTTCATTTCATATCCATGACATTATTAAAATAAACTATATTTAAATAGTGTCAAGAATTGTTATGCACAAAAGACTATGTATTAGAAGAAAAGTACAAAAAGTAGCCCAAAGATTTGTAGGTGTAAAATATTCAACAAGTATATCGTTGATGAGAGAGGTACATTATTTTCTTTTCCATTTGTTGTTTTGATGAGTCATGTGTCATGACTAGATTCAAACACCTAGTGGTTGTAACAGGAGGAGTTGCTTTCACTTTTGAAAGTGTAGTTCAATGCTGTAATGTTGTAATCAGGTGCCTATATCCACATGCCATTAATGTAGGACTTATACACTTGCAACTTATACCAAAACAAGTTTTTTTATCTACGAATAATATTATTAATGCAAAATTTTTACATTATTCTTTTCACAATTCGGTGTTGATTTAGAAGCTGATATAATTCTAGTGGACGTAACAAATATACTTCCTTACATTCAACCCATAATCAATATATATGTTATCCTCTCTCTCTCTCTATACATCACAATAAAAATATGTTAAAATAAATAAAATAAAAATATATTAAAATAAAGAAAATAATTATCCGTATTAATTATAATATGTTCACATTGAGAATCTCTTCTTACTGCAATTCAATCATTCGATAATGTTTCTTGATTTCTTTCTTATCTTTCAATTAAGATATTATCGATATATTAAAAAAAAAAAAACGCTCAAGTCAATTTTAAGATTCTATTTATAGTATATTTTGTGCAACATACATAACAATATATCTACAGTGCAACGTACGTGATCGTATATCTAGTATACATAGTATATATACTGTGTGTACGAACTCATCATCCTTTTGGTATTTAATTTTGAAGAGCTTATGGTTCCTAATATAGGATGAGCGATGAATTGACAAATAAACCAAACCAATAGACCAAATATTTTAAAAAAATACAATAAGAAACATATTAAAATTTCAATTGTTAACAGAGTAGTGTACCTTGTTTTCTTTGACGTTGGTTCTTTTTTTCATGTATATTTTTTTTTGTATGTGAACTTATAATTGGAACCATGGATTTCACCTCTTAAACTCTTAACAGAAATAGAATCTCCGTCAATATTTTTATACTTTTTTTATATTTATAAGGTATCAACAATAAACATAATATTATTATAAATAATAATTTCTAAAAATATCAAGATATCAAAACAATAGTTATAAACATATTTCACAACTCACTAAATGCAATCCTAAACGGAGATAAAGAATTAAATATTTAGTCCGATAACATCTGTTTTATATAATATTTACTCATAACATTTATATAACAATATCAATATATAATCAATTATAAAAATTTATTTATATATCAAATTAGATAAATAATTTTTTTACTATATATTTACTATGTTTTCTTTTGTTGAATTTGAAATTAATAAATCCGTTATTCGAAATATACTAAATGACATCCAAACAAAATTTAACTATTCAAAATAAAATAATAATAATAATAATAATAATTATTATTATTATTATTTTAAATTGATGATGTACAAACCATTACACCTCTATTAAATATATTTTTGAGTAATTAATAATTATATGTGATAGTTTATAATTAATAATTTATGTATAATATTAGTTTTTTAAAGAGATGTTTAAGGTAATCTATATAATTTATATGAGTAATGAGGTTATAAAATAATTTGGATTGATTTTAGACTTTTTTTTTTTATAGGAGTTGAATAGATAGATGATTTTAAGATTTTATTCTATTTGTTATCAATCATTTCTTTAGTTTTTAAATTCTCATTATTATGTCTAAAGTGTTCACTTTTTCTCATTATTTTGTGTTTTTTACTTTAATGCAACAACTAAGAGATCTTCTGGCTTGATTGTTTTTTTTTTTTTAAGTCATCTTCTTTTAATTAATTTTTATTTTATCCTTCCAACAGATATAACTATTTAGGGTTATTGAAAATAATGGGTTCGTGAATTTGGATTTTGATTATGGGTATTTTATAATTAGGTTTGACTCATTGAAGAAATCTAGAAGTTTATTGAGTATTATTGATTTTGAGATGATAAGAAAATATCAAGGGAAAACTAAATCTTGATTTTAAATTGATCTATATAAGAGAACAACATTTTTTTTATAGTAGTACATATAATGAATAAATTGTTTTTTAATTAGAAATTTTTTTGTTGATAAAACAAATAAATTATAATTTTTGTAATTATGTCAATGGTGGATACAGGTATATTTTATTGTAGTTTACTTAGTTTATACATTGGAATGATTTTGTGAGATGAATCTATTTGTTGTTTGAAATGGAATCATAAGATAAAAATGTCTAATGTGATTTTACTATTCTAATAATAACATTTAACCTTAGTTTTTAACCGTTATTAATCAAGATATCATTAAAAGTTAAGAGAATTAAGTCGTAAAATAACTAATATTAAAAGTTGGTTTTTATTTTTTAAAATACTTGTTATTTTGTGATATTTTCAACCTATAAATAAAAATCAATTTAAAGCACAAACTTAAAAATTGTCAATAAATATAAAATAGTCAATTATAAAATAGTCTCAAATAATATTTAATATGAAATTTTTAATAATTTAAAAAATAAAATTCAAAGAACAATTACAATGAATGAACGATAATAAAAGGGAAGGTGATACCATAACAGAGAATGAGACTACAACAAAGTCTAAGATTATAAAAAAATCTGAGACTACATTAGATAGTAGTAACACAAGAAGAACGTAATAGAGAGTAAGGGCGCGACAAAGGATGAGGATGAGATAAAACATGTGATCAAGGGTATAATGGTACGATGGAGGGTGCAAAGACGTGATGATGGACACAGTGAATAGTGTAAGGATGCAATGGAGGGCATTATCGACAAAGGACACAATGGAGGACACGATGAAAGATGTAACAAAGAACAATGAAGGGTGCAAAAACACAGAGGAGTACATGAAGACACGATGGACAATAAAACCGAGCAAGAATGAAATCAATATTACAACTAACAATGACCACTAAAATAAGAATGTCAATGAAGATAGAAAAGATAATAAATATTTCAGGAAAGAAGAGAAATATGTTTATGATAATGTTATAAATTTTTTTATATTGATTACAATAAAATCAATATTAAATGTGACTTCCTACATGGATTACAATACAATTGATATAAAAAACTTATTTCAAATTACAAGTATATTATCACATCTTTTTCTACGTTAATTTATTTATAATTAATATTAAATTATGTCTTTAAAAACTATTTTTGTTTTAATATTTAAATTTATTTAATGTGAAATGGTTATTATTTAATTGATAATACTATTTAAGTTAGGTATAATATGAATGTTGAATTGCAAAATAAGCTTCTAAGGATAACATCGTAAAAATCATAAGAATAAAAATATTAGGTGGTGAAAAATCGATAAAAGTTCCTGTCATTATATTTAGATTACTTCCATCACTAATACTAAAAAATACGTTAGAAACTATCTCGTCATATGTGTTTCACAATGAAACAAAATTATAAATTAATTCTTTAATTAATTACACCTGTACCTATTGAATTAATTACATCTAATAATGAGTTTTTATCTAACTTTTTAACTAATTGAACATAGGTATTGAGAGTATTAATTTCAAATTTCGCACAAATTTATTTTAATTTTAAAAATTATAAAATAAAAATACTTAAAAATTTAGTTTCACAAATTTATATATATATATATATATATATATATATATATATATATAATTTATCATATTTATTATATTATGTATTTGTTATTATGACAAACATGTGAATAAATATTATTTTAAGTACGGTTAAATTTTTTTACAAAAATAAAATTTGATCTCAAAAATATTATATATATAATATCGATTTCATGACTTATAAAATGTAATTTACCTATTTTTTTATAAATATTTATTGTAAAAAATAGAGATAAATTACTTTTATAAATATCTTTATTTGTTTTATTTTAAAAATAATAAATTTTCGTATTATTTAGATGAATTGAGAAAGAGAGATTTGAAACTTGGAATTTACATGTAAAAACATTACTGTTTTTAATAAATTGATTTTAACATATGTATATATAAATTATTTATATTTTGTTTATAAATATAAAAATGATGAAATAAAATTAAAAAATTAGTGAAATTGTTTTGGTTTCAATTTATTTTAAAAAATCTCGATATCTTGGTTATAATAGGTGGATAATCAGTTTTATTAAAACGCAACTTTGTGACTTTGTGCAAGTTTCAGTTATTTTAATTATACTAATAAAATTGGATTTATTTAAAATTGAAATATTATCTTATTTATAATGTTTATTTTATTATATAGCATCACATGGGATGCTTTGATAAAAGATAAAAGGAATCATATAAATTAAAGGCAAAATATATTTCCGTAGGAATTTTTAATTAATTCTGTGTTAGTTTCTGAATTTATAAACTCGCTATCGAAATTAAACCCATTGACTGGGCATAGAAATTCATTTATTTATGGGTAAAGTATATATTTAATATCTCAAAATATCTTAAAATTTAGTTATAATATTCCTATATAAAATTGAATGAATTTATATCTCTGCATTTTTGAAAAGGAAGGAGGTATTATCTCTCAAAAATACATTTCTAGCAACATATACAAGACTAAAAAGGTATCAAAAGTTTTATAGGAATTAAAACTAGATTTGAAAATATATGAAAGAAAGAAATTTATATGTACAGGAATGGGCTAAATAATTTGATATGCAGCAGTTGATAAAAACACAGAAACTTTGAACGTGCGTGTGAAGTGAGAGAGAGATAAAGGTCCACTTTTGAAAGAGTGGGAGTAAAGAAAAATTGGGTGGGGTGGGGCAGAGCGAAACAACAGAAAATCTTGTTAACTTATGAATTTGAAAACATGCATACAGGTAAAGAATTTGATGGTTGATAAAATTGAATTGAAGTGAATGAAATGATGGATGGATAGATAGATGAAGGGTTTAACTGGAATGGGAATGAATAGAAAAATGAAGGAGTGGCATTGAATATTCGGTAGAAGAAACAAAATAGTTCACTTTCAGAGATGTTTCCCTCGTACCATTGGGGACCAATGCATAGATACAATAAACGATAATAATGAATAAAAGTGGTCCTAGCTAGGTAGAGAGGGAGGAGATAATGGAAGCAATAAGGACGGTAACCCAGGTGAGTATGGCCAATTTGTTGCACTGTAGTTGGCTCTTGTGCACCAAAATGCAAAGTGGAGGGGAACAAACAAACTCAGCAAGAGGGCCAAAAACCAAAAGATCCAACACCATGCAATAGTTGCTATTCGTACGTAGTCATATAGGCCAAAACTTGTTAAATCAATTCACCGTATCTTCTCCTTTCCTTTCAATAATGCAGATGCAAGCTTTCCTTCACCAACGAATCGTCCCCCACACCCTCCTCCTCTCATCCTCCCACGATAACGACTATCGTTTACATCCCCAATACGTTCACATATATACTCTACACCCACCTCTTAAGAATCCTTCTTTCATACATTCTAGGAATAATCTATGTTCTTTTTACTTACCATTTCATTCACAACAATTATATACAAAAAAAAAAAAAAGTTACTTTATTTCAACATCATTTTAATCCTCATATTATCAAATCAACCACTTAATTTAAACTATCTACATTGCAAAACCAAAAATTATTCAACTTTTATTGTTGAATAGTAATAATCAGACGATCACAGATAGAATTAAAAAACAAATACTGGGAAAGGTGAAAGTAGTATAACAAAATTTGGGACAACGTATTTTAATAAGGATATCTAATTTTTAAAAAATAATGATTTGACAATCTATTTATAATAATAATAATTATTGTAAATAAAGTAATAAACGGTTATTTTACAAATTAAAATTTCAAAATATCTATTTTTAGGGTTTAGAAGAGAGAGAAAGAGGGAGGGAGAGGACCCACTTTCTTTTCTTCAAAAATTTGAGCACAGAGTTCTGTTGTGTTCTAATAATTACCACTGCTTTGTAGCAAGATGACAGAAATGTTTTTGTCCACGCAGACGACAAGATACTTAAACCATGCATTGATATTAGTGTTTTTTTATCTTATTATTTTCGTGTTGGATTTTATGTCTTCAACGTGAATGGTCGATTCGTACCAATGGAAAAGAACGTGATTGGATGACGCTATATGAAAGTTTATTTTTTAATAAAAATAAATCTGTTTTTTCCAACTTGACCTGGCACAGCCGCCACAAAAGGCAAAAACTTTTCAGTTGGTAATAATATTTTTTAATTAAAATAATAATAGATGGTTTTAGTTGTTTTATTTATATAATATTTTTAGTAAGTTTTTCTTTTCTTTTTATGAGATTTTTACTTTTATACTTATTTATTTTCTAATTGTGAAATAAATACGAGTAAAAATCGAATTTGTCATGAACTTTTCATGGATTGAATAGCATGAATTTGATTAAATAAAAATTCCTTCCTCTTCGTCTCTTGCCATATGAGAATTAATGATTCTTTCTTCTCTTACACACAAGACAAGTAGCGTGGATGAACCAAAATTTTTATTTTCTTTTAAATAAAGAGAGTTTAAACTAAATGTCTTTGATTGAAAAAAATAATAAAATAGATGAAAAATAATAAAAAGTATCATTATTGTTTAATTCAATTCTTATATTTTTCTTTCACACAATACTATCTAAATCAATTTTTTCTTTTTTTTTCTTTTTTTTTTGATGAAACATAACTCGAAAGAAACCGGTGGATGATTGAGAGCCACTAAAAATGGAAACGAGTTTTTTTATCAAATTAAAAGGAATCAATGTAGTCTATGTAGATTCTCTAATTAGACTATCAGCACGTATTATCTAGATAAAATTCTCGTGAAACAAATATCAAGTATACCAGAGCTAGAATATAATGGTTTTGCAGTCTTCTCTAGGTCTTCTTGCACTTTAGTTGGATGGCTAGTTGCAACCTTTCACTTTAAGAAAAGCTACCCCCACCCACTGTATTTGATTTGAATCAGAGAGAAAGAAGCAGCAAAAAGAAATAAAAATAATAGAAATACAGAAAATAAAGTGAAAAAATATATTGTTCAGATGCATGTAAATAAGAAGAAAAGATGTATGAGAAATTTTCTTTGCAGGTTTAGATTAATGAAAACAAATAAATTAGCTATAATAATGTTTCTATATTAATAAAAAATATATAAGTTTTTTTATATTATTCAAAAGTTTAATTATCATAAAAAACTTTATATTTTATTTTTAAATTAAAAAATAAATAAAAAAGGGTTAGCTTCTTCTCATTGGAGAGAAAAGTAAATCAGCATAGTAAAAGTATAAGGTGTGATGATATGAATGGTGTAACTAAAAAGGAAGAGACATAAACATGTATGTAAAATAATTGTACAAGTAAGATGAGAAAATATTCAATGTTGTTTCACTATTATCCTAGAGGTGGCGATCAATTAATGAAGAGTCTTTGTGGTCCACACTCATTCTCTCATTCTATTTACTTTTCTAGTTTTTCTATTTATATCAAGTAGTAGTGACTACTCCTTGACTTCTCCGTAACCTTTTCTAGCCAGATCATCATCATCAGTCTGTCTTCCTCTCCAAAATTTCCTTGAACTTATGGATGAAAGTTGGAGTGAGGGGAAAAGGAGCATGAACTACAAGGAGGAGGAGGATGATTATGAAGAAGAGGACGAGGAGGAGGAGAGTGAGTATGGAGAGGATGGTAGGAAGAAGAGGGTGGTCACTAATAAGAGAGGGTCCAAAGCTGGAGGCTCAATGCCACCTTCATGTCAAGTTGATGGTTGTAATGCTGATCTAAGTGATGCTAAGCCCTACCACAGGCGCCACAAGGTTTGTGAGTACCATGCCAAGGCTCCCGCTGTACTCATTGCAGAGCAGCACCAACGGTTTTGCCAACAATGCAGTAGGTAGGTTCTCATCTGTTTGAACCAACTAAACTATTCCTTTATTGTGTGTGTGAGAGTTTGAATCAAGCTATAGTATGTGTTTGAAGAGGTTTGTTTAGAACTGTCTTATATAAACCTTTTGCCCTTTCCAATCAACCCTAGCCAGAGACAACTTTTAGGGTACAATTGGTTCAAGTGTCAAACAGTATATTAAGCTTGTTTTTTGTTAATTTTATTCAATTTCACTTTCACTTCTACACCTAGCACAGTAAGCAAGTTGGATTATAGTAAACTAATAGAGTCTAACTGTATTGCCTTAGTTCTAAAAACAAAAACTACTTCCTGAACGGGAAAGAAGGTAATCTTAACTATGGTTCTTGACACTGTATACATGTTTATGCATTAAGCTGCATTTTTATATTTATACAAGTCGTGGGCACATATTAGGAAACTATTGATGGAAGGTGCTCATGTTGAGTCCTTTTACTCCCAACATTCTGTGCAAAGGTATGATATATTATACATTGCTAACTGTTTGTGCTAAAACAGGGACATTGTCTGCGTTCAGGAATAACATAGAGTCATCTTGAATGGCACTTACCATTAATTACATCGAGAATGAATAGCATTTTTACTCAAGTGTTCACTTATTTTTGGTGTCATGTTGTTTCAATCCATGAGATTGGAGGATCTTCATGAACATGGCAAATTAATCTGATTGTCAACCCTTTTGATTTAAGCATGAGATTTAGGTTAATACACACTCATCACAAATGACACATTCATTCATTAAAAAAGAAAACTTAAAATATGTCAATCAAGAACTACCTATGTTTGAAATTGCAAGGTACATCGAATTCACACAATGATTTTGTATATATATAAAATATTTCTCTTCTGGTAAAATGTAGTTTCAAACAAGTCATTAAGGTTAGGTTAAAAAATCAGAAATCAAAATCAAACTTCGCTATTTGAATTTAATGTATAAAAAAAACTGTCCTATCTTACTTTAGCAAAAGCTGTTATTTAGGTCTATTTGAATTTATGAGGGAGTTATTTTATTTTACATGAACTTGTTCTTTTGCAATCTAAAAATTGAACCTTCCTGTTCTCTGTGGGAACAAAATTTGACGATGAGTTGAGCTTGGAATATTTTGATTTTGCAGGTTTCATGAGCTATCAGAATTTGATGAATCAAAAAGGAGTTGCAGAAGACGTTTGGCTGGACATAATGAGAGGCGGCGCAAAAATGCATCGGAATATCAAGCACATTGATGAATGGGAGAAGAATGAATGTTGATGCAAAATAATAACAATAACACAAAAAGAAAGGCTTTTGTCATTTGGTGAGCAAGACGAGACAACGCAAGCAGCAACAAATAGTTTAAATAATGTCTCTTATAAATCCTTCAGGTTCCTGCTTTCTTAGAAAAGCTCTCTATCTTCTATCAATTTTTTTTCCTATATATGTATATTCTTCGGAAGCAAGATATATATATATCATAATATTCTGATCATGGAGATAATAATCACAGCTACTTTGATAAATATATATATATATATATATATATATATATATATATATAATATTATATCGATAGATCACATCACTTTCTATTCAATTATAACAGCTTAATTTTAATAGTTATAATATATAATAATTATTTATGTAAAAGTCTTGTAAGACCTTCTTGGTTTTTTTTTTTCCCAAAACCTTAAATAGTGAAAAAGACAATATCTAATTCATTTTTTTTATATAAAATATATTTTAGCATAATTCAACATTTCCAATGTTAAAAAACAAATAATTAAGAATCACAACCAAATATCTTGTTTTCATTATGAAATACTAATGAAAATATATATATATATATATATATATATATATAAAATTTCACATGCAGATCATCACTATAAAATTATGATCCCAAATAGGTAATAATTTATTCATTTGCATATCTACAATTTTTATGTGAGACTGGTTGCACAACAAACAATTTATATGTATTTCTTTTACAAGTTTTCTCAATTCGGTAGAGTGTGTTCAGGACATGAAGTAATATCTATCATTTGGAGTATCAACTATCTTTCTCTATATGTATTGAATGTTGTATTTCCTATAATAAATATGTGTTTAATTTCGTCAATAACTTAATTAACAGACACTTTTCTTGTTTTTATTCACTTTATTTTTTCACCTACTTTGATTCAACATTTTTGTTTCATAACACCTTATCACAATCATGTTAGTATTGCAACAAATAAATGAAAAATGTAACTTTTTTTAGATTTATTCTAAAGTCACACCTTGGTTGTAATCATCATTTATATTTTTCTTTATCATTTCTCTTATAACAATTTATATAAAAAAAAATTCCATAACTATTTTAAACTCATCCAATGAAGTTAATTAAATTTTGTTCCATAACACCTTTTATAATCACACTTAGCATTACAACAAACATATGAAAAATGTTACATTATTATTTTCAAGCATGTTAGATTTATTCTAAAGTCATACTTTGATTAAAAATTACATTTACTCTTGTTTTTACATTTTCATATAAGAATACATCTCAAAGTCCACCTTATTAAAATAAATAGATTAATCCTCTTCCATATCTCTTATATTCTTTTTTATTATTATTAGATTATTTCATCATAATTACAATTACAGGTCATTATATCTGCATCACCTTTATGCATTGTTTGGTCAGAGTGACTTAGGGGAGTGGAAATGTGAGAATAGAAAATGTGAGATTTGAAGAGAAATGAAAGGAAAATTAAAATTGTTTTTGAATAAAAGGAAAATTTATAAAAAATTGTGAGTGATTCCTTTATTCGTGCATCAACGAGAAATCTTTTTTCGTATTTTCCACTTTTTTTCGCTTTCCTTTCGTCACATTTCTTTTGAACCAATCTTCCTATTTCTATTTTCGTCAATAGTACATCAATCAAACTAAAAAGATTAAAACTTTAAAATAATCATTGTCAAATAAATAGAATTTTAGTAACCAAATCTTTATTTAGATTAAAACTTTAAAATAATCATTGTCAAATGTTATATCTATATCAATTCTATTTTAAATTGCATAATTTATCAACTTAATAGCATTTTTGTTATCCTAAACTCAATTTATCAACTTAATAGCATTTTTGTTATCCTAAACTCCTTAAAACCTTGTTGAAGGGGACTATTATTTTCTTTCCACCATTTATCATTGTGTTTAGGCTTAAGGCTCATGACAAGTTCATCTGCTTCAAAAAAAAAAAACAGTGGACATAATTGACATCTGTTTTCTTATATATAACATGAGTTTATCTCAAAAACACTTCCATATCATATATGACAAATAATATAAATTATTAAAATATTATTAAATATTAATTAATTTAATTAATATCTTATTATTCAGAGTATCGAATTGGGTTTTCAAGACATGTAATAAACTTCAATATATACCTACCCCTTCATTCGTTTTTAGTTTGAACATATATAAACCCTCACACTAAGAACCAGTAACCAAAAAATCACACATGCATATAAAACTACAAAACTCTAAATAAAAAATTGTTATTTACCTCAAAAATGAACAAAGTTCCAATTTTGAGAAAATAGAGAATTTTGTTGTGTCCGACTCTAGACAACGTGGTTTCATTATTTATTACTTACGAATCATGACTTTCAACTCCGTTTAAAAAATTACTCAGATGATTTTCATGCCACTATATTTTTAAAATAATATTAATTCCATATTTTTTTAGGTAAAATTAACAAAAACTTATCTCCCTTAATACTGATATTAATGACAATGATTAAAAATTAAATGAAGTATTTAGTAACATATGAAGATCAATAAAAAAATCAATTATAATAAATAAATATATATATATATATATATATATATTATTTTCGATATTCATACTTGTAATAAATATAGAAATATATTATTGTTAATAAGCTTATCTATAAATTTTATTTAATTTTATATATATTAATCAATGTTGTCATAAAACATCATTTTTTTATATTTTTACAAAACACTTTTTAATCAGATAAAAAATTGTAATTTATTTAAATCGTTAATAGATAGTAATTATATCCTTCAATTATTTTCTTGTACTTTTTTATATTTTAAAAATATAAATTTTAATCTTCATATCTCAATTTTGTTTAAGCTTTAGTTAATAAATAAAATAAAAGATTGAGTGTCATTTATTAAAACACAAAAAAAAAACACATTTTTCTTTAAATTAAAGAAAATATAAATCTCATTTAAAAACACTTAAGGATAAACAAGTGCAACTTGCCGAAACATAAACTAAGAACAAGGGTTAATGTGCGTAAATACAGATCAATTACCGTTGACACAAAATAACATTTCTTCTGGATCCAACATTACTTAAATAGTTATAGTTGGTATCATACTATCAATCAACGTTATAACAAATTAAAAAACTGTTAACATATTTGGATAAAAAAATTTACAAATATTTTTAAGAAAAAAATGAAATAATTTTGAAGTAAATTAATTTTTAAGCAAACTAAAAATAAAAAAGTTAAAGAAATTAAACAAAAAATGACAAAGTTAACTTACTAGTAAGTTTATTTTAATTTATTAAAAAAAATTGGTTTATATTTTTCCTTCCTAACAATGTTTACAAAAAAATTGTTCCCTAAGGTATAAACTTTTTATCTATTCGATATATTTACTTTTCATATTTTCATATTATGTTTGTATACAATATAATAAAAAAATTTGCTCTCTTTGATAAATTTAAACATCTTTATAGACTACTCATATACGACAATAAGGCTTGCTAAGAACTAATCCCATAAGATAAAAGAAATGGGTTTTCATTTGAAAAAACAAAATAAAACTCATTTTTATCCTATCTAGTTTAATCGCATTCAGAAAAATTCATGAAGATCTGGTTTCATTTTCTTATCAACTCTTATATTCTTAAATACGCCATGTATAATAAGTTATATAATTACGTTTTAATATGAATAACATGTTAAAACTAATAAATAATTTAAGAAATAAACCAAATTTTCAGGTGAACATGCAATTTAACTATCATTATTTAATTATCATTGTAATTTAATGTATTTAACTATTAAATATATATATATATATATATATATATATATATATATATATAGTAGGCAAGATCAGGGGCAAGCTTCATTCCTGAACCTTGAACACAAATATACTATTTAAAGAAATTAATTTGAATTTGTTATAACTGAACACGTTTGGAGAGCATAATTCTTTTCCCAAATATTGCAGAATCAGAGTGACTTGTTAACCAATCTGCATACAATACCAAGATACAAATCAGAAGTACGGAGCAAAGTAAATTTTAGATTTAGAGAACATACATTTGTTGATATGAATCACCAAAAAATATAACGATATAAAACTAAATATTTACCTTTGCAATATCAATTATTTAATCGCATACGCTCCAGAATCACTCATTCTTCTTTCTGAACTTACTAGAATAATTAATCTATGGGTATCCCAAAAGCTTTAGAAAAGTATGCACAAAAAAGATAAACACGAATCACCCATTCCATCAACTTCTGGCATGCATTTTTGTCTCCTCAACATTGTGGGATCACATTTATAAGGGAAATGGCTGATGCGACGTACCATTATCATATTTACATACATACTGCATAACAAGAACAGTGAAAGCACTTTAAAAAGTATGGTGGTGGAGAACAAATTACATTAGGAATATCACTGAAAAATTTGCTCTCACCAACAACTCATTTCTCTATCAAATTTCAATAATCAAATTGATCAACTAAAACTTCTTATAAATAAATCAGATGCACCAAAGTTTATAACATTGCACCACTATTTGATATTTCATAGAATCTTATCAATTAATATATACTTTTCAAAATATATGAGCAATATAGACTAAAAACTTACCTGAATATAAATGTTTAGTTTATCTCCAAATTTGATGTGCACCATCATTGAGAAAATATCAAAATATTTAAAAGTTGAATCATCAAAATTGAATAAAATAACTCTATCAAGAGTTTCTCCTAGAATTAGTTGATCTCACACAAAGTACAAAACAAAAATAACTGTTTTATGTAAAATCAATTTTAAACTTCAATTAAGTACAAGTATAATCGTTTAGAGACTTTTAAAATTTATTTTCTTGATTTTCTTTTCGCTAATAATCCAGGGAATAAGATTTCGTTACAAAGATAGTAATCATAGGAATGTACCCATTGACAAGTAGTTTGCTGGCAGTGCTTTGCCATGGCCAGTGAGGTAAACTTTGTCACTTCATCAAAAAGATCATAACTTGCTAGGAATAACTTCCTTCGAAAGCACTCCACTCTTTCCAACATTGAAAATGTCCTTTCTTTCGGCAATAAACTTGGCAAACCGAGAACCCTTCTCTTTACTTTTATTGTTTGTAACAGACTGAGGTGGATCATGCATAGGATGAGGACTAGGATATGATGGCCGCATCAATGCCCATATAGATGAAAGGTATTCATTCGGTTCGTCTAGAATCCGTAGAAGTGATAAATCCTCCATGGCTGCAGTGGGAAAAGCTACATCATCAGATGTCAACATACCATGGGTACAAAGTAGAAAAATAATTATTATTTTTGGTAACTGTTTATGACCAGATTTCCTTGATTTCTGAATCCAAATTGTTATTATTTAGTGTTGCGTTCCGTTTGGTACTTGGTAGACAAGGATAGATAAGGTGGGAACACCATGATTAACATTCATAGTGGGACTAAAAATAGGTTAAAAAACACACCTTTGGAGAATTTGAAGATGGGCGCCAGAGCAGCAGATGGAATGCTAAAGTTAAGATGAGGTATTACTGTTCCTCCACTATGCCTTGCATTACTGTGTGAAAAACATTATCTAATTAAAGATGGAAGTTTAATAATCCACAACCATTCAGGAACAATCAATAAAGAAAATTTAAATAAAAAATGTTTATATTACAGAGAAATAATTGGACCAGACAGAGCAGACTGAGCTCCTATGAGTAAAAATAGGATTGAGAAAAAAGTATGTAGAGACAGGAAGTCTGAAAGCTAAAGAATTTCATCGAAAAGAATCAAGATTGCCTTCGAAATAAGAATTTAGTAAATGGGCAGGCAATTTTGATTTGCATATTATAGGTTAATGAGAGCAATATCCTGCTGCCAATCCAACACACGTGAACATTAAAACAAATAATACGACCACCTATTCGTATTTATACTTATTTCAAAACTATGGTCGTCCTGAGCTACAATACCAATAGAATCAGTGTGATAAATGACTAGCAATTAAACTAACTCAAATCTAGTGGTTCATTACACAATGAACAACAGGAATAGAGTAAGGTGGTACAATTATATTTAATACTGGTGGCAATACCTTGTAACCAGACCAATCATGTAACCAACTGAATTGATAACAGCACCACCACTAGCACCAGGATGAATAGCAGCTGTTGTTTCGAGCATTGCTGGGAAGTACTCATGGTTGAGCAGATACTCAGGTTGAGTAGACAGATAAGATTGAGGAGTCTTAGCCTCAACCACTTTTGCTACCACACCAGAGCAAATAGATGGGAAGAATCCTAATGAAAATAGAAAACTGCCAAGGTTAAACAAAGAAATAGAAGGAAAACCCAGAGATTGAATTTGTTCTATGTAGAATTGGATACAGCATGTCAGACTAACAGTAACAAATTATCATAATAGAAACATATGACAGCCAAAAAAAATTCAAGAATAACATCGAATGTATCATTTGCATTGATGCATATGACCCTTGATGGATTTTAAAAACAAGTTTGTTGCACCTTGTTTTTGAAATGGAAAAAATGATACGAACAACAATAGAATAAAAAATAAGCAAAAGCCTAATGATTAAAATACTCAAGTATTTTTGTCTAGTTTTGATTGTGGGGGTTGATTTTAATATTCTCAGACCTTACCTTATAGTAAAAATAGCTTATTAGTTTTAGGGCCCTATTATTTCAGTTAACTATATCTTGTTAATCCCTGTGTCCCCATAGTAATTTTCATATTTCGAGTCTCAGCCCCTGGTATTGAGTTGTACCTAAACTTAAATTTGAAACTACCATCTACGTTTTATTAATAGTATGAACTAGGAAATCTCAATCCTTATGAAATTCATTACCCAATGTTCTTTAGAAGTTTGTCAAGGACCAATAATCCTAAAAGCCAATGATTTTAAAAACGGTTTATCTCTAACAAAGTTTAAGGTAAACGAGATATGATGTAATGATTCTTCTCCATTACTCAAGATCAATTTTATGGTATATTCTGTAACAAGGTTTGGTTTTAGGTTGTTTGAAGCATTCTCTGGTTCATCCACTCAATGATATGTTGTAAGAGGGAACCAGTAGAGCATTAGAAGACCATAAAATTTTTGCTAATGAATCCTACACATGTAGAAAAAGTATTCGTGTCAACCAGAGGCTGGCAGACAAGTCATTCGCATATCACTAGTTCATTTTTTGCACAACGATGTTGAAGTTACCAATAAATATAGTTGGAGCTGCCCCTGAAGCAGGACCACAAAATCACATAAACATGAAAAATAATAAAAAGTTTAAAGGAACTTCAGTATGACAGACATGTGATCATAAGCATCATTAACTTTCATTTTATAGAAGGACATCTAACCAAGAAAGAAACAGATCGACTGGGTCAGCAAGGACATACCACGCTTTGGGCCAAATAATCCATGGCCAATGACAAATGCCCTTGATCCTGTAGATGGCCTAGAAAAGTCCATTTTTATAGGAAAAAGATTATCTGGAACAGATTCAAGCTGCAATAAGGCAACATCCCATGGTCCTTTACAAACATACACTACTTTTGCATCACACCAAACCCAAGGTTTGATATGATCAAGACGTACACGTATGTTTCTGTGGTTGTCATAAGTTAGATTCGACAACTTATATCCCCCCTGCTCATTTGCAGTGAAAGGATAAATAATTGGCATCTTCAACGGTGAAGTTTGACTAACTTGATTGCTTTCAACTCTATTTCCAAGATATGCAGTTTCATCTGACATGGAAGAAAGTTTTGCTGGATTGGTCCCATATCCTCCGCCATTTACATGTTCTTTCCCAAATCTCCATGGTTCCAACAGATGCGCATTTGTAAGTACGAGACCTTGACTGTTTAGTAAAACACCAGATGCCCATACTCCATCACCAATAGTAACAAGACACACAGAAGTCATTGCCTTCTCAATTTGTAATGGAGAGGAGCTACCCAAATATAAATGCTCGTGTTTATTCCTAGAGCATACATCTAATTTGTCAGAGTCAGAAAAAGGGCTCCTTCCTGCAGCATAAAGGTCACCCTCCTGATTATATAACCCTTCCTCTGTGTTCAGAGGCCTATTGCACAGCAAGCCACTAGAAGCAGTCACAATGGCCTCCCATGGAATCACCAGCTGTTACCGAATACTAGAGTTTTGCATGATGTGTTAAATTGGAGGGGGATTACATAATGTCAAATAAGGAGAATGCCATCAAGGTACCTGGATTTCCGCCCCATATGTTTTCTGTCTCAATGGTCTGAGGAGGACACCAGTAAGACATGCATGCTCACTGAAAACTGGACAGCCTTCCATTCCTGGTAGATAGAGTATCAAAATTGAGCCAGAACCACTTCCATAAATGACCAATGGATTATGCAACAGAGAAATGGCTCACACCAGGAAGACAGCGTATGTCAGCCATCAGTAACGATCCATCAGATGAATGGGAAGGATAGCTGTTTGCAATGCATCCTACAGAGATGCTGATTCAAGCAAGCAGCCACATCAAAGGATTGAATGACACAAAATTGTCAAACATGGACATCCAATTCACTGCACTAACTGCAGTGATAGAGACAATAACTGCTTGTACAACTCAACACATAAGTGATCCCTACGGCTCAAGGAAACAGTATGACATAAAGTGACAATGAACAAAGTTTAACCATTTTTGAAGTAACTGCCAGGTTTTTTTTTTTTTTTTAATCAAACAGAAATTATATATACCTGTTAAAAAAGTGCATAGGTGACAGGACTCCAAAAGGAGACCCAACTGCCAGAAGAAAATCACCCCTTTTATTCATGGCAGATACTTTACTATTCAGCAAGTCCTGATAAAATAGCCAAGCAGTTATTTTCAAGAGTTTCAATGGACTAACAAAGAATACCAACAGAAAAATAATTTCACATGTAACTAGTATGTTGCAATAACAGTTTATATAAGAAATTCAGCTAGAGAAAAAAGACAAATAAAAACAAGATACCCTGAAGGACAAAGAAATGCTAAGAATTGCCATTCTAGTAAGTGATTTGTACACAAGACTAGCACTGCCAGATCCTCCCACGGACAATCTTTCCTGTAATATCATTAAAATTCATCATTCTTCATCTGAAAATATTAAATTTGTTTCTACATATCATGATCCTGAAGACGTTATTCCAAAGGCAATTTATACCATCAAGAAGAAGAATGATACTTTAATAAGTAGCAGATTATAAATAGATAGAAATCAATTTTAAGATAAATACCCGTCAATCGCTTTATAAATAGCATATCCCCCGCACATAAACTCCCTTTGCACTTTAAGCATGAACAACACATTACCACACTTTATTTTGTTCTGTGTTATTCAACTCTTATTTAGAAGAATGAAGCAAAAAAGGATCACTCTAATAGACTACTATGCCATAGAACGTATGATACTGTGTTGAGAAAAACAGATACATAGAAAAGAGGAGCATATGCTGAAAATGTGTTTCAACTACACAGATACCATAAAACTATTTAATTTATAAATGTAATAAATACAAGGTATAATTTTTCTACTATTTGCATAATACAATGAACCAAGACATTTACATAATAATGCATATTTTTGACAAAGGTAAATCCAAAATGCCAGTGTATCTAGCACACAGATTATGCATAATCCAAGTTATATTCAACCATAAACCTAATATGAATATTAAAATATTTATCAAGGCATAACTTTCTAACCTTTAACCAAAGTCTTCTTATGTTATATAATATCAGCTAGAAGGATGTTCTATAGTAAATTATGTATATAAATCAATCATTGACCTCTAAATTCTTCCTAGTGTTTGCTTATAGTTTTTCTCTAGCAATTGAACTTCCATTAGTGATTTACTCTCTTTACTAAGGCTCCAGTCTCCACACATCCAAAAAACACAAAAGACAAGTTTCTACCATCTTTCCTACTGTAAGTGCTACCCCAACTTTCTCTCTAATGTATTTATTCAGGTATTCCAAACCCTGTCTCGGCTAGCATTTTTACTCACCCAATGCATCATTCTCATCTGTCATATTGAGTTAATTCTCATGGTGACTTTCTACCACCTAACATTCAGTCCACACAATGTAGCAGACTAGCACGCATTTAAAGGAGATATGAAGGAGGAAAAACTTGCAGGCGCACAATAACTTTATAAGCTAGAGAGCTTGAGTAATCAATTGGTTTCGAAAGCACATGCCACCTAGGCTCACTTTTTTCCTGTTTTCATCTTTGAAAAGCTAAACTTGAGCATATAAAATAAAGGGAAAATAGTGTTTGCTAGTGACATTGCAAAACGCTGAAGATAAACGTCAATAGAATTCAGCAAATACCCAAAGTCTTGGCATGGATTCAATCATAAAATTCAATCAATCCTCTTTTTATTATTATATTATTACACTCTTTTATCTCAGGGCCTAGAATAAAATTCAGATTACAGTGCCTTCTGGCATACAGACCAATAGGCAAAAATTTCCAAGATTTTCAATTGACTGTTTCCTCCCATAAGCAACAAGCGTACATGCGCTACAATTTAATCCAATCTAGAGTTTAACTAAATTTTTTAGACGAACATAATACAAACAATGTGACATACAAGTCACATATTATATGATTGATCAATGCAGAAATGCACTTAATGCATTTCAAATTTTGTATGATACTTCCCATTTCAATACTCAACCGGGACATCTCTTCACATACAAATACAAATGTATAAAGTAACTTAATTCATAGCAACAGGAAAAAACATACTTTTGAAAAACAAACTAACCTGAGTTTGAAAAAAATCTTTAGAACGTTGCGAATCATTATTATAAGACGCCAAAGACCAACCAACCTCCCATTCAAACTCTGGTAAGCCCAAAGATGCGTCAATAAGTGATTGAAGACAATCAGATGAAGTAGGAAGATCAACCTGCATGATGCAGAAATCTGATTAGCATTGAACTAGAAAATAGAGATTGAAAAAATTAAGAAAGAAAAACACTACTAAAGATTGTTGAGAAACAAATGTTACAAATTTATATTCAAATAAACGATCGTATAGAAGTCACAGCACATAAATCCTAGCATTATTTGCTTGTCCAAAAACACATGATGCACCAGATCATTAACTGTTTAGAAGATAGCATAATAAGGAACTAAATGGTTCAAACTGCCTACTAATGACAAAAGCTGCGCCCCTAGCCAACAAGGAGTTCCCTGATTGGAGTTTCCATTGGTTTTCTCCGTCATAACATCAATTCTAACACCAGAAATCAAGTCTGGCCTGCCCTGAAAAGCACAAGTTGCACAATTTTAAAACACAACGCACAAAACAAATTTACAAAATACAAAACAAGTGGCAGTTTCATTGCGTTTACTGATAATGAAGGAAAATGCAGACTAAAACGGGCGTATTAACAACCCAAAGACCTTGACGTTGCGGCCAAAATTGCGGTTGCAGAATCATTTACAACTAAGTTAATTACTAAATCTACGAGCACCAACCTGAGGAATATTTTCCCTCTGTTGAGGTGACAGAAAAGGCTCAAGAACTGAGGCAACGGTCACAACCAACACCCTGTCCTCGCAGTTATCACCATAGAGACGCGTAGCTACTTGAGCGTCATAAAGGGTATCAGGTACAAGCATCCCCGAAGCTGAAAGTGTTGTTTCACCAGAACTACGCATATCCAGAAGGAGAAAACCAAAACCCGTCACCATAAGTTCATAAAAAAAAAAAAACGAAACTTTTAATGAACAAAAACAGAATATGATCACGGGAGGGGTTAGAAACCGGTATTGATGAAAAACGTGTCTTCTCATCTTCAATCCTTTCGGGTCCTGAAAAGTTAATTGCAAACTGAGTGCGCGTTGATAATAGAGCAAACAGCGTGTTTGAGAAGAAAGAAAAAGAAAGAGAAACTCACAGGACCGCGAACTCTGACCATAACCGCGAAATTCCGAGCAAAATTAACCGTTTCCGATGGAACCATTTGGGAGGGTGAGAATGAGATGAAGACCTTCAATTTGAAGTTCAAGCTCTAACCGTGCTTGGGTTTTACTTATCCCTATTATATAATTAGTTAATATATTGTTTTGGTTTTTAAGTTAATTTATTTTTTAACTAAACATTTTCTTTACTTTTTTTATTCATTATAAATTAAATTGTTTTGAAACATCAAATTTCTTAAATTTCATGAATTAAAATATTAAATAGTCAAAAAAATTAAAAAATTGTTTGTTTTTTTTTCTTTTGTAAACATTAATTTTGTTCTATTTAAATGCTTAAAATTTTATTATTTTGAGTTTAAAATTTGTTCATAGATTTTCAACTAACTGATTCAACATGAGATTTTTAACCGTTTTGAATTTAAATATATCTTATTTTAACAAAAAAAAGCATTTTTCATTTAATCAAGTCATTATCACCAAACAAAATATAAGTTGAAAAATAAAGAATATATACACCATGTAAAAAATCTGGCAACTAATTTGCCGCAGGTTTCATTAAGCAAAGATCATATGAATACAATCTATCTTTGTTGAAGGAGCAATCTTGTGTATCAAGACCCTGAAAGGGCACTAAGTTGGAACAATTAAATAATTTTTGATAATTTTCTCCCTTTAAAAGATGTTCTTGTATATTACAAAACAGTATTTCATATAAGATATTCCTTTAAATTAACAACGTTACATCTTTCAAGTGGAATTAAGATTTTAATAAAAATCCTATGGTCAAGTCTTTAAAGTGAAAATTAACATTAATAATGCTCAACTCAATTTTGTTGAAGTTTTTTTTTTATTATAAAAATATTATATTAGTGAAAAAAATAAAATATAAATTTTACCCAAAAGTAAATTAAAGCTCAAAGTTAACAAGGCAATTCTGAAAGAAAAAAAAAACAAAAAAGGAAAAATGAATAAATAAATGAGAGGGTGAACAAAACAACCACTAGATGGAGGATATACGAGAGTGTGTACAGACTACATTGAATTAAACAATATAAATAATTTTATTCCATCAAAAGTTGAATAAAAATATATTCAATGATGGACTATATTGAATCGACTTTAAATATTTTAAATTAAGAAATAAATAAATGTAAAATATAAAAATAATAATTAAATTATGCATTACATCAACATGTTGAATCATTGTATATTTGCAAGTTTAAAATTAAGATCTGGGCACCTGTAACATATATACAATTTAAAAAAACCAGTCACATTCATCCCAAATATCGTATATCACAAAGCACTTAAGCAGTGTTTTAATAATAATAATAAGTTATTGTAATAATAATAATAACGAGAAATATGTTGAGCTTGTTTTTAATTAGAAAATTATTATATAGGTTTAAATAATATTTTTTTTAAATTGCAAATTTATATTAACCGCATTTAGAATTAGATGATAAATGATTTAGTAATGATTTGTATTAGAATTTGTAGAATGAATTAATAATTTTCATATTTTGATTCATTTATTTTAACTTGGGTGATTAAGATAAAATAAGATGAGTTGGCTGTCAATATGTTTTTAAAAATATTTATATATTAAAATTAAATAAAAAAATTAATTAAATATTTTAATATATATATATATATATATTATAATTGTTTAATTTTTTTACTAAAAATATTAATTTATAAATAATATTTTTAAAATTATTTATATAATTAAAATTATATTTTTTTAAAAATTTAATATAAAAAATATATTAACAAATCATCCGCTAAATCATAAGAAAAAAATATTAAAATATATAATTCATCTTAATTATAACCAACCAATATGTTATATCTTATTTTAATAAATTAGTGAGAAAAGACCGACGAACGATGTATTATCCCGTCCAAAATTAAGAGATCTCCTTCCCAACATATGAGAAAATGATATTCAGAGAATTAAAAAATGTGACCCACATATAGTAAATATTTTGCTTAAAAAATATATCAAATTATTTGGCAATAGAATTTTAATTTCAAAAACCCCGTTTCTATTCGATGTTTGTCTCCAAAGTCTATGATAAGATTTCTTGTGGGCCCCTTTGGTTTGGATAAGGGAGAAAAAATTACTGATAAGAACTTCTTATTTTTTAATTAAATATAAAAAAATATATTTTCTTCTTTCATTTCTATTTTTGTTAAACTTAAAAAATTCTAGGGATAAGCTTCTGCCACAGTTGGTCAAATTTTCAAACCAACACGTAGAAACTGAAAATGAAAGGATATCGAATTTATAACTTCTTTTCCTAAAAGTTAAATATCAAGAAAGAAAAGTCAAGGTTTCACTATATTATCAATGTTTTCTAGATTCAAACAACAGATCAAATATCTCTATCTTACCAAAATTTCTATCTCTATTACCTCCTTTATTTTCTTAGAAAATGACAAGGTCAGTGAACCCCAAAAACTTCAATTATTACTAAATACAAAATTTTATTTGGATGATTACGACAGCCACCAAATGCATTATTATGAGAAGATACAGCGAATCCGTAATTGATTTTTTATTATGCACAATTACATATCCCACTTGTTACAAAATTAACAGAGTTATGAAATATTTAAACACAATTTTATTTATTTAGATTATAATACTTAACAAAAGGGGTACAAGGATTAGCCGAATGCCAAAGTTCAAGGCAAAATCTGGCTAATTATCAAAACTTAAAAACAAATAAAACATTGTAGTTATTTAGCATTTTACATTCACTTGCTCACAAAAACATAACACACACACTGGTAATACTTCAGTCAGTAACAGACCAATAAATTCCAGACACATAATAGTAGTAGATGAAAACGTGGCATGCGATTCACGAAAAGCGACAGTATTTACATGCAACCCACGCGCCTACTCATACAATCCTCACCGGTGCTTGCTCCTGGTCTCTCCAGAGTACATCCTGCAATCAAATACAACCACTTTCATTTCAGCACACAGCCTTATATAAAAGGCGACCATTTGATTTACTCAATTTAAGATCAGCCGTTGATCTCTCACTAGATCTAACGGCCTACATCACCCCATCTGGGTATTCCATCATATCCATCCCACAAACAAAAACAAGAACAAGACAGTACCCCAACACATAATCATGATACACAACTGTGAATATTAGCAAACAAAATTTGCATTATTTATTAAAAGAAAAAACTGTTATCAGGTGATTAGAGAGAGTTAGATCTCATACATTTAAATACCCAAAACATAGGAAAAATATGATAAAAGAGAGAGAAACAGGTCAACATGACTAATCTTTTGCACGTTTGTAAGAATCGTTCTATATATATATTTGCATGCATGCAAAGTCGTTATGATCAAGAGGACGTAGAACCAATAACAAGGTATATACGCTTTGGTAACTATAGTGGAAGAGAAGGTTAAGAAAATATAAATATTTATACGAGATCTGAAGGATAAACTTTATTATAGAGAAAGAAAAAGAGTATATACCAATCATAGACAGTGGGAGTGTTGGGAAGAGGCTTATCAAACAGCTGAGCACCGATGGTCTTAGTAGCAGAGTTACTCCCAGGATGGAACACGCTCCTCCAAACGTTGTCAGCCTTACGCCCCGTTCCAGGTGTCGTAGGTGTCGTCGGAGTCAAAGGGGTTGTCGGTGTGGTCGGCATCGACAAGCTCTTCTGGAGCTTGCTACTTTCTCCCTCATCTTCCACATCCATAAATTTTAAAAACATTACGAAAACTATATATGTATTTATATATTATATATATATGGTTAACAATTCATGTAACAGAATATTCTTGTGGTTATCTACGTGTAAAAGGGTGTACCAGTTTGGAGGGTGGTGAGTTTTCTGAGCTTGCCAAGGCCTCGTTCAGGATGAGGGCCGGCCACAACATCATCCCAGAGCTTCTCTAGCAGAACCATCTTGGAAGGAAGGGTTTGATGTGGGTTGATTGACGAAATGAAAAGTGAGAAATGGGGACGATGATGATGATAAAGTGGTTGTGGACACTGCATATATAAAGGGTGACGATGCCTTAAATAAAAATATCTATGACCAAAGTGGAAGGAGGAGGGCTTTGGTGCTTCCAAGTGTAGCTTGTTTTTGTTAGGATGTGATGATGGGGAGTGGATATAGGAAAAAGAAAGGAGGTGGAAGGAGTGAGAATAGAAGAGAGGGAAGTGGATAAGGATGAAGACCTGGTAAATGTGGGACCAGCAATATGATGATCTGAACTTTTTTATCTTGGAGAAATGGGAGGGTGGGTTGCCTCACAAGTGTACAGATGAAAAATATATTTAGTTGTGGGGTTTGTCCTATTCTTCAGAGGTATTGTGGAGATGGGATAAGGGCATAAATTGATGGTGGACCACATTCCATGTTACTTGCTATATATAATATTTGTTTTCTACACTGCCAACACTAGTGATCATGTGATGTTGCTCATGGCTTTGGATAAACACTACAGAGGAATCATCTAGATTTGGGAAAATTTGTTTGCTCTTCCACGGTAATAAGTTAAAAATGATAATTCATAATTATTTATCAAATAAAAGTAAGATGTTATATATTGTATTATATTATATATTTTATAAAAACTAAAAACAATTAAGTAAAAATTTTCAGTTTTTTTTTAATGTTTTAAAGTTCTTTATTCTCGGTACTTATATAAGTAATAAATACACTCAAACAAAAGAGTTAAGTCATAAATAATTATGTGATATATTTTAAGCCTCGTTGGGTTGGGATGTTCATATTAAACTTTGGTTTTCCAATTTAAATTAGAGAACAACATATGATAAGTGGTTGAAATGATTTTCAAGACTATTTTAACTTACACCGATTAAATTTAGAGCTTGTAATAGGACTGGCTCAAAGCCTTCCAATGAAATGTGGAGCTTGAACTTTAAATTTTCAACACATACAAAGTTTGAATCTTATATTATAGGCTAACTTTTATTCAAATTTGGGCTTTATTTGGCAAGAAATGTGCAAGTTGGACTTTCACTGAGCTTGGGCCTCCTTTTTAAGTCTAAATTAAATTTTCATTTTTGTGGGCCTACCTAACCTATCGTAGCTTTCAACCACCGTTGAGCTCGGTTCAAACTCGTTGGATGAGATACTGGGTTTGAACTTCATATTGTTTTTAATGAATTATATTTGGGCTTTTATACTCTCATTGAGGTTGGATTTTGTTTTGAAAATCTGGATTAAAATATAAATTGCTTCCTTATGATTAGTCAAATTCACGGCTTGGTTGATGAAATATAGCTTTGAATAATACTAAGCACAAATCAATTTTAAATTGCATGACTTTTTACTGTCATGACTTGATTTTATTTACTCTACAAAATTCATACAGATTGAATTACATTGGATTTTGACTTCGTTTCATAAGTTTGAATTGAAATGAATTTTTTTCTCCCCAAATTTGTAGTCCTCATCTAGCATAAAAAAAATCAATAAAATGTAGAAATTTTCAAACTCCAATTTTTAATTTTAAATTAAATATAAATATTTTTAGTCATATGTTCATAAAACCTTCTTTTTTTCTTGAATTCCAAATCCTCTCATTTGTATGTTCTTATATTTTATATTTGTATCTAACAAGTCCTAATAGTTAATTGACCGATTATCTTAGTCAACTCAAGATATTTCACACCGAGATACGAGGTTGGTAAAATAAAAAAAATATTTCATAATTATTTGAGAGTTATATTCAACTAAGATAATAATAAGATCATATATGATTATAATTATCAGTAAATTATATTAAGATATTATTTTATAAAAAAATTGGTAATTTTCTCATTATTATTATTATTATTATTCATTGTTTACTTATGTATTCATTGACTTAAATATTAGAAAAGTCAGGTGACTCTCCCCTCATCTTCAATATACATCAATAATTTGAAAGTAACATGTAGAGTTTGATCAATTTTCTAAATTTATATAAGAACAATATTAAATATTTTTATATAAAATTATAAAATGAACAGCCAATTTGTAAAACCAAAAAAAAAAAAAGAGCCTAAAAATGTAAATAAAAAAGCAGAAGCATGTTTTAATTTTTAAAATTTAAAACTTCAAAGTAATTAATTTCACTATAAACCTAGTTTTGGTTGTCACAATTTTTTATGTTAGTTCTTTATATATGATTATATGCAAAACCATTTATCTCTTTCAAAAATTGATTAAGAGTGGCATTGATTAAATTGAGAATTACATAAGAGAAAACGTTCTATAAAAACTTATTTACGTTAAATGAGTTATACACAACACATTAATTTTTAAAAGATAAAATTATGCATTTTCCGTAAGAAAGAAAAGTAGTATAATGAAGAAGTAAATATAATTTAGGTAAAAAATTGGCCACAGGCATGGTCCAAAAGAGAAATAGCACCTACATATTGGATCGCTAGTCAGGCAATTCCGTTTTTACTGTATTAATTTTTATCAATTATAAATAATCAAATTAGTGTATTTGAAATAAACATATTGTCAGAATTTTTAAATTATAAATAACATTATTTAATCTTTTCAGACAATATAATAATGAAAAAACTTTACATTTTATGAAAAAGCATACGAACCTGTTAATAGTTTATAAATACCATTTTTATTTCATTATATTCCTTTTGGTATCCCATTTCGTTCTATTTCAGTTACCACTAAATATACACAACGTAAAAAAAATGTCCAGGAATTGGATGTGACGTTATGGGTCCATCACAAATATTTTGAGTAGCTTAAGATCATCGTACAACATGACAGTGAGAATAAAAGGTGATCTCAAACATAAACTCAAGCAGGGTTGTGAAACACTCAAATTTAAAGAATTTTTTCGGTCACGTGGCTTTAAGAACTAGAATTGTTCAGTTTCCTTCGCAAAAAAAAAAAAAATTACGTAATCTGACTCCCTAAAAACCATCAATTTCATTCATAGATATTAGAGGATGCTCTTCAACTCGTATCATAGATACTATCCATTAATGGTGAAGATTCATCAGCTTGCTGGTTTTTAATTATTTTTAAAGCAATACGTCATCATCAACACTTTCAGGGATGTTTCTTAATGCATCCCACAGGATTCTTGGACGTCTCTCATTCATTTTGGATGGTGTTTTCCAAAATGTGGAATATGCATTCCGAAAACTCATTTCAAAATGAATAGGTGCTGTCCAACAATTTTACGTGGAGCCACAAAAGGTAGACATTTTAGACTGTTCAAACAATGGAACTTTTTAGTTCATCAAAATATAATACATCAACGATGAATACAATTAGAATAAACACAACCAGGCTACTTACTACAGAATAAATTTTCAGAAATTCAAGACCCAACAAATCCCATGAACACATTTAGTTATCAATAGTTGATTAGCATAGTCAGTCCCCTTGACATCATCCCTCACTCACACAATGTAAAGAATTAGCCTATGTTCTTAATCCTATAGGCCACATAAAGGGCCTATTTGGATACTGGAATTACTTTTAAGAGCTTTTCTATTAGAAAAATTTATAGTTTTATATCCAAAGATGTCCAAAATCATAAATTGAGGGTTAATTCAGCTTTCGTCTTTCGAGTCCACATTGTAAAATATAAATAAGTAGAAAATCCACATTTTCATTACGTGAAAAATCCAAAAATGGTCATCTGAATTCACCTTTTCCTCGAATATTTTATCATACTTCGAGACTAGAGACATATTTTATCATTCAGCCTCTGAAAATCCTCATAATTTACTTCTATCCGATGAATAAGAACATGCATAATTGCGAAACTTTGGTTCTTTCTCAATCAAAGGAAGGGTCGGGCAGGTATACTCGTGCCTTTTCAAGAAAGCAAGTATATACATTTGTTACCAAATGAAAATTAACAAAGCACTTCAATGACAACTTGTGCTAGTGTCCAACGCCAACCGTCGCACGTCGGTAATGTAAAATGTTAATGTAAAAGACCAAATTAGAAAACGACAGGTAAAAGTATTAACTATGATTTCACAGCAATAATGAAGTAACAAATAATTTCTCCAACACTTGCCATCCTCGTAGGATCAGCCACTTAGGCAAGCCATTTGACAATGACATTAGAAAGAGTTTATCTTCGTAATATCCACCAATACACGCAGTCGAAGACTCCTCAATGAATATTTGGGCAAACAGAAGATGTGATAAACCTCGAACTAAAAGATGACAAACTTCATACACAAACTCAGTTCAATTGGCTACTTAAACTAGAAGGCCGATAAGTTAATAACGTGTTGGCATCAAATAGAATTGATAAATGATATGTACAGGTAATGTCCCCTATGTAACTTTATCTTTGTTCACCAATTACTATTTATCATTTTTTTTCTTGATCCAACATAACTTCTCAGGAATTACCCTTAAAAGTATTGGCTTATCCTCTCTACCACAAAGCAGACAACAACAAAAAAATAATAATAAGAATATAATAAAAACCAACTTCGACTTGGCAAAACACATTCCAACTGAATTAAAAAGTGGTCCCAACTTCTGGCGAGTTTCTGCATATATATAAGTTTTCAACGAACACACGTCTTGGTTGTAAATCAATGGACGGAAGCAAGCTCACCGCTCATGTTGAGTATGCCAGCATTTCATATTCATTGGACTCGCTCTCTTTTAGCGGCCTTGTTTCTTCTATCCAAGACCATCAACCAAAGTCCCCTTCTTCCCCTAACGGGGTTACACATTACCTGGTAAGCAAGCCTGACCTGGAATTTGAATTTACCAGCACTAAAGCAAACTTGAATTCTGCTGTCAGTCCAATCAAGATCACTCCTGCTGACCAACTTATTTCCAATGGTCAACTTCGACCACAAGCACTTGCCATCCAAACAAATCAGACTCAGATCACAAATCCACCCAGTTCCTCAAGCTCGTTACTAGCAAC